TCTGGGTAACTGAAGGCGTGGTTGACGTAAGCTGTGGTTGGCTGAAGGAGGTTGAGACGTGCTCCAGCTCCTTAATCTCAGTTAATCATATTAATTCCACTTTGAATATTTTTGCACCACTTTGCATGTGAATTGAACTGTAAGTCCTGCATTTTCATTCAACTTGAATCTTTAACTGGACTTCAGTATAATCTTCCAACTTTTTTATTTTCCCAAAGGGAAACTGATTTACAGCAGTGTCAGACATACAGTAAACAACAACATACAAAAGACTTAATCACAGCTTAAGCGCACACTTAATGATGCAGAGGTACATTCCCATTAAAAAACAGTGCTCAATTTGAAACCAGTGTAATCCAAGCTCTAGCAACTCTTTCATCTTGAGTATGGCTTCAGAGATAAAGAACGACCTCTCAGAGTCCTGATCTGGGGCCTTCTCTCCCACCATCCAGACGAGAGGAGGTTAAACTCCTCAGAGAGCCAGAGCTCAGGGCTCTCCATTATTTGCCGGGCTTTGCAAATCACCATTCTGCTGTAGATGTCACACAGCTGGGACTGCTGTACTCCTATAATTTAACTGCCACTTTGACCAACCGAGCCGGGCGATTTCTGCTGGACACAGAATGGACACCAAACCAACATACAAAACAAAATGCAAGACTTGATTCAATAAAACTTTGATGAAATAGGGTAAATTTTTTGGCTTTCTTAATAAAATGTCTCCTAACTGTGTTCAGTCACTCCAGAAATTGGCTCTGACTCTGTGAGATGCTGAAATGAAGTGTTGTAAAAGCACATCTCACACTGACTCATGAAACACGTCCAGGCGTGTTCAACTTCACACTGTCATTTGTCAAAAAGAAATGTGACAGCACTGGTACTGCTGTGTCTGCGCTGTGCTTCCTCCAGGACCTGAGGAGAGGCCCACTGATCAAACAGGTGAACACAGGAGGAAGAGGAGGAGGAGAAAGAGGAAGAGAAGGAGAGTGGTGAAGGGGGAGGAAGAAGAGCAGGATGAGGAAACAAGAGAAGGAAGGGAAGGTAGAAAAGGAGGAAGAGTAGAAGGAAGTGGAGGGGGAAGTGGAGGAAGATGAGGAGGGGGAAGAGGAGGAGCAGCAAAAGGAGGAGGTGGAGAAAGAGGTGGAAGAGGAGGATGAGAAAGTCAAGAAAGAGGAGGAGGAAGACGAGAAGGAGGAACAAGAGGAGAAGAAGGGGGGAGGAAGGGAAGAAGGAGGAGGAGAAAGACGAGAAATAGGCAGAATGAGAGAAGGAGGAAAAAATGGCAGCTCCCCTCAGCGATTTCTCAGTTTTCTAAGTGGGGCAGAGAAAGTAGGATACGACTGTCCTACAAACCTCTCTCCATCTCACACCACCCCTGAGACGTGAGCCACTTTCTGCCACCTGGACCCGCTCGAGAAGAAGTGTGAATACACAGGAAACTCCAGTCCTCCATAAATGAAATAAAATGATCAATAAGCAGTGATTATAGAAAGGGTCAATGCCTAATTAAAGCTGGGTGTACTTTTGCACCTCACAGCAATGATATTAAGTCCACCAGTTTAAATCTGTTATTGACGAGTGAGTATTGGAAGCATAAAAGCAAGTGGAGAAAACAGGTCATTTCAATCCACAATACCAACATGCATCAGTGCCCAGCCTGCAGCGTCAACTACTGTTACCACCACACACTCTGGAAGTGTGTTTAAAAACACAGTGGAGCACTTCCTCAAAATTACTCTCCTCGTGCCCCTGCTCCCCCACTACTCAGTTGAGCGCTCACGTTTGTTTTCACAAAGCCAGTGAACACTGTATGTGTCAAAATGTCTCAGGTGGGTAATGTTATTTTACTCTTTAAATACATTATATAATAGCATTCTAAATTCCCCTTGAAATTCTAAATGGGTTGATCCAACACAAATGTGTTACTATTAACGTCTTGGGCTGATTTTACATCTGGGCTAAAGTTGCTTGTTGCTACATTTACAGACAACTGACAACAAAGAATACATCCAGCTTCTAAAACATAGAACATTACTTCTACATCCAGATGAAACATCAGTCAATTAGAGAAGTGACCCAGACATGACGCCCGCTTTGATCACACCCAAATGCATGATCCTGTTTGATGCTGGTGTGATGTTAGCCATAGTCAGATATCACGTCAGGGCTAAATTTCCAAATTGCATTTGTTTTTGCTTACTGACAACACAAGCTGTACATATCCTGCAGCAGATGAGACATGAGCCTCTCAATTCAAAAGTTTTATACAGGCAGTGTTTTCTACAGCACTTTATAGTTAAGGTAGCCGTTTTGACAACAAGTGGCCCCCGTCTTGACTACATCCCTCCAAACCACATGAATCCTCGCAAAACTACGGTCGTCTCACGGAATCTCCAAGTACCCCCGTGCTTTTTTCAGTTTGATTTCAAGTTAATAGATTAATTAATGACCATTTATGACTAGTGTTTAGTTTCAATACTAGTTTTAGTACCGCTTACTATCTGATTTTCAATACTTTGACAACCTTATAAATAGGGCCCGACCAATATACTGGTCGAAATGGGCACTTGGAGACATATAGGCTTGTTCTACCACATTATAAAGCTTAGACTCTTTAAATTATGTCCATTTAATCCAATTTACAGCCAGATAAATGTCCAAATATGTGAAGCCACATCAGTATTTATTCATTTGTAATTTGTCTGGATCTGTGACGCTGTACTGCCCCCGAACGCACCCCCAGAGTCACGTCACTCACATGCGCTTGTTTACACACACAGCTGCAATCAACATGCTGCGTTAGATTATTTTTACGGAGAATCGTTTTGAGTCAGGACTGATAGGACACTTATTTGTGAAGACTTGTGACCTGTATGAGCAGTGAGTGTTACAAATGTCAGTTTTTGAAGCTACTTTTGTTTCTTTCCCGTTGTTTAGCTCTTAGCTGCTGTCAGCCTGCTGTCTCTTACATTGGCCTACTGTAAAGTGATTATAGTGGCAGTACACATATTACTGGGCCTGCATTAATATGTAAATGGGCTGTGAATAAAGCTGTGAATGATCTGCATTTACGCATAATCAATTACCGCTGCGTCCACGCATTTACCGCTAAAGGCTAATGGCGGTAGTTTACTTACTTTGTTTACAGGTTAGAATGTCATACAAAAATGCCATTAGGCCGACCTACTGTCTTTAAATATGACTGTAAAGAGGCAGAATAACAATATATGTAGCCTAAATAAAGCAAATATAAAATCTAGTTGAGACAGACCTAAGTTTTATAATCAATTGAAGATTTATAGTGAGTTTTTACATCATGAAATATATCAGCTTTTATATCGGCTTTTATATCGGCTATCGGCAGCTCCAACTCCCATTTTATTGGTATCATATCAGCCGCAAAAAAATTCGTATCGGTCGAGCCTTACTTATATCTTATACATATTGAATGTGTTTGAAAAGTGCAATGAGACTGACCTGGTCACGCAGCCTCTCGGTCTCCTCCTGATAGGCTGCCAGCTGTTTCTTCCACTGCTCCACATTAGTGTTAGCTTCATGTAGCGCTGCTACCAGCTTCGAGTTACTGTCCTGCAGAGAGAAGAGCTCCGCCTCCAGGTTCATCTCACAGATAGACCTGGACAAAACAAACATACAAACAATCTCAAGTCAATAAAAAAATAATCTACTGCAGTTCAAGGATGACCTATAAGACCTGCACTGCCACTTTCCTGGTCGAGGGTCTGATTACATTGTCTCCATGATGACATTATTGCTTTTATTGAAATGTTTCACAGTATGGTATTAAACTTAACCATCTCCATGGAAACAATGCCATCAGACCAAGATACTGGTCAGATCTGTGCAGAGGATGGATCGCTGACTGTAGGTGTGCATGTTCTTAAGCAATAAAAAGCAATAAAAACACCCAGAGTCCAATGAATGGAGGATGGATAAGTTTAATGCTACTCTGTGGAACATTTCAGAGTAATACCATCATTTTGGAAACAATCAGGTTGCGGACCCTATACTCAAAAAGAACAATGCACCTTTACGCTTTCTATTTTCTATGTTTTATATACACACAGAAAACATTAAGTATATGAAGCTAGATATGATATATACTGTATATAAGTATGTAGAAAATAAATAACAATTTCATTCAAATCCTCAAATCCTTTGCTTTGTTGACTGCATACCCATGGCCTTCTCTCAATGAGCTTCTTGATGAAGTCCCTGAAATGGTTTTCACTTCACAGCTGTGCCATGTCAGGGTCAAAAAATGACAAGAGGGTAAACCAGGGATCAGAACAAAGGTGGCTATTTTTATATAATCCAAAGCAAGTGTACAGTTTCCCCACAGAGGAGTTTTAGAGAGATACTGACCTGCCTATAGTTTTCTAACTAACATCCTTAAATGTCCTTATGTCCATATTGTGTGTTGGCTGTATTTGACTGTTTTGTTTTGAGGAGTGTCTAGAACAGGGGCTGTTCTAATATATTTATCAATCTACTTGTTCATTGTTGGTTAATCTCTACTATTGTCTAATGACTGCTTCACTGTTACATTTCAAAATTTCTATTGGTTTAATCAATGATTTGTTTCACAAAAATACACTGAAATGAATGTAGGTCTTTGTATAGGTTGGGTACAGAAAGACAACCATGACCTGAGGTAGACCCACTGATCCAAACCACATTTAATAAAGAGGAGTGAGTGCACAGGCTTTGTGTGCTTCTCCATTGTTAGCGTCACTTACAAGAGGCTCTCTGATTAAAGCCTGCTTCTCGCTATTGTACCTTTTTTTGTAAATCCACTGGAAAGAACCAGCCACTTTGCTCTTCATTCACATCTATTTCCATGGCAACCCGTTTCCATAGCAACCACAGAGAAGCTTTTAGTTGAGTTATCATCAAATGTGGGCTGAAGGACAGATCCACGTGTGAAGGCTTGGGTTCACGTTAGAATGAGTCAGCACTATTTTACTTTGGCCTCGTCTCCTCTGTGGACTCATATTAATTACAACAAAACATGGACAGTTGAACCTGGGGTCAGACAGGAAGTGGAAATCATATTCTTTAGGGTCATTGAGTTTGTGAAGGTGTTAAACTAGAGTAGCTCTGAAATGCTAACAATCACCAAAAGATGTGTAGTGTAATTACTATGTGTAATCTAAATACAAAAATCAATATGTATAAGTGGAGTATTATAGGGCCCATATGACGCTATTTTCTGATCTGTGTTCTAATGTGTCCTCATCACAAACAGACCTGGAGTTGTGTTTTGTTTCATTCACGCTTGTTTAACACACAAACTCTGCATATTTAGGCTCAACTTCTTCTCAAATAGAAAACATTTTGTTCCACCTTGTGATATCATGTGGTAATATAGAAAATGCTCCACTGTGTTTTTAAACACCATACACCTTCACTAGAATCATTTGGATACTTTCAGCTCTGGAATCACTACTATGAGATTCGATATAATATCAAATCATTCGATACTGGTGTCAATTTCGATATTCGTGTTTGGTTAATATGTGCGTGTCCCTCCATGCGAGCTGTGTTGTCACTTATTTTGATCTGAAAGGAAAACTGTTATCACAGCGTATTCCTCAGATGCAGCTGAACTATAACGTATAGTGAGTAATGTATGTATGTTTCATTAATATCATGTTATTATATTATACTCATTAGTAGAAAAAATTACATTTTTACAGTTTATAGTTTTGTTTTGTTTTTTCACCTTTTAAAACGTACTGAAATCAAATCGATATTGTAACCCCTGTAACAAGATACGAATCGAATCATGAGAAAACTGAATCGTTGCATCCCTAATCTCGACTGAACTAAACTAAAGGTAAAAGGTTAACTTAAACTACCACTACATTACTCAAACATGTGTGAATGAAACACAACACAACTCCAGGTCTGTTTTTCATGAGGAAACTACACTGTAGCAGGGCTTAAAGCTCACAGGAGTCAATTTTGAATAATACAAGACATTCAAGTGTTTTTGTAGAATCCAGTTTTGTCATTAGGGCAGCAGGCTGGTCAATGGTGTCTCAGTTCAGTGGTTCGTAACCTTTTTTTCTTAAAGCCCCCACACCTCCTGCATCAACTGGAGATTTGTTCCCCCACCTCCGTCTAAACACTGCAGTCTTCTCAAATACATTACATGATAAACAATGATAACTAAAAAGCATTTACTTATAACAGCAATTGTGGTGTTTTGCAGAGTTGTGCTGAAATAAATTCAATAAATACTATAGGCAGTGACATGTTAAAGGTCCTATATTACACAAAACTGACTCATGTGAGCCTTAAGCAATGTTAGAATGTTGTTACCTCATAAAAAACATATCTGGAGTTGTGTTTTGTTTCATTCACACATGTTTTAGTTTTAGTTTCCCTTTTTTATTAGTCTGTCTATATCACCAAAGCTCAAAATGCTCTGTATCACCTTGTGATGTCAGGAAGTGGGAATTGTCATACTGAAGTAAAGGTAAAAGAAAAGATTAACTTGAAAACTACAAGGATGCAAATTACTGAAATGATTCTAGTGAAGGTGTATGAACACAGTGGAGCACTTCCTGTATTACCACATGACATCACAAGGTGGAACAGTGTTTTCTGTTTGAGAGAAGAACTAGAAGAACCTAAATATGCAGAGTTTGTGTGCTAAACATGTGTGAATGAAACAAAACAAGTCCGGGTTTATCCTGTTTATAGTGAGGAAACAACATTAGAACATAGATCAGAAAGTAGTGTAGTATAAGCGTGTCATGCTTTCCATATTGGTCTTTCAGAGATGTGCTCCTCTGCAGTGCACACACATGGTTGTAGTTAGATTAAAGTGAATTCAGTGAGCTGTGTTTGCCTTTTGACTTTGAGTGAGAGAGAAACAAATACAGAGTTTACACAGCCCTGGCAAACACAGTGACCAAATGGAGTTTTTTCACTTGCTATGTTTACATGTACTGGGAAATCAGAGTGCACTAAACAAGTAGATATAAATCATCTTTGCCCTAAAACCTGTCTCACCACTCTTTTCCCAGTGTACATGCAGGCAGGGCTGTCACGATAGCAAATTATGATGTATGATATATTGCTGAAGTATAAATATAAATTACAAAAGATAATACTCACACCAAACCATAAACCAGAATTATCCCCCCCAAAAATATTCTAAATGTACAAAATAATAATAATAATAATAATAAAAATAATAAAAACTTTGACTGGAAGTACATGTACATGTGTTCTAATCATACCATTTTATTATGTTTTTTTGCTAATTTTTATTTTATACAGCACTCTGGAGAGTATTAACTGTTTTTAAAATGGGCTTTCTAAATAAACCTTGACCTTGACCTTGACCTTGATGTAAACGTATTGAGTGAGAGACGAGGGGTTAGCGCCGTGTCAGTGAGTTACCCTTCAGAGAGCATCTTCTTTATGCGTTCCTTCTCTGCGGCCAGAGTGATGTCTGCGCTCTGGCTCCGGAACAGTTTGTCCTCTGGGCCGTTCACATTCACCACAGGAGGAGACTGCAGCGAGTCCGAGAGGTCCTAACACACACGTGAGTAAATGCACTGGGAGAAGAACTGCCACTCACACTCACTCAGGCACAGTCAAGAAGGGATGCACCGATCAAGTCTTTTTCTGTTCTGATATCAATATTTTGGCTTTAAGGGTCTGCCAATACCCGATATTAATCAATTTAAGGAAAGAAAATCACACTTATTTCTTTAAAGGTCAGATATTACGCAAAATTCACTCTCATGCGCTTTAAGCCATGTGCTAATGTTGTTACTTTCTCAAAAACAGACCTGCAGTTGTGTTTTGTTTCAGTCACACATCAGCCTGCATTATCATTCTGTCTACATCTCCAAAGCGCAAAATGCTCTGTTCCACCTTGTGATGTCATGTAGTGGTACTTTTCATGTTAGCAGCTGCTGTTTACCTTTAGTTCAGTAGAGATGGGCAAATCTAGGGCTGAAATCATCCAAATAATTCTAGTGAAGGTTTGTGGAGTTTAAAAACAGTGGATCACTTTCTGTATTACAACATGACATCACAAGGTGGAACAGCATATTTTCTGCTAGAGAGGTGAACTTTTGTTTTTGTTTTGTTTAGTGTGTTTGTGTGAATAAAATAAAACGCAATTCCGTGTATATTTCTGATGAAGAAACAACATTATAGCAGGGCTTAAAGATCACAATTGTACTTTTTGCGTAATACAGGACCTTTAAGGTAATAAAAGTAATTTTCTGCCCCTACATTGGCATTGGTCAATATGGGATATGGGATAACATAGGTCTGAAAATACGTAATATAGACATTTAAAGCACAGTTTAGGATTACACGGGAGATGTTATACAACTGTTAATATACAACAATTTATGTTTGAAACAACTTTGTGTGAATAAAATATTATGAGACGTTCTAGGCCAAAATCAGACAGGAAATAGTCATATTATATCTAATTAAAGGTCCAGCCAGGATATTGTCTTAACTGATATTAGATCCAGCTGATTTTTCAGTATCTTCACCAAAATTCCACACCAGCATCAGTATCGGTGCATCTCCCCATTCAAGACAACAAACAAAAGTCATGTTTGCATTCTACATCTTGAAAAAACTTTCCTCTATATCTTTTCTTCTTTTTGCACGTATCGCGAGACTAATTGCGTCAAAGCTCTTTAAACATGGCCACGCGCGCTACCATTCGGTCGTGTGTAGTGTCGGTCCCGGGTGTGACTGAGCTGCTGCAGGTAGAAGATTATTGCTCTAAAAACTCACCGTTTTCACTCTAAAATTACTTGAAAGTAACTGTTATGCCATCAACCTCTCTAGATGCCACTTGCCTTAACGACGAAGTGCTGTCGTGATCCTATGTGGTTAAACTAAGTGGAACTGGTGCGTTAACTTTGTTTGTTGTTCGGAGCTAATGCTAATGCTCCGATTCAATACACTCAATACAGACCTGTGAGCTGGTGCTGTATATGTGTGTATATGTGTGTTATATATATATATATATATATATATATATATATATATATATATATATATATATATATATATATATATATATATATATATATATATCTCAATGCAATTTATTAAGTTTTTGTGCTAATATTGACAACAAATTGTGATTGATATGATCCTGGTAAATTGTTGACCTATTGTTGGAAATATTTTAGTACATTTAGAGTACACTTGATATTGACTAATACTTGTACATTGTACATGTACATGGATGAATTCTGATTCAGATTTTTTTTAATGACAAATGTTATGATATTGTAGAAATGTTTTATAGGGACTTAATTCTACTTTATTGTATTACTCACTGTTGGTCCTGTTTTGCACAGTCCAGGTTCCAGAAATTGGACTTTCCAGAAACTGGACTCTCAGACACTGGATGGTGAGCTAAGGCCTGGAGCCCGAACCAAACTAAGAGTGCAAGCATCTGCCGGTGCGGTAGGAGGCATAGCAGCCGCACAACCCCACACACACTAGCACACCCTTTGCCCCCTGCTGTGGGCACTGGGTCCTCATTGACTATGCTGGGAATCACCCACCTTATTACAACAATCTCCGGAGCTCTCTTTTGTGTTATTTCGCTACCCTCGTGTGGATTATATTAACTTTTGTTGCGGCTCATTTGCACTTGGACTAAGGACTGTAACGCGTTGAATCCATCGATCAGAGACTCTGAACTTCATCAGATGAATGTGCACAATTGTAAATATTGTAAATACTCTGTCTGTTTGTACACTGTAAATACACTACAACTAAGCACTACAATCCTGTTTAAGTGTCTTATTGAACACCTCACTTCCCTCCGAGCTGAACCCTGGTCTTCTGATCTAGCCTATTACTATTATTAGTGCTGTCATGCGATTAAAAAAATTGAGAGATTAATTAATTATGATCTGTAATTAATTAATCTAATTAATCTCATTTTAATCTCACCTAAAAATTGCTGAGAAAAGCCTTCAATTTGAGGTATTTTCATTTAAATTCATTATTACATTATTGTGGCAGATCAAAAGACTGATATAGAACAAAAAAAGTGACTTTATAAAGTCATTTATTGTTTAACAAATCTCTCCAAATTGGCTGTTGAGCCCAAGTCTCCATGAATAAGAAACTGTTTGCTGTAAAGTAGCAAAGACGAGAAAATCTGAACATAATAACCTTTGTCTACTTAAAGACAATAAAAAGTCCAGTCTTTCCTTAACCATATTAAAAATATTATTGATAGAGAAATGCTTTATATATGACATCACTGATTTTAGTCCTTGTTTTAGTCCTGGTTTAGACCTGCTTTAGTCCTAGTTTAGTCCTGGAATGGATTAATCCTGTTTTAGTCCTGGTTTTAGTTCTGGTTTTAGTTCTGCTTTTAGTTCTGGTTTAGTCCTGGTTTAGACCTGGTTTAGACCTGGTTTTAGTTCTGATTTTAGTTCTGGTTTAATCCTGGACTGGTTTAGTCCTGGTTTAGTCCTGGACTGGATTAGTCCTGGTTTTAGTCTTTAGTTTAGAGGCGCACAGGAGGAAGCGCGGTTTACGCAGCGTACGCGAGAAAACACGGTCCACTCGCGGCGCACGGGAGCACGTCGGTGTCCGCGCAGTAACTACGGAAGGAAACGTGGTCCGCGCGTTCTCAGGTTAATGACGATGATGAAGGTGTGTATTTGTTTGTGTTTATGTGTTTGTGTGTGTCTGTGTGCGTGTCCCCTCATGTGGCAGGTCACTATAGGACAGTAGTGCAGACATCATGAGCCTATGCAGGTTGTTTTCACCAGTGACATTTAAGTTGTAGGCGATTTTATATTTGTTATTTTCTTTTATATTTCACGTCGGGAGAAGAATTTCCAAGACACGAATGTGTTTTTACCTGTGCACTGCTGCCTTTGTTCTACTGGCTCTACGACCTCGTCCATCGTGTGACTGACGTTTACATTGCTCTTACTGCGCGCGTTCTGTGTGGGTTTCCGGCAATGAGTGGAATTACCGAAATAAAAAAAATTATAAATGTGTTTTTGTGTGTGTGTTGTTGTCCCAACAACACATAAAAACAGGTTTTATAATAAAGCAACTCACATACAGAAACAGTAAAGTTAGAGATTAAAAATGAGATTAACGCGATTAAAAAACATAACGCGCTAAATATGACTGTAATTAATTAATCGCAATTAACGCGATAATTTGACACCCCCAACTATTATTACTATTACTACCACTACTATACTTCCAATCTGTACTAAACCCCTAGTGTGGTATTGTATAAGTGCTACTTTTTTTTTTTTAAGATATTGCTACACCATAGCTATTAATTTAAGCAAAGAGACTTGTAATTAGATATACTGTGATGGTCCATGATATTATTGTGAGACATCTGATGATACAATATCAAAATATTTTGGTTATTGTTACATCCCTACCCAACAGAAAATGTATTCTATATGGACTACAAAACCATTTTAAAACCACCCAGAGAATTGGTGTAATGTTGACTTGTTGGTGCACATGAACATTTCACACAAATCAACCAACTTTATTTCATATTTTAGCAGTGAAACTTTTCCATTGAAATGAAGTGGATGCCGCTTAAAAGGAAGTGCCACCACAAAGCGCAGGACTAAATAAGGTCAATACAAAAGAAAAAAGATCTCCAGTGACATTTACAGTAGTTGCTTCACAATTAATTACGTGTTACCTCTGGTTGGATCGAGTGTTGTATAAATAATTATGCACCTGGCTGCCAGAAAACATTTCCAAAGCTACTGCTTTCCAACCAGGGCACTGAGCAGTCGTTACTTAGAATTATTTCACATTACATTATTTATGAGATTTATATGGCTATAATATGTACGAGTCAAGTATTTTTTGCCTTATATAAAAGCACAAAATGTGAAAGTAACAACAGTTCTGTTCATAAATAATAAGTCAAAAATGTTAGGAGGATTAAGGATTATCCTTGTTTCTTTGGCTATAATTTTCCACAGTGTGGTTTGAAAATTTTTCATCTCCGGGAAAATGTTTTGTATGGTTTCAACTTTCTATTCCCATGGAATCATGCAAGTGACATGCCACCTCCAGAAAGTGACATACTGTATTTTTAAATATGCTTTGCTTAGTGAATTTAAAGAAATATGGACCTTAAATGGATATAAGACTTGCAACTGAACTTTGTGAACGTAAAAGCCACTTTAAAGAGTTTCTTGAATCTAGAGAAAAATGACTGTGTATGTTTATTCTTGTTGAAGTGCATGTGATTGGAGCCAAGCCCAAGCACACAAGCTTTCATTCTCTTTCAGTTGGAGGGCTTTGTGCAGGAGCTGGACTATGACGAAATCCATAGCAACAGAAGACGCAACGTCATGTAGAAGTTAGAGAAAACTATTTACTGTCACATCGCTGACCAATGACAAATGAGAATAAACCTATTAGATTGCAGTAACTATATGGATCTGTGCATTTAAACAGCGTTGTAAACTCATCTCTTCTCTGAACTATCACTACCACTCTCCCCGTAGTCCTTAACATGTAAACTTCAGTAATTCCTGCATTAGACCCCTTATTCTAGTCACTAATGAACTTTTTTATTTACGTTTTTAAATGTAGTGTTTATACTATGTTTTATATTTTAAAAGTACAATATGTTGCTTTCTGGAGGTGGGAAGTCAGCTGGATGATTCCACGAAAATAGAAAGTTAAAACCATATTTCGGAACATTCTCTGTAGAGATAGATATCATTTAATACCATTCTGTGGAAGATTATAACCAAAGGACTATTTCCATGGACATAAGCCAGTTCAAATAAGAGGCAGGTTTGTGAAGATAAGACCACTTTGTGTAAGGATACAACTTTTTGTATGTTTTTCAGTGCATTAAACCCAACCAAAATGAAAAACAAGAAAGAAAAACACATGCTTTTATTTTAGTCTAAAAAAAAAAAAAAAAAAAACATACTGTGGCTTTAAATAATATATTTTTATGGTCATTTATGAATTACATCAAAATGGTACTCACCTGAGAGAACTACCCAGAGACAGCACAAACAAAACACACAAAATTCAGACTTGAGTGAAGCACAAAATGTACAGTCTACATCTACAGCCATGATATTGCAAGTGTATTTTTGTTTCTCGAGGCCTGAAATGCTTTTAAAAAGACAATTTACATTTAGTTGTAGGTTGTAAATACATAAATATTGCAGTGATCGATTAGTTACTGTAGGACATAACTGCACTGATTTGTAATGTTTCAGTATTGATGAATTTCAGAGGTAGGCAATACTCTGAAAAGTACAATTTCAGAGTACTTTTAGAGTACAATCTCTTACAGAGTACTCCACTAGCAGCATACTTTTACTCTACCTCAGTAATATCTTTATTGAAGTAACAGTACTCTTACTTGAGTAAAAGGTTTGGTTCCTCACATTTGTATTTCTTGCAGCGATCTTTCAAATATGCTGTTTTTCTCCATTGTAAATATAAAATGTAATGTTTTGTCCTTCAAATTCAACTTTAAAATGTGCATTGTGTCACTTTCTGAGTGGAATGGCCGTTAAACGCTTTCCATGTAAATATTATTACTTTGTCTGCAATGTTTCACAGTATGGAGACTCCATACTGTGAAATGTGTGCATGGACCAAACCAAGTTACAGGTCTGATCTGTGGAGAGGTGACCCCGCCCAGTTATGTATGTATGTTTTTCTAGGTAATTTTGAGCTATAAAACCACCTGTAATTGAAAACAGTAATACAGTAAGAGTAATAGAGTAATATTATCCTGAAGTTTTCCAGGTTTTCCTCACTGATGCTGTGATGTGGTTTTGTGGTGAACACTTGTCCGTGTGGAGCTGAGATAATTTTACCTCTGTCCTACTTTCCCTCCTCTGGCTCCTGAGAGAGACGTGACCCAGCTCTGGTTCTGACACTTTTCAGCTCGGCTTTGATTCGATCAGAGAGAGGATTGTGCACAGTGTGGTGTCACTGAGATACTAAAAACTCAAGTAAATGTAACGAAGTACTCTGAGTAGAAGTACAAAGTAGTGGTCCAGGAAATAAAGTAAGAGTAAAAAGGTATTTTGGAAAACTACTACTCAAGTAAGAGTAACTGTCTGGGTGTAATTTAAAGTTAATGTAATCTGAAAGATAAAATGTTAAATGAAGCACAAAATCTAGTTATATATCCAAAGAAGTGCTGCAAGAAACAGAAATGTTCAAATCATTTCATACTGTCACATAAATCTTTTATCACTTTGTCACTTACTCACAGTGTTTAGAGGAACCGAAACTTTTACTCAAGTGAGAGTGTTGTTACTTCAATAAGAAAATTACTCAAGTAGGCCACCTCTACCACCATAAAAGTAAAAAAAAAAAAAAAAATCTGTACATAATGACAGCTTTTTGTTTTTTTTTTATATTATCATGGGGTTTTATGGCTTTGAGGTTCTGATATTGATCCAGAACATTCTAAAACTATAAAGAAACAGTTCAGATTTGTCCAGTTTATTTCATTTATCAATATTAAATTTCAGGCTGTTGACCCTAATTATCTCCATTGATTTTAATGGGATTTTTTCTTTGACATGTGAGTCAGTGGCAGAGGCTGACCTGAGGGGCGGCGATGGTGAGCGCAGTGTTGGCCAGCTCTTTGTCCTGGGACTTCTCTCTGGCCAAACGGGCAGCATCTTTCACCTCCCGGAACTTCTCTGAGAACTGAGAAAGAGAAAACACACACTATATACCAGTCTGATAAACAGAAGTATTTTTAGACCTTTAAGTAAATTCGTTTGAAGGAGACCTAATATTCCTTCATTAAACTCACAATATTTCTTTGAGTCTTGCAAACACACACGTTCAGACAGACTTCAGCCTGCTCTGATGTGGAGAACTACAGTGTTTGTACACAGCTGCTTTCCCCACCTGGAGGCTACACTTCCTAGGTCCCAGTGCTCCTTTCTGCTGTGGTGTTATAATCTAAATAAAATAATTTGCCAAATCGTTTCAAACTAATAAACGGCATATACCTCTGGTCCCTGTGGTAGTGTTCTGGTGGAGCTGTACCTGATGCAGCTGCTGTTCGGTGGCGAAGCCGAGTCCGTACACGGTGTTGGCTCTGGTGTCCGCCCACTGACCAAACTTCTGAGACGTCTTTGTGAAGGTCATGCTCGGGGTCACACTGCAGTTGATAATGGCCTAAACACAAGACACAAGACAAAGCACTTCAGTTTGGAACAGACAGGAGAGGACAGTTTAACAATAAATCTTTTCAAATTCTACAATATTTCCAGATGTTGATACTGCTATCGATATTAAAACATTGGTATAAATCATTTTTAAATATTGCTATCAGTATTTACATTTTTTGTTGCTGTGTCTGGACTGTTCTACAGCATGGCATTAAATCTTCTTCTAAATCTATCTTCATGGAGAATTTAATCAATGTAAGGCAGTGCTGTTTAATGTCACACTGTGGAACATTCCAGGCAGAGCAATGACCTCTCCATAGAAACAAGCAGGTGACAGACCCCCAACCAAAATGTTACATAGTGCACCTTTAATAAACATGGGTTGCAAATGAAATGAAATTAAACACTTATTGATACTGAGCACCAAATATAATTGTTCCATCAAACATATTGAAAAATAAGTAAATCTAGTGATTATTGTGGGGCCTATATCCACCTGTTTGACTGTAAAGTTCCTGTTCTTCCTCATCCTGGGATAATAAATATTTGAACAGACCTATTTTAAATCTCTTGACGTCACCTCCTCTGTGTAATAATACAGGTTTGAAAATCATGGCAGGCAGCAGCAGCCTTCAGCCTGTTCCTGCCCTCTGCACCCGCTGTGATCACATGAAGTCTGTGCGTCTGTGTTCACGGTGGAGGGAGATTATCGTAAGAGCCAGACACTACAGCTCTGAGCTCCACACAGACTCTGGGGTAAAACTGATGTGGGTCAAACAGAAAAGAAGAGCTCAGGGCAGATCAGACCCCTCCTCCCATCGGCCTTTTCCCATCAGCCTCTATGGGGCTCATCTCAATCCTCTGTCCAGTCTGAGAGCCGCCGGACAGCTGTTACTCTCACCTCAGATGGCACAAAGGACCTCCCACCACTTAGCTTTAATTAAATGTATTAAATGTAGTTTTTCTTCAAAAGTGGTTGTTTTTATGACTTTATATACACTACCAGTCAAAAGCTTGGATACACCTCATTCAGTGTTTTTTGTCTTTAAAGTTGCATTTTGTAACCTTTCTGGTGGAGGGTCTCTCAAATGCTTTTCTCCATGGAGATGTTGTTGCTTTGTCTGGAATGTTTCACAGTATGGCATTAAACGTTTCTATTTTCATGGAGATCAAAGTAGGCCAACTCTCAAGTCAGATCTGTGGAAAGGCGACCCTGTTCACAGTCAGAATGTCTATTTTTGAGCTATGAAACCACCTGTAATTCAATAAATGTAAAGTAGAGCTGTTTAATGTCATACTGTGGAACATTCCAGACAGAGCAATGACATCTCCATAGAAACAAGCAGGTGACAGATCCCAAACCTTAAATGTATTAAATATATTTTAATGTAGCTTTTATGACTCTTTATAAACTGTCAGTCTTAGTCTATGAAATTTGCTCTTAAGACACATTTCTTTGCTTTGGCTTTTAATATTATTTAAGCTGTACATTTGTAGCATTTTGTATATCTTTTGTATATATGTACTTATATGTTTTGATATTGTTTACAGAAGCACTTTGGGCATCTGTTGTTAATGTCAATGTCAGTTTGATTTCTATAGCACATTTACAATTAACAGTCAAAAATTTGGACCGACTATATTCAGTGTTTTTGTCTGTAAGTTCACTACTTCCTATATTTTAGATACAGAAGAGCATAAATTCATGAAAGAGAAATAGAATTATGTAACAAAGAAAAAATTGCAATAGCTCAACTAAATATTTTTTTAATATATATTTTAGGTTCAAATCCTCATCGTAGTGTGAACACTTCTGCAAAGCCTTGGCCTTCTCTCAGTGAGCTTCATCAAATCTTCTGACATGGTTTTCACTTTCACAGCTGTGCCGAGTGACAAACCAGATGCCAAGAGTGTAAAACAGGATACAAAGCAAAGGGTGGCAATTTTTCACTTTATTTATGTATTTTTTAATCTCTTCTGTGTTTATTGATAGACTTGATGCTTCAGTGAGAATCTACAATCCAATAATCATAGAAATACAGAAGAAATATTAATGAAAAACTTGTCCAAATGTTTGACTAGTAGTGTAAGTGACGTCAAAGATGAAGGGCATAGGTCAGTATTCCAGAGATGATTGTGGCATTTTCATTTGACCCAGTCTTTTCAAAAGGATTGCCAGATTTCCAGTGGGGGATCAGAGATTTGGATGGTCCATTCGTGCCAAAAACAAACATGGCGGCTTACGGGTAAACAGACAGAAAATAAAAAACACGCAGAAGACTGAAAGCTGTAAATGTAAGATAAAAGTGAAATATTTGGTTCTGAATAAAACAAGGATTTACTCGAGTATTTGAGAGATGTGTACTATGAATAAATGGCTGTGATTAGATAAATATATTCAAAAGATCACAAGAATCTGTCTGAACATAAAGAAGGGTTGGTTTCCCTTTTACAGGACTACACAACTGTTACTGGGATTCACAAAACTGTGAATATCAATATGAAGATTTTAGTTTTAATACAGCGTGTTCAACAGCAATGGCACTAAATAATATAGAGCATCAGCAAAAACATTTGTGGACTGGTCAAGTCAAAACTAAAATGACCTGAGTCTAGGAAAGAGATGGTTATGGCTACGTTCACATGCACACCAAATCTGATTATGATTTAATTTCCGGTTAATTAAAAGGTGCATTGTGTAATTTTTCTGGTAAAAGGTCTGACGCTTTTCTCCATGGAGATGTTATTGGTTTGTCTGGAATGTTTCTCAGTATGGATTTAAACCTTCAAACTTCATGGAGACCAAACCAGACAAAATTACAGGTCGGATCCGTGGAGAATGTCAGATTGCCTTTTTTTTTTTTTTGAGCTATAAAACCACCTGTATTTGAGTAAATGTAAAGTAGACCTGTTTATTGTCATACTGTGGAACATTCTAGAGAGATCAATGACATTTCCATAAAAACAAGCAGGTGATGGACCCTCCATTAGAAAAGTTACATAGTGCACCTTGTAAGATATGTTATAATGTTGTTACCTCCTGAAAAACAGATCTGGACTTGTGTGTAGTTTCATTCATTCATGTATGTTTGAGAACTTCTGCATTATTAGGCTGCTTATATTGGCAAAACTAAAAATGCTCTGCTGTTCCTTGTGATGTCATAAAGTGGTAGTTTTCAAGTTAACAGCTACCATTAAAGATGCACTATGTAACTTTTTTTGGTTCTATGGATATGTCTCTGGTCTTCTTGGAATGTTCCACAGTATGACATTAAACAGCTCTACTTTACATTTATTCAAATACAGGTGGTTTTATAAATCAATAATACCTAGAAAAACAGACATTCTGACTGTGAGCAAGGACACCTCATCACAGATCTGATCTGTAACTTGGACTAGTTTGGTCTCCATGAAGATAGAAAGGTTGAATGCCATACTGTGAGACATTCCAAACACAGTAATAACATCTCCATGGAGAAAATCATTTGACGGATCCTCCACCAGAAAAGTTCCACAATGCACCTTTTGTTAAGTATCGATTGGCAATTCCAGGGCTGAAATTATCCAAATGATTCTAGTGAATGGTTTATTTTTTTTGAATGTGAGGGGTTTTTTTCAGTTTGAGAGAAGAACACAGCCTAAGAACTTCAAGTCAGTTTTTGATGAGGAATCTACATTATAACAGATGAGAAAACAGCACAATATGGGCCCGTTAACGTGTGACACCGGGCTCTTTCTTCAAGGGCAAATGAGTTTTATATTAAGAAACCATGTAAATGTCTGAGTATATGAATTATGCAGGAGGTCTGACATGTTTGGAGCATTACTATAGCCCTTTAGATGATGGATGACCCTGATTCTTAAGGACAGGTTTGAATACGTCTAATCTACGTGCGCCTGACCTTGGTCCCGCCCACACTGATGATGCGGTAAACATTGCGGTTGGCGTCGTAGAAGAAGGAGACGGTGACGGCGTGTTTACTAGCCGGGATCCAGTTCCTCTTGGTGGTTGGGTCGATCTGGAACACATGGGCCCGTGTGCTGAAGATCGGCTGCTCCCTGCCACAACAGAACATGCACTTTAAAAGGTTTTCATCACTACCACAATCATATTTAAATCACTGCAAGGCTTTGGAGGCAGGAGTGCTACTTGGATATGCAAAAAATGTGCAGAATTGTCCTTTTGGTGCTCTTCAGTGTAGGGACCAGTCTCAAATACAAAGTGGGAAAAAAAATGAGGCACTCAAAAAGTACAAAATAATTAAAAGCCTTTAATACCACATGGCAGATAAAGTTAAAATACGCCAATGCGTTTCGGCCCTTCGGCCTTCATCAGGGCAAACTCAGTTTGTCAGTTTGTTAACTTTATCTGCCATGTGGTATTAAAGGCTTTTAATTATTTTGTACTTTTGAGTGCCTCAGTTTTTTTCCCACTTTATATTTAAATCACTTTTGTTACAATATGGATAGGCCTGTCACGATGATTACTATATCCACTTCAATACATGAAAGCTCCAACAATGTATTTTGGGGTTCAGTATTTATCGTATACACATTTTCTTTGCAATAGAGCAATAGCAATAATAGCAATTTTTATGTAAAGGTATGTATGTAAATTCATAAATTCAAGTTTGTACCAGAGTTTTCTTCGGATCTGTTCTCGTGCAAACCAGGACACGCATTCTGCGTAAATTACCTTGTTCCCAACAGAACTGTATTATTTGGCTAGTCACTGTACTTTTATGTCTGACCCCATTAATGACACACAAATCCACACGAGCCCCGAGTGTGGCTCTGGAGTGTGGCTCTGGAGTGTGGCTCTGGAGTGTGGCTCTGTGTGAACTCTCTCAGTACTTTTAAGATCAGACACTCGGGGTGAGAATGACGGCCTCCTGCTGAGAGCTGGACACGAGGAGGACATGAGGGTCTGTGTTTGGCTGTTGGCTATGACTTCACCACCACATAGCCTGACAGTTTTCTGTTGAGATCAGACCAAACGCTTTAAACTGATACTATTCTTTTATATGCACTTTTTCAAGCTTTTGGCAAATTTTAAGGTTACAGTAAATAAAGTACACTTCATTTGTCCTCTGCATTTGATCTACCAATCAATGCCACACGGGCACCTCATCAGGAGCAGTGGGCATCACAGTGCAGTGCCCGGGAACCCATTGAACTCATCTTGTTACTAGGCTGGAGTGCCCAGAAAAAACCCACCCAGCCACAGGGAGAACATGCAAACTCTGAACAGAAAGCCTTCCTGCTGTGTAGTGGGTGCTGGAAGTGTAGTTAGCTCCTCTTTTCAGACAGATAAAAGGCACTTGATAAGGTGGCCTGGCTGGATGGCAAAATGTCTTCACTCTAAAACTTCTGTTCAGTTGACAGAATAAAATTTTCTTTTGTGCCTTTTTTCCCTGAGTTCGCTCCCACCAGCATTTGCAACAGGTTTGACTGGCAGCGGTGTTAGTGCCGCCCCCTGCTAAAGGAGCGAGAAAGAGCGTTACCTTCAGCAGCCTCACTCCAGATTGGCTCTTTGGTTGCTATGATAATTGACTGGAATTCCAAATATGGAACCTGGCTCCGAATTCACCCTATAGCCTCCAGCCTCAATGAGTTTCATTTGACTGGAGTGGAACGCTGTAGGTGACGTTAGACCAACAATATACATTTTGTTCAAAAAAATCTACTGATTACTCGACTAAATGACTTTAGACCCACAGCCCCAGTGGTTCTAGCTGTTAACCGCAGCAGATGGAGGTGGTCTCTGGGTTTAAAGGTGGGTCTATAAGCACACAAGCTGATTCTGATTAGACAGAGGCTAACGCTGTACCCCAGGATAAAAGAGCCCCACTAATACTCAATCTATAGTAATCTTCCCTCTCTAAATCCTAATGCAGCTGTCACATACATGTACAGTCTATGGGGGGTTACAGAAGGTTTGGTGTGTGAGAATCGCAGGACCATTTCAAACATATGGGTATAAACTAATCCTTGGAGAACAGTGTTAAAAGCATCTGAAGCTCCCACGCCATTTCCAGAGTTGGATAGTACTCAGATTTGTTTGAGTAACTTTGACAGTCCTATATAAGACAAAACTGACTCTTGTGAGCTTTAAGTTATATTATAATGCTCAAAAACAGACCTGGAGTTGTATTTGGTTTCATTCACATTTGAGTAACCCTTTATTGTCTGTCTACATCTCACCACGGTTTGTGTGTTAAACATGTGTGACTGAATGATGATGAAGAAACAACAGCTCAGAAAAAAGCATAATGTGGCTATTTTAAAGAAATTGTACTTTTCTAGCAGAATACTCCTGCATGAGTATTTTTTCTATTTAAAGGGTCCATATTAATCTACTATCTATGTGTGATCCATGCTATGATGCTGTTTCCTCATCAAAATTTCCTCATCTGTTCTCTCAAACAGAAAACACTCTGTTCCACCTTGTGATGTCATATAGTAATACACAAAGTGATCTACCGTGTTTTTAAACGCCATACACCTTCACTAGAGTCATTTGGATGAGCTAAAGGTAAAAGGAAGCTATTAACTTGAAAACTACCGCTTCATGACATCACAAGGTGGAACAGAGCATTTTGAGTTTTGAAGATGTAGACAGACTAATAATAAAAGGCTGCTATTACTTGAGTAATAATTTTTCCAAAATAATTTTTTACTCTTACTTCTTGAACCACAACTTTGTACTTCTATTGAATAATACTATTTTTCTGTGATGTGACTCTTACTTGAGTACAATTTTTGGCTACTCCAACCACTTCTGTCATTTCACTGCATGTCCTGTGATTAAAAGTTCACTTTGTCATTATTCGATATATTGTGATGACCCACGGTGTTATTGGGAGATTTTTGATGATACGATATGATGATGTTTAGGTTATTGTTACATCCCTAATGTAAATGTATATCTAGGACTGTGTCCACCCTAACCCCTGGACACCCAATGTCCATCACCTGCTTTTTTCTGTGGAGATGTCAGTGCCCTACCTGGAATGTTCCACAGTGTGACATTAAACAGACCTACTGTACATTTATTGAATCACAGGTGGTTTTACAACTCAAAAATACTCATTCTGCCTGTGAGTGGGGTCGTCTCTCCACAGATCTGACCTGTAACTTGGTCTGGTTTGGTCTCCATGAAGATAGAAAAGTTTAACGCCATACTGTGAAACATTCCAGACAAAGCAATAACATCTCCATGGAGAAAAGCATTTGACGGAAAACTTACACACTGCACCTTTAAACTACACCATGTTTCTAACTCAGTACACAAAACAGAGTAGAAAATATCCACAATTAGCCATGTGCTTTACTATTAAACTTTTATCTCGATGTACTAATGCTGATGTTGAAGACATGACTGTAGGACTGGGACTTCCTGTGGCCTTGTCTCTGCATGAGAGCTCACGAAGAGAAAGCTCTGCTGAATAGAAGAGAATCGTCCTTCTCACACACACACACACACACACATACACACACACACATACATACACGCACCATACAAATACACACAAGCACACACAAATGCACACAGAGTATAAAAACTGTAAACACACAGATGTCAGGGCTCTCCCCGTAGCGACGCTGTTCACTTGTTGCCTTGCTTCGCTGTCATTTTCCTACTGGGCTGTGTCTGATTGTCTGATTGTGCACACTTTTCCTTACAGGGGGCACTATTTAGGGGTGACACCATTTTTAGTGGTGTCTGAATGACCAGTTGGTGAAAAAGTAATGCACTCAAAATTTCCCACAATGCATCTTGAAAAGTAGTGAGCATCGATGCTTAGAGCTACAATAAAATCTGGAAGACGAATCCAACACGGCACTGTATTTTTTCAATGGCCTGTGCTCACAGATGCATGGGTCAAACATTTTTTTAAAGTTTATGTTGCAAAAACAGAAAAGAATCCCTACAAAATCTGACCTTCGTGAAATATGGACAGGCAGTTTAAATTCCCAAAAAATGCTTGTGCTTCAATGGAAGATTTCTTTCTGGGCCCAAGCTCGTGGGAGCTGCAGTACCTGGAGCGGACACTAGTCGTCCTTGAGCCGGCACAGAGTGGGAATGCCTTATCCAATTTTGATTATAGATCCATGATCGGTGGTCATTAGAGCAATCAATATAGACCACAATGCACTGGGAGAGTCAGGAAAGCCATGGTGTTCAACGACAAGTGTTCAACTGGACACAACCCGACTGAATGAAGCAGATAAAAGCTCTGGTTTATGGCTCTGATCCTGATTCTGAATAAAACACAACTAAATAAACCTGGTGTCAGCGGTGCTCGCGTTAGCCGTTAACCTTAGGTCCACTTGTTAAAAGAGAAATAATTTCCACATTTCCGACAAAAAGCAAATAATCCAGTCCATTTACGTGAAATCCAGCATGACAAAAACTTGGATTATTATCATTAGTCCATCAATATTTGTGTGCCAATCTGATCTGATCATTGGAGTTGGGGGCGTTCCCAGCACTGTAGGGGGCGCTGATAAGTGCGGGTCTATGTAGTGCATGTGGGGTCAGGGACTAGGGTGGACACAGTCCTAGATATACATTTACATTAGGGATGTAACAATAACCCAAACATCATCATATCGTATCATCAAAAATCTCCCAATAACACCGTGGGTCATCACAATATATCAAATAATAAGACTCTTTACTTAAATTCATTATGTTATGGTGCAACAATAACTAAAAGACCATGATCCTTTGTTGTTTCAATGCAAACTACATGAAGAAATAAATGAAGCACTTCTTAATTATTTGTTATTATAATGTATCCAAAAGCTTTAAAAAGGAGTAAGTAGCATATTTTGGTTTTGAAAATATGGTATCGAGAGATTAGGACATCGTGACATCCCTAATTTACATGATTACAACATTACTTTGCTTACCGGTCTCTGTGGTGAGTGAACATCTTAGAGGAATTCTTTTCTGCAACAAAAATGAGACATTCAACTTTTCAAGGAGCGGTGTGTTACCGGCCTGTTGACTAACACCTGCACACACATCTGCAACTTCACAAGATGATCAGAAACTTAAAAAATGCACTGTGTAACTTCTCGGTTGCAGATCCGTCACATTCTTGTTTCTGTTAAGATGCCATTGCTCTGCCTGGAATGTTCCACAGTGTGGCATTAAACAGATCTACATTTATGCTTATTCAATTACAAGTGGGTTTAGACACTGCAAATTTCTCTGATCTGGCCAAGATTTTAAAACTTACATCAGGTTATTCATCTTGTTTACAGATTTATGATCTACTTACTAGTTCTGAAACTAATTAATTCTAGTCTAGAGGTCGTTTATTTTAAGATAAACCAATCTTGCTGCATGGACAGATCATTTCACTACTTTTAAGTCATTTTCTGATAGATTTAAGTGTTTATATCTTAAATTTTGGCCAATCTTTTTTGCAGTGTAGCTGAAAATTACTAATAAGTTTTTCTTAGTAATTTTCAGGCATTCTGACTGAGTGGGGTCGCTTCTCCACAGATCTGATCTGTAACCTGTTTTGATGTCCATGAAGATATAAAGGTTTAATGCCATATTGTGAAATATTCCAGACAAAGCAATAGCATCTCCATGGAGAAAAGCATTTGAGACCCTCTACCTGAAAGTTACACAATGTACCTTTAAAATGTCACTGTACAGTAGCTTCAGATTATAAAAAGATAGGAAAATGTCTGGAGATTTTTTTGGTTATATTGCAAATAAAACTAGGTCAGATAACTAGGCTGCAAACAATTTTAAAAAAGCAAGGCTCGAAAATCCTCTGTGTTTTAGTAACTTACCCCATCGCAACGCAAAAATCAAGATTTATAAAGGTTCAAAAAGGACCAAAATATTCTTCAATGTGCAGTTTTGTCCCCAGCCTTTGCCCGAGTCTTCGTCCCGGAGTGTGCGGGGCTGCGGTCACTCGTGTGCGGGGGGACACGGCTCTTTGTCCCGTTGCGCGCGCGGCTCCTCCGGCTGTCCGTCCATGCCGCTCCGTACACACTGACCACGCGCTCACTGACCACGCGCTCACTCACCGGCCCACTCCCCGCGTGCGCTCCTCCTCGTGCGCGCTACCACCCCCTGCCGGTCTCGCGCTAACACTCACTCACCTCACTCAGGGTTGCCAGATCTGAGGTGAGAACTAAGTCAACAAAAATTGTTTATTATCATCGTTGTATTAGAATCAGTATTGAGCATTGAATCTATTCCTCGATACTCTAGGCCACTGTTGGAGATGATGGAGCAGAGAAAGAGGACGCTAAAAGAGTGTGTTGTTTTAGTTTTGTTTGTCGGAAATTGTAGAAAGTCCAGAGTTTCCCAATAATGCAATAAACTATGGTGACCCACACAGTCTAAAATTCTCTCCTATAGTTAAAAAACAAAATGAACTGGACATGGCACTTTATTGCTCATTTTATTGTCATTAACATAAAACTTAACTACAGTGTGTAAGAAGACAGTTTAAAGGGCCCATGTTACGCTGTTTTCTAATCTGATAACACCTGGAGTTGTGTTTTGTTTCATTCACACACAAACCCTGCATATTTAGGCCGACAAAAAAAGAAATAAATAAAAAAAAAAGAGATAAAAAAAAATAAAAACACTGTTCTACCTTGTGATGCCATATGGTAATACAGGAAGTGCTCCACTGTGTTTTTAAACTCCATGCACTGTCACAAGAATCATTTGGATCATTTCAGACCTGGAATTTCCAGGCTCTAATAAACAAAAGGTAAAAGGTAGCTGAAAACTACACTTTTGTGACATCACAAGGTGGAACAGAGCATTTTGAGCTTTGAAGAAGCAGACAGACTAATAATAAAGCATTACTTAAACATGTGTGAACAACTCCAGGTGTGTTTTTGATGAAGTAACAACATTATAACATGATTTAAAGCTCACAAGAGTCCGTTTGTGTAATATAGGACCTTTAAGTCATGTTGTGGCGTTTTGATGTGCAGGCTGAAGGTGAAATGTTTTATATCATTGCAACTTGGGCTTCCTCCCAGTCTCAGAAACATGTCCAGTACTGTTAGTGACCACTTGTTTTTTAGTTGTTCTGGACAGCCCCTCGCCCCACTTAGAGTGCCCCACTCATGAATAAATAAAAATAATGCCCCACTTTACATTGTTAGACTACATTATTATGTATTTTAGGCCTATAAAACGTGTCATTTAGACCCTTCTAGGTTGTAATATTCTGGCATCTATGACTATTCCAAAGTCTAGGCTATTCCATGTCTATATGTGTAATTACAGTTGATAAAACTAAAACTCATATGGTGGTGGTAGTTAATATTATCGATCTCAAATCCGTTCATCTTTTTGTACAATTTGAGTTGGTCACCCTTTGTCCAAACGGTCTCCCGTCATGTCTTCCACTTTAAGATACCAAAAAGAGATGCCCAAAGTCGCTATAAATAAGCGGACATGGCAACAGGCGGGTTTAATCAGAAGCTGCCCCCTCGCCTGCCCTCCAGAGTCACTCTGCTGCTGTGGCCTGTTTGATGGAATTATGTCATGTGTTAAATTATCCAGTGGAAAATACAATGTTTGGATCTGTTTTATGGCTGTAAACCCGGAAGTGTGGGGTAAGGGGTTATCTCCACTGATTGGAAATAAGCACAAGTCTCAAGTTGACAGCTAATAAAGCAAAATAAAGGTATAATAACGGTAAATAAAAGTAAAGGACAAATTGTTTTTCTAGTGTGCAACCCACATTAATTAAAGGTTCAATATGTAACTTTTCTGGAGGTGGCACAGCACATCACCTGAATGAATCAATGGAAATAAAAAGTTCAAACCATACCAAGGATTATTCTCCATGCAGATAGATCATATGTTTTATGGCATACTGTTGACGATTATAACCAGAGGAACTACATTTCTATGATGAAAACCCATAAGGATGCATGTTTTTCTATGTTTTTCAGTGTAATAAATACAAACAAAACGAGAAAAGAAAAGCTTTTTCTTAAGTCTATTTTTGTCTTAAAAAATACATACTGTGACTTTAAATGTTATCCAGCAAGTCCTATTTGCAATGTATGGGTAATATGATCGATAAACGCTTTGTCTCTAGGCCTGCTAACCGGTAACTGATTCAATAATTAACACCTTTATAGTTAAGATTTTACTCCAAACAAAGATGAGCAAAATAAATCATTGTCTAAAAGAAAGAAAAGTTTATTTCTCGAGACAAAAAGTTTAATGGCCACAAATACTCATAATGACACTTAGATTAAATGTAGAGGTGAACAACATCTGAAAGTTTATGTCTCTCAGTCTGCAAACAAAGCAAAACCAAACCAAATAAATTATTCCGACAGAGATGTGGAGCATGCTGTTAGTCTGTCAGTGATGAAGAGGACAAAAGCATGAGGGGGTTAATGACAACAATGGACTAAAACTATGGAAACAGAACAAAGATACATGTAGGAATCCAGATCTAGCTTTTTCATTTCCAATACTGATTCCAATCCCTTAGCTTTAAGTATCTAACAATACCAGGGCTGAGACTGAAAACAGTTTATTTCCTTTAAACACAAATAAAATAAGACTAAACAAATATGTGATGTAGCTTCTATTTTAATACTTTTTTTTAAAATTTTGAAACATACAGCATGCATAGCAAAAACAAAATAGACAGAAAAAGAAACGAAAAACAAACCAAACCCTCTGACAGCCCACACTACTGAAGAGCTTTGAATCAGGAAAAGTTCAAACATGAAACTTTCTGGGCGATTACGGCCAGTAAATTGCCTTATTACATCAGTTTACATGTCCAAACAGGATACCGACTGAACCAATATGTGGATGCGGATATCTGATCCAGCAAATATTTTCAGGATCAGCATCGATATCTGATAACAGTATCGGATTGGTGCATTACAATTTCAACATACAACCTGGGGCATGCATTCTGTTAGTAATAAAGATAAAAACATGTGAGGAGGGTTAATGACATGCACTAGAACAATGGAAACTGCCACTATAAACTGATATATATATAAAATATATGAAATATATGAAATAAAGAGGGTGACTGGGACCAAGGCTGCTAAACAGCAGTTAGATGCATAACATTCCAGGGTTTGTGAATGTCCCGAAACACACAATACTATCTAAAGACTACTAAATTAAACCATTAGCCACTGACTTCAGGGGGAAATAACTTAGAGCTTGTTTACAGTGATATACTATACTGTAATACTCTCTCAGGAAGATTTAGTGACAGATCTTTTCATGTAAGAAACTAGTGATGAAAACAGGGATGGGTGATATGATAAAAAAAAAATTTATATCACTAATTTCTTGGAGCCAGATCCAGAACACCTTTTCGATTTTTATCACAATTCTTGTAAACTTAGAATCTTTATATAGCTTTATACTGTAGAAGTAAGTCACCTGCTTCTTCTGAACGTTCATTTGTCATTGTAATTGGTTGAACCCAGCTGTCAATCATTCAGGGACTGACCAATAGGAGGAGTGGGTGGTGAAAGGTGTGTGTGTTTCAGAGCTGTATTCAGAATGTGATAATTTAAACAAAATAGCAGATCATCACAGGGGTGAGCTCACAATTTTTGGTTTAGTTTTATTTCATTATTTCATTTCACCATATCACCCAGTCCTAGTTGAAAACACAAGTTCATATGTTATGCATCTACTAAAACACTAAAACCATATATGTCTCAATAAATTAACGAACACAATTATAATGAAGTTTTGTATCGACTTTCAAGTGCGTTAACACAATCCTAAAAACATTTACTTTTAATAATGTGGTATACAATGGTAGAACCCACCACTGACTTACAACTAGAGCTGCTCCGATCAGGATTTTTGAGACCAACCACAGATACTGATAATCTGAATTTTTGATTGGAAGATATTGATCACACAGGCTTTGATATGGTGATGCAAGAGATTTTATTATTTGAATAAAAATACTACAGGCCATGGGTCTCCAACCTGTAGCTCTGCTGAGCTACAGGTTGTAGCTCTCCACTCCCTTCAAAGCAAGGGATTTCTGAAATTATGTGTATTGTGCTGAATAAGCAGATTTTCATTTTTGATGCCTAATTTTGTGCACTAATAAAAGAGTATTGGTTTATGTTGTGTAAGCATTTAACTGTCACCATGTAAGGCTTACTGTGGGTCTTATATTTACTCAGTTTCTTGTAAATTTGTTGTAGACTTTGTAGCTCTCTGACATTTTTGTTTTGTAAAGGTAGCTCATGGGAGGAAAAAAGTTGGGAGATCCCTGCAATAGGCCATGGTTATGACCAACCAAAATCACACCAGTTACTGTATCAGTGGAGTTCTGCTGGTATTTTAAACCAATAACATGCTTCTGGCAGTCCATCCGTTACATACATGGGTGATGTTATGTCTGATCACCCCAATTTCACAATCACAATTCTGTTATTTTTGATAACATCTCGATCAGTGTTCGGCAGTCGATCGATCGGAGCACCTCTACTTACAAGAGTGTGTGGTCTCCTTTTGGGCAACTTGAAACCCAATATTTTTATTCAGGGCTAAAAACATGAAACATAGTTTTTCATATTTCATATTAAACATTGGGCAGAATTGGTCTCAAACCAATGTTTAAAAGGTGCATTGTGTAACTTTTCTGGTGGAGGCTCCATCAACTGCTTTTCTCCATGGAGATGTTGTTGCTTTGTCTGGAATGTTTCACAGTATGGCATTAAAACTTGCTATTTTCATGGAGACCAAACCAGATCAAATTACAGGTCAGATCTGTGGCGAAACAACGCCGCTCATTCTCACAGTCAGAATGTCTGTTTTTCTAGGTCTTTATAAGCTATAAAACTACTTGTAATTTAATACATGTAAGGTAGAGCTGTTTAATTTCATATTGTGGAACATTTCAGGCAGAGTAATGACAGAAAAACATTTGACAGACCCTCTACCAGAAAAGTTACATAATGAACCTTTAAATGTGTGTATATTTCTTTTCAAATAGTAAATCTAAGCTTTTTTAATTTACTTGCCAACTCTCTAGCTACACTAGCACGCTTTAACTTATTTAAATCATAGAAAACTTTTCAACTTCAAGCTAAGAAACAAAAGCTGTGTTGACCTCTCTCTCTTCTCTCTCACTTCGAGGCAGCTACTTCTTGGACACATATTTTTACTCAAGTGTGACCAAAATGCTTCAAGTATAAGCTCTGAGTTAGAAAGAAAAAAAGTTTGTGTTATCAACCGCTTCAAGAGTTGTGTCCCCTCTTCTCTCCAAGTCACAGAATTCATCCTGTAGAGTCTCCTTGGAGGACATTAGTGTGAGACATCTCCTCTCCTCCTTTTTTCTAGCTTTCGGGGGCAAGAATCTCAACCATCCTGCTTTAAGATCCTCGGTGTGGGAGCATGTGGTGTGGTCTCCTCCGTGCGACGTCGTGCCCGGGCGGACCTGGCTCTCCCCGTCGCGTCTCCGGTCGGCCATCTTGTCTTGCTCGGCTTGATCTCCCGCCTCACGGTCCCCTGGCTTGTGATTGGTCGGATTCTCGCGCGCGCTCTCCTTTTTTCACACAGTGGTGCTTCGGTTGTAGCAGTGGAAAAACAGGTATCCATGTCGGTTCTTTTTTGTCTTCACCCACGTTAAAACCGTCAAACTAAGCAGAACATAGGCCTAGCTCCTTCCAGCAACCTGCAAGAGAAAAAGGGCAGAAAATCTGGTGCTAAAACTAGTACTGATACTAGATACTCATTTGAGTAGGTATCAATACTAAAAAAAACTCACATTCACAGGACAGAAATGAACCTTTCCTGAATGTGTTTAGAATGATGTTGAGCTATATGAGAACAAGTGTCAGAGCACATAGACTAGTACACACACATGGACCAACATGAACCTACTGCACCACTGAGACTGCATGGTCTGACCACCACCAACACTCACATACACACAAACACACAAATGTGGACGCCCCAAGGTGACACCTGGAATTCCCAGCAGTCTCCCATCCAAGTCCTAACCAGGCTCTGCCTTGCTTAAACTTCTTAGATCTGACAAGATCAAGCTTTGTCAAGGAGGTTTTTCCAAAAACATTTTATTACATCGTTATTTTGTGGGAAGTGGGAACCTTTGCTTAACAATGTCACTTCAGTTTTGTCAAAGCAGCCTGTAACTGCAAAGTAGAGCTGTGAAAGCTCTAATTAAACTGCCCAAAGGCTGTCTAAGTATCAGTCGATCACAGCATCTAATGCAAGACAGACTTTTTATAATTGTACATCTAAAAAATGTTTGTGTATTTCTCTTTATACATAATATCAGATTGTATAGTGTATATCAAGATATCTAAAGTACTTAAGTATATATAGATATAAAGGTCTTCACTCACAGTCTAATACTGGGACAGTCCAGTCACCCCGTGTTGGTAGGCTCGCTCCCCCTGATAGGTGGAGTCCTGGGACAGAGCTACATCCATCTGAGATTTGAACTCGTCTCCAAGGTAACTGTCCTGGAAGGCACATGTTCCATTTTAGTTTTAATTAATTAGATGAATTACTTTGCAGAGAGATGATTTTTCTTGTTCCTTCTCAGCAGTATGGAGCTGCACTGACCTGCGAGAGCTCCGCCTGGGACAGACCGGGCTGGCTCATCTGGGAGGGCTGGCTCATGTTCATGTAGCCCTGTGTGAGGGGTCCCTGGGAGAAGGACTGAGAGCCCAGGTCTTGACTGGCCTGACTGGTCATGTGCCCCCCACGGTCCCCCCCTCCTCCACTGTTGCCCATGTTCCTGCCCCTCTGCCTGCCTCCTCGACCTCCTCCTCCCCCCGACTTTCCCTTGAGGCCTCCACGACCTGCACACAAGCAAAGACAACATTTAATTCAAGTGTGATCCAGAACTTAATGAACATATATTATGCTTGCGTGGGCTATATAGTCAGAATCTATGATACCCGTGGATCATTATGTTATCATTTGGACATTTTAAACACCTCAGATACATAGCATTAGTACATGCACAGCAGCACATACTGAGTATAAAATGTTTGGGGATTTTTTTGTCCCAAAATGACTATGCAACTGCTGAAAAAAAATAAATAAAATAAATAAAAGGGGAAACAAGTATAGCATGGTTAAAATTAAGACTTCAGCTGGTCAAAGATTTAGATAACGTTTCATTTGTCATCAGGAACATTATATTCATTTTTAGAACATGTAAATTTTTGGCTTTCACAAATGCAAGTAACAAAAATAAAAAAGCTGGTATGCTGTGAAATATAAGATGGATGTTTCGAACACAGGTGTGTACAGTACAGATGTGGCTCTGACCTGTCGAGGGCCCGTTGACCTGGCCCAGGTACCCCGGGGGAGGGATGGGAGGCATCACCAGGTTGAAGGGAATGGGGATGTTCAGAGAGGCCAGAGGATTCGCTCCAGAGCCAATCATCCCGATCTGATCATGAGTCTGAAAGTAAAGACTGGAGCGCCCTGAGGAGAGACAGGAAGATTAATAGGATTCTTTGTACTGATGTGTGGAGCTAGACACTAATCAACTTTTTGACTACTAAACTGTATACATGGTATTGCAATAGCATTGTTTACAGTTTATAGTCATTTTAGGGAAAACCAGGTACATTTGTAGCTTTCTGGTCAAAAACATCCAAATTTAAGTTGGTGCTGTCTTCAGTGGCCTCTGCAAGTTCAACTAGTTGGCGACATCACAAAAACACAAAAGCCATGATTACAGTCAGGTGTTTCTGATACAAATACCAGACTGCAGGGCCGGAGTTTGAAGTGCGGATACCTGTTAGACCAATCACACTGCTCCTTACACCTTCAGACTCCGCCCCTCTTCCCCCCCTCCCCTTTAGTCCTCCAGGTACTGCCCAGTTTAGCAGCTCTATGTAAAATATGTTTGTGTGCCGAGTTTAGATGTTTATTTTCATTTAAGAACATTTTTTAAACTCTGAAATGCAACTATTGAGAACTTGTATTATAGCATCTGTACTCTCATTGTCTCACCGTTGCTGCTGCGGTCGTAGGCAGATCCAGGGATGAGGGCCTCTCTGGCATCATACATGGCAGTGCTCATGAAGCGACCCCCCTGAAAACCCAAAGACACACAGAACACAGTTGAAACAGGTGACTTGCCTTGGCTATTGTCAACTAAAGAAATTCTTGGTAGATTAAAGACATGTCCTGTTCTCAAAACTATTTTGTATCCCTGTGTATCTGCCCCAAACTGCACTCACAAGACTACACCTGCAGGGTGAGTTCATACAAAAACAACTATTTATGCAGACAACAAAGTACTAGGAAACAATGTATGTATATAAAGACAGATAAAACTTGTAAATCACAAGTTCAACCTGCCTTTTTACACATAAATACCAAAATTGTAAAACGAATTTTGGTTGACTAGGACACTATCGACCAGATAAGATAAACCTTTATTAATCGGTTAAATGACTAAATGCTTAAGAGTGTTTAGGTAGAGGAGATGTGGAGATGCAGAGCAGATCATATCTCACCGGATTGATTGTGTTGACCAGTTTTCGGGGTTTGCTGAACTGCATGAGGCTCTCTCGGAGGTTGTTCAGGGGCCCCTCCACCAGCACCTTCTGCTCCTTGTAGTAGTTGAGCAGGTGGTTCCACAGAGGCTGCTTGGACAGGGCTTTGGGGTTCCCCACGATGATGACACCGTATCTGACAGAGGACGACAAATCATTGTGTTTAGGATGATACGTTTTGGATTTGAAGTTACTGTACTGTAGGTACTGCTCTGAGGCTTTAATCTGAGTTTTGTTTTAACACAATCTCACCATAAAGAACTCAGTTGGAACTACAACAGCGTTCAGAGTTTTCAGACTATCTTCAAACTGTAGAACACCCTCAGCACTGTAGAACACCCCCAGCATGATGTCACAGTATCTGTAAGAACCCTGTACTTACCGTGCGCGGGTGAGCGCCACATTGAGGCGTCTGGGGTCATTGAGGAAACCGATGCCCTGGTGCTCATTAGCCCGGACACAGGAGAGGATGATGAAGTCCTTCTCTCTGCCCTGGAACGCATCTACACTGGCAATCTCCACCTCCTGGACAAACAACATGTGACATATTGATCAATCACTGAGTTTATACATTTAGAGAGGGGGTATTACACTTCTATGGGGTATTAATTTTAATCATATAGCATTTTTAGATTTGCATGTTACCATAAATTTTTTGGAAATGTTATATTCACGGAAAACAGCATATGACAGTGTATTCAATTAGGTTCAGTTTCATTTTTAATGCTCTGAGTGGGAGAATGGGTTATGAAGGCTTGTTGGCCGAGCTTTGGATCAGATTGAACTGATAACTGAATACAAAATTTATTATCACCATTTATATGTTTGCTCTTTGTTATTATAATATGTTGTGATGTGTGAACTACTGTGTCCAAATAATTTCTCTTGTGGATCAATAAAGTCCAAGTATATTTATACTAAAGTGCCAAAGAAAAAATGTATTTTGGATTGAAGAGAAACCTGTTTCACTAAACCGTTTTTTTTCAGTACCTGGTAGAGCTTGGTGTGCAGTGATCCGCTAAACTGCATGTACTGGACCAGGTATGACCTTTGACCCTCATACGGTGTGATGATTCCGATCTGGTCGGGTTTGGCTCCTCCTTTCAGCAGTCGAGTGGTGATCTTTTCCACGTTGGCCGCCTCAGTTCTGTAGGGCGAAATTGAAAAATATTAACTTCAAGAAAGAGCTGTACTCTGCTCCAAACTTTTAAAGCTTTAACCTGTTGAGATAGGAGGTTCCTGAGCTGGCGATTTCTTCTTGCCCCTGAGTGACGTAGAAGAACATCGGTTTGTCAGGCTGTGGCCACTGGAAGTCAAAGCCTTTTTTCATCCGGTCAGCTAAAAAAAAAAAAAAAAAAAAAAGCTGTTATTTTAACATTTCAAAGTCTAAAAGCAAATAAAAGTTATTCTAATTTAGTTAACTCTAGTTATGTTTATCTATTTATTTTATTTTCAAAGTACACTGTGTAATAGAGTTTTTGGTGGAATGTCTGCCACAAAAAAATATCTTTATATGCTGTCATGGTTTTGGTATTTATCAGTTACTTTTTATTTTTGTTATCTCATTTGCAAAAGATGATGATGACCAAATATATATATATAAAAAAAGATCTGTAATAAGACTGCAATGATTAATCCCTTAGACGATTTAAAAAAAAAAAACTAGAGCAATTGTATTTTGATAATCGTAATAGTTACCTGCACTATACAGACTCTAAAACACATATGAACAAGTTTTTTTTTAATCACAGTTTGATAAATTTATGTAGATAAATCTAATAAAATAAAATTTTAAAAAATCTAATTTTCATCAATAAAACACTTTATTCGTAAATATTCTCTATCTAGAATATATTCTATATCTCTTCATATTTCAATATTTGGTATTTGGTATATTTGGTATATTTGGTTCATAATGTATCTTAAAACTCTCAATATACAGTAGAAATAATCGTTTGACTAGCTGACTAATCAAAAAATGTATCACTGACTAGGTGACTACTAAAAAACAATAATCTGTAAATAATCAAATCTTCTCTGTTGAACGTACCGGCAGTGACTCCATTTTGCAGAGAGCCCTCGTAGAAGATGTTGGAGGGGAAAGCGCTGAGGGCTGGGTGCATCCTGTATTGCACTTGGAGCCTGATGGGTCTGATGCCCAGAACCACTAGGCGCTCAAACAGAGACTGGGACAGACCCGCTTTGGCTGCCTTCTTACACATGACCACAGGGCCCAGCTGGCAGTGATCGCCCACCAGGATCAGCTACACAAAACACACACATTAGAACAACACAATGCGATGACGGAAGTGAAACTTTGCAGTTATGTCATGCTGGGGGGTTCGGTTCTGCGTGTAGATCTATGGAGGAAACTTCAGTTGTTTATGGTCAGATTGTGTGAAAACAAAGCTCAGATTAAAGTCTAACATGAGTAACAGAGCTTCAGACAGAGCAGTGCCTAGAGTTGTCATCAATATTATCTGGGGTTGTGACGCTATCAGCTGCAAAGTATCAATTAGAATATCCCTTGTTATCGCAGTAATCTCATTTGGCTGACCTGCTTGGCGCCGAGTACCACGGGGACCATACACTCTGGCTCTGTGGCCTGGGTGCTCTCATCGATCAGAATGGAGCGAAACTGCATTTTGGCCAAACGAGGATCTCCAGCTCCAACACACGTGCAGCAGATCACATCAGCGTTCTGAAAATACAAGACAGAAGTTAGGAAGGCAGCATGATATAAGAAAAAGATGCAATATTTGATATCTATGTTTTGTATTGTAAGATCAGTTAAATTAAAACTAAAAATGCACATGGCTTCATTTACTATTCAAACTGTGTAAAGGTAAAAGAAACTAAACCAAGACCAACCCAAGTGTAATGTAGGACCTAATAAGGAAATAGCGAATGCAATTGGCCATTTTTTCAATTTTATTTAAAATTAAAATTAGGATTTTTGCATTGCTGTGATATATTTATTTTCTTGCTATATATTTTTGCAATATTATGAATCCATAGATGTTATCACAAACTCTTTATTGCACATTGCATGGTTTATTGACTCATTGTTTTGCACTGTATTAAGCAAAATAAAAAAGTGAAATATGAAAATCATTTGAGTGCCATGTACCATCAGCAGCTCCCGCTCAGCAGTGCGTCTCAGAGCTCTGTAGCGTTTTTCATCGGAGGAAGACAGTTCCCCGGTCTCATCCTTCAACTGCTGCAGCTTCTGCAGTTCAGGCATGCTACAGGTGCACACACGCACACAAACATGAACACAAACATGAACACAAACATGAACACAAACATGAACACAAACATGAACACAAACATGAACACAAACATGAACACAAACATGAACACACAAACACAAACATGAACACAAACATGAACACAAACATGAACACAAACATGAACACAAACATGAACACAAACACAAACACAAGGTGCACATGAGCTGATGAGATCCACTCTAAACTGACAGAGTAGTACAGAGTAGAAACAGTGAAGCACCTGTCCATGTTCCGGGTCTGGTTGTGCAGAGCCAGGAAGGACACAGGAGAGTCTATGGCCTCTCTGCTCTTGGCACAGAGTCTCACCACTTTGAGTCCAGTTTGATGGATCTTCTCTGTCAGCTGGTCCACCGCGATGTTACTGGGAGCACACACTAGCACTGGCCTGGAGAAAACACACAAAAAAAATGTACAAAAGCAGAGTACACACCTAATACAAAACATCAGTCAGTATGTTTCCAATTGTATTGTATATGTACATACATCATAGTTAATGTGCTGACATTACAGCCGGGTTAACTGTATGACAAAAAATAATGACGTGGATTTGTACCCATTGCCTTGGCGAGCGAGGTGGTACACTATTGTAGCAGAAGTGACAGTTTTGCCAGTGCCTGGAGGTCCCTGGATCAGACTCAGGGGGCGCTGCAGCACTGTCTTCACTGCATAAACCTGAAGACAGAAAAAATTATCTTTAAGCATGAGGAGGCAGATTCAAATGTAATCATTGTTGTGACTGATCTTTGATTAATCTAATCAAATCTATCCGATGTGACCTGTGAGTGGTTGAGGTCAGGCAGGCCCTGGGCAGTGAAGCGTTTGGGCAGCTGACACTTGATGACCACGTCCTCCACCTCGTGCCCCAGGAGTTTGTGATAAATATAACCGGAGACTGAGGTCTCATCCACAGCAAAAGTCTTCAGGGCACTCTGCATTCTGCAGGAAACAAAGCAAAAATAGTTTAGTATTAAAAAACGATTGGAATGAAGTATTTGAAAAAAGACAAGCGGTCAGTGTTAAAGGTGTCATGTTTCTGGTGGAGGGGTCTGCCTCCTCCTTAGAGTGAACCTCAGAAAATTAATATAACTTTTGTAAAAATAACAAAATGTATTTATTGAGGACATAAATGTATTTTCATTCTGGAGCAATACAGAAAAAATACTGGTACTAAATATCAGCTAAATTTGGTCCAATAATGAGATCTGGGGGAATCCTCTGAAATCACCGTAACTGATATACCATCCTTACTTAATAAGTCCATACACTCTGTTTACCTGTCGAAGGATGTGGACTTCCAGACAAAATCCACCTGGAAATTGTGTGGGATTTCGACTGGAGCCCCGGCGCTGCTCCGGAGCTCAATGGCAATCTCATCTCCATAATCTGATTCACAGAGTCAGAGAGCATCTTCAACACCTCATAACACTGTTATTTCATTCACGCTTGGTAAAGGGCCCAGAGCAAACGCCACCTGTTATGTAATGTGCTGGTATCTAAATATAGGCAGTCACAGGAGACTGGGAAGGAAAAATCCCTTTATTGTTGTAGTTCCTAAACACAACCACATGGAGGCACTGTTGCTCTGCACTTTTAAGATAAAAACTGGAGATGTAAACATGTAATTCAGTCAAACAGAAAGAATGAATTTTTAAGTTATGTGAACTAGGGAAGTCAAAAGTATCAGAAATCAGATACTAATAAATACTTAAACTAGAACCAAAACTAAATACTCATTTGAGCAAATATCAACTTAAAAAGTCACATTCACAGGACAGAATTGAACCTTTCCTGAATGTCTTTAGAATGATGTTGAGCTGTATCAGAACAAGTAGAAGAGCACATAGACTATTAGACACACATGGACACTATGAACCTACTAGACCACTGAGGGATTACACAGGTATAAGGCCACATGGGAATATAAACAAAAGTACTATTATTTAAAGTTGACATTCACATTCTCTAAAGAAAGAGTGTTTCTAATTATCATTGTGATTTTGGAATCAGCATTGAGTCTATTTCTTAGTATCGAAATCGAGTTTGAAATGTTTGTATCGTAACAACAAAAGGATACTGTCAGGCACTTTGATGACGTGTCCGATGCCCTTCCACGGTGGAGCCAGGTCTCCCTTATATCTCAGGCATATCTCATCTCCCTGCATCAGCCGCATGTCTGCAGAGATGAAGAGACAAAGAAAATGTATGATTCAATTTATAGTTTTACAATATCTATAAAATATATATAAAAAGAAAATATCTGAAAGTTACATTTAAAGAGGTGGTATTTTAATTCTATGAGGTATTAACTGTGGCATTATTGGTAACATAGGCTTGTGGACCAAGCTTCAGATAAAATCATATTGCTAACTGTATAAGGAGTTTGAAAAGGAGAGATAGGAGCGATTGCTAAATTACCCAAGCACATAAAACCTCTTTACGCATCAAAACAAGGTAGAAAGCTCCAAAAAAATGTTTGATTATACATCCACTCTTAAACAATGCAAACACACCTGAATCTGTTTTCGGGAGCGTGAAATAAGCAATCCTCTTTTTATTCAGTCCCAAATCCCATCTCACTGTGATATTGTCTTGAGTCTGTCAGAGGAACAACTTGTTAATTTCAGGTAAAAAAAACACACACACACACACACAAATTGACATATTGAATCCGTTGTGTTCATGTTCTAAAATTGTCATAATTTCAAATGGACTTATAATTTTTTAGGGATTGACTTCACAAAGAGTAAAAATATTAAAATCAAAAAAATATTTATGTTATGGTATGAAGTCCTTTGATCATTCACATCTGTGATGTTGAATAATAGTGGAACTTTCTGAAACTATTGTGAACAAAACAAACAAATAAGATGTTGAACTTCATGCCAGATGTTGAACTTCGTGCCAGAAATTACAGAGATATTAACCATAAACTGGCTCACCAAATCTGCAGTCTGACAGTTAAACAGCAAATTCCAAATCAAATCCTGTCCACCAGTTTTAAAGTGGGACTAAAACCCTAAATTCTGCCCACAACCACATTTTAAACAGAGCTGCTGAACTGGGCAGTGCCTGGAGGGCTACAGAGGAGAGTCGGGGGAAGGAGGTCTGGAGGAATGAGGAACAGTGTGATCTGTCTAACAGGTATGCACACTTCAAACTCCACCCCTGCAGTCTGGTATTTATACTCAGATACACCTGGCTGTAATCAGGGCAGTGCTGTGTGATGTCATGTAGTACTTGAAATCGCAGAGTTTGTGCTAAAAACTGCCAAAATATTACCAGAACAGCAAATACTATTACACCATATATACAGTTAAGTAGTAACAAAGAAGTGAATTTTGTGTTTAGTTCCACTGATATCATATGAACACGACTCATGCACCATCCCTTTTTCTGGCCCTCACCTGAGACTCCTTGAGCTTCTTGTCGTAGTCTGCCTCCAGTTTGACCAGTGGTCCAAAGATGTTCTGGTACTGGTATGCGTCCTCATACCGCAGCAGCACGTGTTGGGGCTCCTCATCCACTCCAGGCTTCTCCAGGTCCTCCAGAGTCGCACTGGGATTTTCCTACAGCAAGAAGTAAAAGATTATAAGGACTGTAGTCAACTAAAGAGATTCTTGGTTGACTAAAGACATGTCCTGCTGATTGATTAGTGGACTAAAAAGGGAATAGAACTGTAGAAATGTTACGCCGTGCACCTTTAATCTGCCTTTTTACATATAAATACCAAAAAATACCAAATATTCAGCTAGCTCGCTCACTTTTCCTTTCTACTGTTGAATATGAATCCTTAATATCCTAAAACCTAAATAAATTGATTAATTGACAAGTTTTGGTCAACTATTAATGGACAATACGGATAATGGACTACAGCCCTAGAGATTAGATTACCAACTGTTTGTGCATTCATACATGTGGTAGTTGTGTTATTCAAGATCCTTGTAGCATCTTGTGTTTGTTTATACGAGGTGTTGGGAGCATTTCAAAGGCCAAGTTTTTCTGAATGTGGTTTTTGAAGAGTAACTGATAACACCTGTGGGGCATTTGGAAAAGAACCGACTGGGAAGTTTAAACATGTGGTTAGGATTTAAAACGCTTTTCAGTGTTTGTTACAAGAATTATTTATAACACAAAATGTTATAAATAATCCCTCAGTGGTCCAGGTAGGTTCCATAGTGGTCCATGGGCATATACTAGTCTATGTGCTATTGTACTTGTTCTGCTACAGCTCAAGTTCATTCTCAAGCTATTCAGGTACAGACTGTATAAAGAACTGGTCTAAGTGAGTGTGACGTTGCCCACAGGGTTCAGCTCCAGCCAAATTAAGATCATTGAGACCAGCCGTTATAGGGGTGAAGTTGGAGCAGAGTTCCATATTTGGTATTTTGGGGAGTATCATAGGACCCAAGGGGCCAATCAGAAGTGAGGCTGTTGACGGTAACACGCCCTTCACACCTGCACTGCTGGTTTAGCAGGAGGCGGGCACATAGCAACACTGTCAATCCTGTCAATCCAAAGCTTTTGCTAATGTTAGCATGAACAAACTTGGGAAATAATGTCTGTTTCTAATATTCATATCTTGATTTATGGACAGAATAGCAAAATAAAAACCCCAGGATAATGTACAATGGGTTAATACGAACATTTTAAGACCAAAACGACGAGCTTGACAGCAGACAATAGAAAGTGAATTGGAGCTGGAGTTGAAGGAGCCGAAAGCTAGTAGCCTTGCTTCCTTCAGTCTGCCTCAGGACAGCTGTGGCTACAATGTCTTACCACCACACAGTGTGGAGTGAATGAATAATGTTCTGTAAAGCGTCTATGTGTGTCCATAAAGGCGCTCTATATATCTGATCATATTATTAATGCAGTGAGACCTTCCAGAGCTCCTCCAGCTTGTTGATTTGTTGCGCTGTGATTTGCCTGGCTCTCAGCTGCTCGTGCTCAGACGGGATCTTCACCAGCCATGATAGGAAGCAGCGGTCCTGGATGAGCGGCTGCCACTGAGAGCTGTCCCAGTTTATGTCCTTCAGGCTGCTCTGGCTCGCACATGGCTGCCTACACACACACACACACACACACACAAACACACACAGAGACGCACAATAATGTTATAATGTTGTTTCCCCATCAAAAATATACCCACAGTTGTGTTTTGTTTTTCTTTCACTCATGTTTAACACAGTGCTCTAGGTATTTTTAAACTCCATACACCTTGACTAGAGCCCTGGAAATGCCCATCTCTCTACTGAACTAAAAGTAAAAGGTAGCTAATGGGTTAACTTGAAAACTACAGCTACATGACATCACAAGGTGGAACAGAGCCTTTTGAGCTTTGAAGATGTAGACAGACTAAAGTACAGGATTACTTAAACGAGTGTGAATGAAACGAAACATAGCTCCAGGTATGTTATGGCATTATAACATGGCTAAAAGCTCACGAAAGACAATTTAGTGAAATATGGGACCTTTAACAGTGAATGCACCTGCAGAGTAACACCACGACAGAATCCGCTTTGGCCGGGATGAAGCCAAGGAGGAAAACGTTCCGGCATCCGCAGTTGTAGCATTCCAGCACAGTCTCTCCGAGGGGTCCATCTTTGTGCAGGGTCACCTCCTTGGACTTTGCCCTCACCAGATGGTTCACAATGTGGCTTCAATAAAAGGCAGGGAAATCACACGGATCAGGCTGACAAACTTAGATTAACAAGCTTGAAATGAGCTCATTCTCACTGCAAAGGTATTTCAGAAATGCTTGTAACAGTGTTTGGCAGTTCAGGGCATTTAAGTCATTAACGTGCTGTGGCAGGGTTCAGTCCACTCCCAGATGTGTGTTATGGCCTAAAGCTATACAAATGGAGTCTGTGTGCAATTAACTGGACAAACATAAGTATTAGGGTTAACATGCACCAGTCTATCAGAATAGCATGTAAAAAAAAAATATATATATAATAATATATATATATATATATATATATATATATATATATATATATATATATAAATAATTACTTTTAGAGCCATACTTTTACTCCAACTTCAGTAATATAACAGTACTCTTACTTGACTAAAAGTTGTGGTTCCTCTTCCCACTGTGATTAAGACTACAAGTGACAAAACTTTATGTGACAATATGAAATGACTTGAACTTGTGTGTTTCTTGAACCACTCCTTCAGATATAATGTACTATTTTTATTTTTCTGTCCACCTTTTAAAAATACCAGATTTTGTAGATTTTTTAATGTTTTGTCCTTCAAATTCCTTTAACCAAAAGTTATAAATCAGATGTTACGTCCAGAGAATTGAGTACTTGAATACTTGAGTAGTACTTTTCCTAAATACTTTTTACTCTTAAGTACTTGAGTAATTCCTTGGACCTTGGACTATTTTGTACTTCTACTTGAGTAATATTATTTTAAAGACACGTTACTCCTACTTTAGTAAAATTTTTGGCTACTCAACCCACCTCCGCTGAAATATTACAAGTAAAGTAGTTTGAATACCAGTTTTGCCAATCGGTTGCTATATATCGCTATATCTTTTCGACTGTGCTTTTACACAGTCGGAGCGCCGCCATGATGCTTCCATTAGTAACAGTGTTTAGCTTCATCATCATTATTGCCACACGACTGGTCCAAATCGGCCACGGTTCATCTGAAATTACATCTGGAAGTTTGTGGGACTCTGAAAGAATCCTCATTTTTCAGAAGTAATCCGATCCACATGCAAAGATTTAATGTGGCTTGACTAAAATACTGATTACAATTTCTCAAATATGAAGACAAAATGACAGATTTTACCTTCCAGATGTGTTCCCTCGGCCATTACAAAACCACTTCTTGCTGGTGTTACAGTAAACCACGCAGGCCGGATCATGGATTCCACAATAACTAGAGAAATAAGGGGGAAAAAATAGTTAGACAATGGAAACAATAACTTCAATTCTACAGAAAGAGCCTTGACTAATATATGAGTCAGAATGTTATTTTGAAAAACAAGAATGCATTAATTTTAAGTTTCTAGAATGTGATGAGGCCAAACTCTCAGATGGGGGCAGGATTAAAGGGCTTGAATCTAATTTTTTCCCCAGTATAGATATTGTCTTGATACTTTGCAGTGACATCATGCTGGGGGTGTATTTCTTTTGGCGCAATGTTCATCAGTTACCATGGTGACACAATGCACATATTAGCAATAAAATACCAAAAACATTTTAAGATGATCTGAGCACTCAACAAAAAAAATACAAAATGGATTTAGATGACACATTTTCAGGACCCCGTGATCAAAACGACCGTTCATGGTCCTGTTTAGTTGTTTGGTTGATTTTCAATAAAAAGGTGAGAGTGACTAACTGAAAAACTGTTGGCTAATGCTAGATAGCTTGTGACTGTGATGTTGTCCTTTATGGTCAGATTATGTTAAAACAAAGCCCACATTAAAGTCTAACTTAACAGCTTCAGACAGAGCAGAGCCTACTGTTAGCATCACTCCCCAGGGACTGCTGATGACATCTGCTGCAAAGTATCAATAAGCAGCTCGAGGTCAAAATAAGTCTGCAAACGTTTTACCGTCCGAGATTCAGGAAGTGCACGTTAGCACTATTAACTATTTGTTATGTTAACCATTTTATTGTTTTATTGTTTATTGTTTTATTTATTTTATAGTTATGTTAACTATTTGTTAGTATCAGCATGACTGCGAAACTCCTCTCTGGTCTAGGTCTGAAACCTACTAATAAAGTCATTGCGGTGAGTAATTAGGATGCTCTGAATGCATAAGGAAAGTGAGGAGTAACTTTGGACCACCCACTTTGGAGATCTCAGATCACTGGGACAAGAAGTGTCCCCCTGTTATTACCTGCAGGCGTGTACAGGCAGGTCTTTGCTGTAAAACGCATCCTCTTCGTCTTCCTCAAAGTTGAGCTCTGCCAGCAGCTGAGTGGCCTTCACTACAGGGTCATCTCCATTCACCAGCACCCCATCAGGACCATTCACCTGTGGACAGTAGGGATGTAAAAATATCCAAATCTCTCGGTACAATATTTTCACGATATGCATCTCAGGATATGGAGGCTAACAAAATTGTGAATATGCTACTTATTCCTTTTAAACTGCTGTTGGGTCTGTCAAAATCCAAATAATTAAGATTTAGAAGTGCTTAATAACACTTATTTCTTCATGTAGTCTGCACTGAAATGGAGCAAAGGATCATAGTCTATGTAGTTCCCTCTACGCACCATAATACTGAATATAAGCAAAGAGACTTGTAATTTGATATATTGTGATGCCCATGATATTATTGAGACTTTTGACAATATGATATCATAATATTTTGGTTATTGTTACATCCCTAGTGGACAGCAGATTCAATCAATAATCCATAGATCTCACAATTATTATAAGAAGATTAATTACATCTGTCTGTTCATGTGTCATCCCCATATTCCCCAGTTATCAGTATCGGTCGGTTCCAGGATTTGGTAACAATATTTTTTTCTGCACTGCCGGCCTGTGTGTCCTATGAGTTATTCCCAGTTCATCCTCAGTGCATCAGATCTGTCTTTTTGAGGAGACTAAAGAGTGAAAACATAAATTTATATGCCAGATCACATAAATGTGGTCTCTACTAGAGATTTTAAGCCAATACCCGTTATCATACTGGCTTAAAAAGCCATATTGGACCATCCCTAGTGTCATCCACCTAGGGTCCATGCGCAATACTGTAACATAAGGTGTATTACGACTGGTACGGTTAACTGAATCGTCATTGCCCCTTATTGCATAATAGTGTTGTAGCCTTTTTTTTTTACTCTGTCTGCAAGGGCTGGAGTCCTTTAGTGGTTTAGTTAATTAATCAGTCTATAGTGTCTTAGTGGACCACAGTTAGACAATGTAATAATAACAGTTTTGAGAGCTTTTCTCCAAATTTTGACTTTTTAGTCTACAGATCAATTACAATCTCCTCATTGTGGGACGAATAAAGGTACTTTCTTATCTTTTATAATTAATTTGTCACCATTGTAGTTGCATATTTTTCAGATTTACTAGTAAGAGATAAGAACTGATGTGACATCATGCTATATGTCAGATTGTGATAAAACAAAGTTCAGAATAAAGTTTAACTTGAGTAACAGAGCTACAGACAGAGCAGTGCTTCCAGTTAGCTTCACACCACCAGGGAATGTTAACAACATCAGCTGCAAAGTATCAATTAGGCCTATAATTAATCCGACTCCATTTTAGTAGCAGATTTTAAGTTATTTGGTGAGAGACAGGAGAATAATGGCAAAATAGGAGACTTCAAAGTATCAAGTTAATATAATTGATGCGTCTTGGGGCATATGACCAAACTTCTCCAAATGACAAAGTCATGATAATAATACATTTAATTTCTCTGTCCGTCTCCATGGCAACAAATGAGTCTGGGGCTTCCCATAGAAATCCGCGGAAGGGGGAGGGACTGGCTGTTAAAACGTGACGGCTCACAACATAAACACAGGTGCACCGAATCATAAAGGTTTATCACGAGAAACAGGTGCAAAACATTGAACTATGGACTTGAATGCGCAAATAAACCTAGTGACAGCGCACGTGCATGGTTATCGCCACGACATTTGCAACTTTACGGTGTCTGACTTTGCAAAAAAAACCCAAAAAAAACAAAAAAAAAAACCGTGAGAAATGATGCCGATGGAGCGTTGTTGACAGCTAGCGCACAGACTCCGTTTTTAGCCAATTAGCGGGAGATAGAAGGCGTCAAAGAAGCGCTAAACCCGGAGGTGGCTATAGCCTGCTAGCTGCTGTTGATTTAACTTGGATTTACGTGCGCTCCGGTCACGGGAGGTATTTGACATCCAGCTGCCCCGAATGGCGGCACATACCTGGCAGTCTAGCTGGCTCTGCGTCTGGCCTTGTGTTTGGGTCTGGCTCGGGAGCGTAAAATCCGTGAAGTCGTACTGGGATCCCTGCGTGTCCGCTCCCAGCAGCTCCGTCTCCTCCGTGTCCAGGAAGGTGAGCGTCTGCGAGCTGGGCCCATACGCCTCCACGCTCATGCTTCTGTCGGGCAAACGAGTCCGACGAGAAAAGACCGCCTGGGAGAGAGATGTCCTCCGCTGTGATGACGACGGGCGAACGGGGAGCGATAACGGAGGCAGTGTTGATGATAAAAATGACAGTGCTTCAGAAAGATACACACTGACAGGCGGGAGTGCGCATGTGCAAAAGAGCAGAAAAAAGAAAAAAAAAAAATCAGAGCCCGCCCCCGTTGCTTCCTCTGCGTTCTGACGTCATGGCGCAGTCACGCAGTATGCACCTGATGGATGGAGCGCGAGGTACGGCTACACCTGTGCACGAGGAGACAGGTCAAGGGCACGAGGAAACAGGGGCGAGGACAAAATGTAAAATTTAAAAAAAAAAACTAAACACTTGACCATAGTGCTCACAAAGCAGAACGCCATAACATCATGTCTGGCCATTTTGGGGGTATTCGAGAACTCCTTTGTCATGTGAATAAATATTGTGAAAAATATTGAGCTCAAAATTGACCTTTGACCCTTATTTGGCAGATACTGTACTCTACTTTTGTATCATGTGCCAAAAATGGGGAGTCGTGCAAAGGTACAAGGCAGTAATAGTGTATGTTTTGTTTGTGATTTACACTGTACAACAACTCAACAAAAACTGTTTTGTTTGTGATTTACACTGCACAACAACTCACCCTTATGTCACAGATAATACTCCCTACAACTGTACAACAACTCACCCTTATGTCACAGATAATACTCCCTACAACTGTACAACAACTCACCCTTATGTAACAGATAATACTCCCTACAACTGTACAACAACTCACCCTTATGTAACAGATAATACTCCCTACAACTGTACAACAACTTACCCTCATGTAACAGATAATACTCCCTACAACTGTACAACAACTTACCCTCATGTAACAGATAATACTCCCTACAACTTTTCAACAACTCACCCTTATGTAACAGATAATACTCCCTACAACTGTACAACAACTCACCCTTATTTGGTGGCACGGTGGCTGAGTGGCTAGCACTCATGCCTCACAGCAAGAAGGTTCTGGGTTCAATTCCCAGGTCTTCATAAACAGTTGATAGTCATGGTCAGTTAAATACAATCAATTCAATCATTGTGTTCTTAGGCAAGACACTTCGCCCACATTGCCTAGTATGGAGTGTGAGTGATGTTGGTGGTCAGAGGGACTGATGATTCTGAGTGACACGGCAGCCGTGCTTCTGTCAGTGTGCCCCAGGGCATTACTTTCTTATTATTTTCTATTTTATTTTGACTTGTACACATTTATAAAGTCTCAGTGTACAATAGAAATAATAATTTCACTAATAGAAAAATGAATTGCTGACTATAGACTACTATGAAAATAATTATTAGTTGTAGCCCTACAGGTCAAGTCAAGTTCATGAAATTTGACATCTAAATCTTACATACGGTTCCTTTAATCGATATACAATATTGTATATAATAATTTCAGCTAAAACCAATGAATAAAATGTGACTTGGGAAGAGAAGGTAGGAACAAAAATCTGTATACTGTATCTGTATCTGTAACACCTCTACACATTATTACAAGTAATTTGGGTTATCAGGTTTATAACTGAAATCACATCAGGATTAGAAAAATCACAACAGACACATTCACTAGTACACTTTATTGATTGAACTTGAAGCTAACTTACAGTAGTGCAGTAATCAGACACTGATCATTTGGCAATGTTTATTTCCCTGAGATACAAAAAATATAATTATCAACTTCTGCTAATACAGTGGAAAGAAGTTATTCAAAACATTGATTCATCACATGTAAACAAAAATGACACTTGCAAATGGTTAAAAGCTACAGAGTGAGTATGGAAATCATCAGTTGTTCTATTTTCTCAGTAGGATGTGGCAACTGCAAATATGATTTTAAACTCACTATGATATGAGGACTATTTTATGTGCAATTAAAAGATGTGTAACTCAGTATATTAAATTAGAGAAAGTTAGAACAAAATGTATTTATCAAAGACAAAAGAAGAATAATGTAACACAAAGGTTTAGTCCATGTTAAATTATAAACCTTCCTTTTAAATTAGGGGCAGGAGAAGACAGATTTAATAACTGGAAAACACCATGGAGGATAATAATCATTCAGTCAAGTTACAGTTATTTTTAGATGCTGCTTTCAAGCACAGGAACAATTTAACAGTTTAAAAGGTGCTGTACCCAATTTTACAAAACAGAAAAAGAGCATTTTAAAGAGTTTTCATGGTAACTTTGAGAGTATGTAAGAATTGCTAAATGCATCTGTACTAGGGCAATATATTTATTATTTATTACATGAATAGTGTACAGCTCCTTTAATGTTGATTCTGTAACTTAAAATAATTTCACTTTAACAAAACCTAATTTCCCCTCACCCAATATCATAATCCTTTCCCAGCAAATCCAGAATGATACAGACTGACAACAGTCTGGACCCCACACCCTTTGTCACACCTTCAGCCAATCAGAAGTTCCTTTTTCAGTGACGCATGTGAAAAAAGGAGCTCATTGGTAACTTATCATTTTGAACAAAATCTAATTTCTCTCACCTCATATTAACAGAGTTAAGTGCTTTACCATAGACCGTATATACGAGTCGACATAGCTAACATGCTAGCTGCCGTGTTCCAAATAAGAAGTTCACATACGGCATATTTAATGACCTGAATCATGATTGGCTCTGGTGGTTACTATGATACTCAAAGTCGGATTTTCAAATATGGAGCCTGGCTCCAAATTCACTCCTGTAACTGTGGCATCGGGAGCTTCATTTGAGTGGAGCTGAACCTTGTGGGTGACGTCACAGTCTTTACATACTCCACTTGCTTACTCCATTTCTTTTATACGGTCTATGTGCTTTGTTGATTGAATGAGGAGATTCACCAGAGACCAGACTCACATCTTCGTTAAGTATTGAAGGAGTGTGTATTTTGGATCCCAGCCAATAATATAACCCCATCAACACTTGAAAGCAGCATATAGTTTCCCTCATCACACTGACATCTCGAATGGTAAATTTAAAAAAGTATGTTTAAAAAGTGCTGGAGATTTGGAGAGGTCCTGGGCCAGAAACATAAATCTTCAACATAAAACTGCCTTGTATTTTACCCAGGCACCGTAATGGGACTAAACTTCTCATTCATTTTCCCATAGACTTGGACAAAGACATAGGTCTAATCAGCTATTTGGTAACTAATGACCACTTTATTAAAGCATTTAGCAGAGTTAAAGTAACTCAACGGGGCTCATCTTGTGATTAAAATGTGCTTTTTGGATAACTGCGTGATAAATATTAGTTGCCACATATCTGGTTAGCCTCCTTGATGACTCTGAAGTCTTAATATTTAAAAGAAAAGATTCTGTTTACCTGATGAAGGACTAGTGCCAAAACATTGCACGGTTTGTCCAAATAAATCTCACATTTTGCAAGTAAGACGGTGTGTGGGATTTTTATCTATATCTATCTAAACTCTTAATATTTGAATTTTTTGAATAGTCCATGGGGCATCGAGTAAAATCCCGCACACCGTCTTACTTGCAAATTGTGAGATTTATTAGGACAAACCATGCAACGTTTCGGCACTAGGCCTTCGTCAGGCAAACAACAGAAAAGTCCATGGGAATAATCTATGGAAAATTGACTTCCAGAACCAGACTAGGCGCGACTGTTGAGCTTCATAACCCAGGAGCATGTGACCTCAGTGGTGCCCCTTGTGGTTGCAGTGAGCCTGTGCGTGCTCCCCTTCTAGCTGTGTGAGCATCTCTGTGATGATGGTCTGCAGAGCACGGCCCAGCTCTTCACTGCTGTAGGGTTTCCCCAGAGGAGGCACGTGGATGAAGGCTGAGCGACCGTTCCCCACAAACAGAGACGTGTAGTAGGTGTAGTCACAAAGGTACCTGCCAGGACACACACAAGAGGTTCAAGGTCATATATTACACAAAATGACTCTTGTGTCTTGTGAGCTTTTAAAGCCAGGTACATTAATACAAGCGTGTGCTGCCTTAGGTGGCCTCTGCAATTTAAAGTAGTTGGTGACATCACACAGGACTGCCCCAATTACAGCCAAGTGTTTGTAATACATACACCTGCCTTCAGAGGTGGAGTTTGAAGTGTGGTCACACTGTTCCTTATACCTTGACACCATGCCCCTCCACCTCCTCACTCGCTCCTTTAGTCCTTCAGGTAGTGCGCAGTTCAGCAGCTCTATCTGACAAGTGGTTGTGGGCAGAGTTTAGGTGTTTAGTCCCACTTTAAAAGATGGAACAGTGTCAAATTATGTAGCCTAAAAATTGCATAAACAGATTTACTTTTATTTAAATGTAGATAAAATCCCTTATAATTTACATCAGTGATTCCCAACCTAACTAATGTACAAGAGACATAAATGTTTACTATAGCAGTATATTATCACTAATTAGTATCAGATTTATTTGTTTTAAAGTGCAACAACAAACCAGTTTTACTACAAAGTGGAGACGAGAGCTGTGTAGTAATGTTTGGGGTCCTCTTTGCACTTACGTGTTCAAATAAAGCTTTATGTGAATTCTTTAGGCATCTGGCCCACTGGCCCAAACAAAATATGAGCCACTACAAGAGATTTTGCTACATTTGAAAAGTGCATATTTTGTCCTCTTATGTGGTCTATGTTACTCCTGCATAGGGCTGGGCGATATGGAGCAAAAAATATATCTCGATATATTTTGATATATCTCGATTTATGATATATATCTTGATATCTGTCCAGGAAAAATAACCCCCCAAAAACTGACGCAAAAACAAATATGCCAAATTCCACAATGTCTTTTTTCAGCGCAAAGAGGTTCATGTAGGAACAAAGTGCTTAAAATACCTGTATATAAAAATAATAATTTAACTATAAAATAAAGGAAGAAATAATACATATTGCCTTCTTTTCATTCAAAAATAAAACAACTCGACTCAAGCTCATCTTTGCATTAACTCTGTTAACCATACAATAACCAGAACCATGCATAGGAAGCTCAGGAGTTTCCTTATTTTAATAGATCCATGTTCCTAACCAGAGATAAGGAGCTCTGAGGTATCCCACAATCCACTGCACAGATCAAATAGACCGTTTCCAAACACTACAAGTTCTACACTGCAGCAGATTATTAATTGAAATCTTCTGCATAAATAAACTTTACATTACTAAACTTTACAACATATGAACCATAACTACTATAGAGCCACATCAGCCCCTGTGATATTATAATGTGTTTAATGTAGTTTTGTGCACATTTGTTTACGTTTTACACAAATGAAACTTAAAACCACTTGGCTCATTTGCATAAAATATAAGCGCTGAAAAAAACAGCTCGTTCCTTGTGCCCTGTTGCAGTTCAGCTTCTGTCGACTAAAGGACATGAATATGAGTGTTCTCTCTGTGACAGATGATGTGCTGCTGATGGTGAGTCTGCAAATGATGGAAAAAGTTTGTAGTGCTAGAAGATTTGGTTGGCACCAAGTAGTGAATAGTGAAGAGTGAGCACATATATCAGCATTATATCGATATACAGAATCCATTTTGTGTTAAAAAAATATCTCGATATATTTAAAATATCAGGATATCATCCACCCCTATTCCTGCAGCAAATATCATCCCAAGAAGTTAATGCCATGATAAAGCGGTACCATGTCTCACCTGCCCGCGTCCTTGGACACTGTCACTTTGGCCCTGCCCCCTGCTTCACTAACGCGCTTGCAAACGGCCTCCATGTCCAACACGGAGCTGATGCACTCGGGTCCATCCTCGATACAACACTCAGACTCTGGGGAGAAGCAGCAGTTATCCAGACGCCTGTAGCCCTTATTGTGCCCACACTGCTCCAACGTCACAGCCTTCGCCAGACCAGAGACCCCCACGTGGACCACTAACTGTACACAACAACAACAGGAAAGAGTGATGATCAGAGGTGGCTAATACTTCACTTATTCATATTTACTGAGTAAATGTTTAAAGGAATTGTAGTTTTCGGAGTACTTTTCTGGCATCATACTTTTACTCCTACGTCAGTAATATTTTTATTGAAGTAACAGTACTCTTAGTCAAGTAAATGTTTTGGTTTCTCTTCCCACTGTGAGTAAGTCTACAAGTGACAAGAGCTTTATGTGACAATATGAAATAAAACAAATGTCAGGGTCCAAAAGTTACTCTTTAAATTATTCTTTTGTAGTTTTCCCAAATATTATTTTTACTCTTCATTTCATTTCTTGGACCATTACTTTTTGAAGAAACGTTACTCTAACTTGAGTACCATTTTTACAACTAATTTTGCTACCTCTCAAAACAACAAAGGAAAAGGTTATATGAAGTCCTGATTCATAATAAAGCCTATAAGACTGTATGTATTATTGACCAGTGGTTGGTGCTCTTCCCACATTGAAGGCAGTAGTGTCTGGACGGCCTGGTATTCCACTGGAACTTCGCACACAAAGAGGTCTATGTCCTCGCCCAGACCTATCCGATCCAGCTCCTGAGAACAAAAACAGACTGAATTTAAGATCAGGCATTATTTTTGTCTAGAGCTGCAACAATTAAGTGGATGAACTGTGACCAGTCAGCAATATTTATTTTATTAAAAAAATCCATTGTCTGTAAATGCATCCTTCAAGAAGGTCTCAGATACCAGTTTTCTTTTTATGTAGTTCAAATCTTGTCATTGGCCTTTTGTGAATGACTAAATGGTTAAACAACATGTCCTCATTCAGTGTTTAGTTCTTTAGATTTAATACGTTCTACATTTGAGACACATAGGGAAATATCAAATATATGATGCTAGATAGATGGAATTATGTGGCAAATAAAAAAAGTGAAATAACTCAACTAAATATTTTTGATCATTTATATTCAAATCCTCAAAGTAGCCATGCCTTTCTTTCAGTGAGTTTCATGATGAATTCTCCTGAAATGGTTTTCACTTCACAGCTCTGCCTCAGCGTCAAGAAATGCCAAAACTGTAAAGCGCTGATTAAAGCAAAGGGTCGCTATTTTGAAAAATCTGAAATAAGTTTGAAGTTATGTTGAGTTAATATTTGGTTTATACATTCCATAAGTGTTCGGTCATGGTTTTAATGCCTTCGGTGAGCATCTACAATGTCCATAAACAAGGAAATAAAGACAAAACAAAAGGGAAAGTGTGTACAGACTTGTTGGGCAGCGCATATTCTTTTCTTGTTGCTGTGAGATTTTCTATTCAAATAAAATTCCATGTACAGTCACTTAAATTGCAATTAAATTGCCTTTCCACCTGTTGCTGTCCTGTGACCAGTGTATTACCTGCACAGCCACCCAGCTGGCATTCACTGCATGTTCTCCAAACGGTTCAAATCCTGTGCAAGAAACAGACACAAAACACAGCTCAGATCTGAAAACACCTTCATCTATGCACTTTACCCAATGCCCCATCATTTATCCTATTATTGTCAAGTGTATTAATATGCAAACAATGTGAAACTATCGGCAAGAAATAGCAACTACAGTAGTACAAAGATGAAGACAAAGCATTGTTTGGAGTCTAAAGGTAGCCGCTCAGTTAAACATTAATGTAGACAACGGACTAGGTTAAAATAAAAAGACAAAACTACAGAATAATCTGCGTGATAAATAAGCAGTGTTACGCTTTGTATTCTCATGATCAAGAATTTAAAGAGAGAACTAGTCCTGTTTATATGCATCATTTGTAATAACAGTGTAGATAACAATACAGCAGGATTGTGCATTGATTTGCGGGATCTATCCTCTCACCCGTGACGATAACTTTCTTCTTGTTGGCCATGGTCGCGGGTGACTGTCAGATCGCGGTCATAAGTCTGAAAACGTGCTTTAAATGGCACAATAAGAAAAATATTCTTCAGATTGTCAGTCGCTTTTCCGCTGCTGTTTTCCTCAGACGTGGTTAGAGCAGCGCTGGAGCCGGGAATGCGCGACACTGTCACCCGCTGGACAAAGAGGAGAACTACAACAACAATAGACATTTTGATGTATTAGATGTATTTCTGTGGGGGATTTTTCAACAGTTACCATGGAGACACAATGCACAGAGTCACACACACTGTCAAAAAAGTTTTAAAATAGTCTGAAAACATAAGAAAAAAATACTAAACAGATTTAAACAACGCATTTTCAGGAGCCTGTGATCAGTATGCATGTTCATGGTCGTGTTTAGGTGTTTCATTTTCAACAAAAACTAACTGAAAAACTGTTGGTTCATGCTATACTAACTTGTGACCATAATTTTATGTGAGAGAGACTTGTTTAACAGCACAAAACATCTCACTTGTTCTAGTTCCAGCTAAGTCAACTCTTTCAGGTCAGATTGTGTTAAAACAAAACTCAGATTAAAGTCTAAGGTGGCAAACAAAACTTTAGACAGAGCAGTGTCTCTAGTTAGCATCACACCCCAGGGAATATTGATGACATTAGTCGCGAAGTATGAATAAATGAATCAATGAAAAAATCTGTCTCAAGAGTACCTCATCATTACAGTCTAGAATAGACTGAATATTTAATACTGATGGGGGCAAATAAAATTTATGTTGTTTAAATGCAGATTTTAGTTGTAACACAGTGAGTTTATGGGCCTGGTCACAAATAGAACATATTAGAACATTTGTGAATTTACCTTTTTGAATTATTCATAGCCTATGAATAATGAATCATAGGAAACAATGTTATTCTCTAGGTTTCCTTTAATACAAATGGGGGGGCAGTAAAAAATGAATATTGATAAAATGTTGATTTTGTGTGTGTGCGTGTGTGTGTGTGTGTGTGTGTGTGTGTGCATGCATGTGTGTGTGTGTGTGTGTAAACCAAGAACTTAATGGGTTTAGTCACTAATATAAATAATCAGGTTCAACACTTGTGAATTTATTTTTTAGGTATTTCATGACAATGTAATCAATCAGAAAAACTGGCTCTTGTCCCCATCTGGGAGTATGACATCACCACATTCATTTTATGTTATCAAAATGCTTCACTCATCATTTATGCCAGCAGACACCTCATATTTCTTACATAGCCTCCTCCTCATCCTTCATCTCATCCTCAGTCTGTGTGTCTGTGTAGAAGTCCCATCCAAAGACACTTCCACACACATGAGCAAGTCCTGACCTTCACTCTGCACTGATTTTGTCCATTTTAAGAAACTTCATGGACAAAAACATCTGTGCAGCTTCAAGTTTCTTCCCAACTCATGTTTCTTCAGACCCTAGCCTCAGCTCTCACTCCTGGGTTTGGTTTTGAGCTCGGTGCGTCTCTGTGTGTCTGTGACCTGAAGCCTGCTCTGTTCAGGGTGGGGCAGACTCCAGACACCTCCCATCCAGCATTCTCCAGTGTTTAAAGGTAAGACCAGTTTGCATTCTGTGGATTACATGAGATTTATGGAGATATAAGCCTTTCTGAGCCTGTAATTACAGCTCTCTACACCTCAAAAACATACCTGGAGTTTCATTCATGCATGTTACACTGAGCCTGTCTGCTGCATTCACCTGGTTTTAACTCTACAAAAGCAGCTGTCACCTCGAAAAACCTCTGTGTGCTATTAAAGTTTTCTAGACTCATTCTGATCATTTCTGTAATGGTTTTCCTTCAAGCTCTATTTCTATTAGTGCCATTTTGTTTATTACTAATACCCATGTTGCCAATGTCATTTCAAAACACTTCACTCCTCATTTATGCCAACAGACGGCAGGTAGAGCAGAGTTTACTGAGTATTTGTTGATGTTAAAACTCTGATATTACACAAACTTGACTCTTATGAACTTTAAGTCATGTTATAAAGCTGTCACCTCCTCAAAAACACACCTGGAGTCATGTTTTGTTTCATCCACACATGTTTGAGTAATCCTGTACTATTAGTGTGTCTACATCTCCAAAGCTCCAAATCCACCTTGTGATGTCATGAAGCCGTAGTATTCAACTGAACAGCTCCTTTTACTCTTAGTTTAATAGAGGTTGGCAAATCCAGGGCTGAAATGATCCAAATGAGTCTAGTGAAGGTGTGTGGAGTTTAAAAACACAGTGGAGCACTTCTTGTATTACCCCATGACATCACAAGGTGGAACAGAGTGTTTTTAATTTGAGAAAAGAACTAAATATGCAGGGTTTGAGTGTTAATTAAACATGTGTGAATGAAACAAAACACAACTCCAGGTCTGTTTGTGATGATGAAACATCATTAGAACAAATTAGAAAACAGTGTAACAGGGGGCTTTAAACTGTATTTTTGAACACTGTAGTTAGGTTTTATGTTAACAAAGTGAGATTTTGTTATGCCAATGTCCAGTCCATTTTGTTTTTTAACTATAGGAGAGAATTCTAGACTGTGTGGGTCACCATAGTCTATTGCATTATTGGGAAACTCTGGACTTTCTACAATTTCTGACAAACAAAACTAAGACAACACACTCTTTTAGCGTCCTCTTTCTCTGCTCCATCATCTCCAATTTACTCAAAATACTCAAACTTGATTTTGATACTAAAGAGTAGACTCAATACTCAGTACCGATTCTGATTCCATGATGTTAATAAAAAACACTATTTACACAATAGAATGTCATTTTCAACATAGCACTTTCTTTTCCCATTTGTTCAGGAAAGTTCCACAGTGGTCCATGGGTGTATACTAGTCTATGTGCTCTTCTACTTTTCATTTGTGTCCTGTGAATGGGACGTTTTTAGTATTGATGCTTTCTCAAATGAGTATCTAATTTCAATACTAGATTTAGAATGGATTAGTGTTTGATTTTCGATACTTTTGATAACTCTAGAGGCCTGACAGTGGACTTTCCTCTGTGTTTGTTATCATGGTCTGTTTACTTCTCCTTTTTCCCTTGTGTTTATATCCGCACAGTTTCACTTTTGCTCATTACATTTGTTCCACTTTCCTTAGTTTTGATCATGGACAGGCTTCATGCATTGTGTCTATATGAAAGCTGTAGGTTTTATCAACACAAAACTTTGCCTTAGATGAAGAGTACAGAAAGTCCGGTTCTGGGCCCACTCCTTTAGCTCGGTCCCCGCCCAATCTCCCTCTCCTCCCGCGATGACATCAAACCACAATGCATTGCACTGTTTGGAGTTTACCTTCCCGTCTCCATGGTCACGGGCGCGGCTCGGCCCCTTTATTCAAATGAAACCGGAAACGCGCGTCATTGTGGACCAATCTCTGCGCGCGGCGGTGACATAATGGAAATGTTAGACCCGAATCTCCCAGAATCTAGCCCGGACTGAGACCGAGAGAGAACCTGCGGCCGGAGGACCAGACCAGGACACCAGCGCAGGTAAAAGGCTGTTCTATCGTGTAGACAAACGCTTTGTAACGGGTCAGATCTGTGGAGTCGTGAGGCATGACTTTAGTGACAGCTTGAACTCGTCTGATGAGTTGGTTTCGCTTTGAGTGTGTATTTGTGCCAAAGTGCTGTTGACTGGCCTTTTCGTGTTTTGAGAGCTAAATACACTGTAGCCTAATATGTGAAGTGGGTTCATGGTTCGTGTGTTCTTCCTCGTACGTGTGTGTGTGTGTGTGTGTGTGTGTGTGTTGTGTCCGTCTCTTATGACGCACAGGCTCAGATCTGTGATTCCGGATTGTCCGGTTTATGCGCACAAGTTTGTCTCGTGTTAATATTGCGAAGTAAACGTGGACTTCTTTTTGTTTTGTTCAGATCAACACTCCGCTCTGTACCACGGTCAGATGCCCGCCTGGTCCTGGATGTGACACGGACATGGAGCCCTTGTTCCCGGGTGTGTCTCCTCGGCTCTCGGTGGTAAAGAAGGACATTCCCGGAGCTTTGGAGCAGGAGCAGACACAACTCAAGCCCGGTTCTGAGTCCGCGGAGCTCGGCTTGATGAAGCTGGCTACTCCGGACATTGAGCGGCTGCTCGTGGCGCCCTTCCTGTGCCCCAAGCCCGCGGAGGCAGAGCAGGAGTTCGCGGAAGGCTTTGTCAAAGCTCTGGAGGACCTCCACAAACAGAACCAGCTGGAGTCCGTGCACGCGGAAAGACTGGAGCTGATGCACGCGGACCTGCCCGTGTACACTACACTCAACGGGTACGGGCACGCGCTCAGCTATCCCACGGACCCCGCACCTTTCCCCCCGCCGTCCCACGTGAACCCGCAGCCCGCCGCCGCTCTGCGCCTCAAGGACGAGCCGCAGACGGTGCCAGACGCACAGAGCTTTGGAGACAGTCCGCCGCTGTCGCCCATTGACATGGACAACCAGGAGCGCATCAAGGCGGAGCGGAAGAAGCTGCGCAACCGCATCGCCGCCTCCAAGTGCCGCAAACGTAAACTGGAGCGTATCTCACGGCTCGAGGACAAAGTAAAGACACTAAAAACACAGAACACTGAGCTGGCGTCCACCGCGAGCGTCCTGCGCGAGCAGGTGGCACAGCTCAAACAGAAGGTCATGAGTCACGTGAGCAGTGGGTGCCAGTTGCTGCCCAATCAGGTGCAGGCTTATTAGTGCCATTACCTCTTCCCCAGGACACTAGAGTGAGTGTGTGAGGGCGGTGGACTGATGGAGCAGAGGAGCAGAGGCTCCAGCTCACACTGCGCCTGTTTGGCCCTGAGGAGATGTTCTTCTTTGTACAGGACATGTCTTAAGAGTCTGCAGCAGAATTCACAGATCAGTGTTGAACAGGACTCACTGTTCCGCTCCTCCTCCTCATCTGGACGATAAGGCTCCACTTTCAGCGGGACACGTGATGGACTCATTTGGACAAACAGTGTTTGACCTTTGACCTATCCAACCAAAGTTGATCACTGTGGAATATCACCTGACCGCTGACACTCACAACGGCCTGGATCAGGGCTCAAACACATGCTCCTAAAAATGCCTCAGTGGAACTTTAAAGCCATAAGAGTCTCCATAGAGACGCAGAGCTGCTGTGGAGACTCAAACCAAAAGTGCAACCAAAGCCACTGTGCCAAGTGTATGACCCGATTGTTTACAAGCACTTCTTTACTAATATAAAACTATATATTACAATGTTTTATTTGACATATTTTATTGACCTGCCTCTTTGCATGTTTCATATCTTTTGTATATACCTCTGCTTATCTACATGTTTGTTATTGTTTATTAAATTATCACTAAAGCTGTTCACATTTTGTAAGCTACTTTTTTAGATGTTGAATTAGAAAAGGGGCTTATCTTTGCACTTTCTTTCAACATTTAATCAGTGGAGGTAGGAGAGAACAGGGCCAACAAACCCCTAGATGGACAAACGATTCAGATGGAAAACACATGAAGAGTGACGGCGCCATCTTGTGGAGAAATTGGACTGTAATCAGGTGAAAGGTCGCATTGTACTGAAAACATATTATACGCCCAAAAACTTGAATGTACTTAAAACTTTTAAATAAAAGTGTTTTGTGACTAATATGAAACATTATTAGGCTATTTATGTTCTATGAAGTTCCTCTTGTGGATATGAAGTGTGTCATGGACAGAAATAGGTTCTGTTCACATCACAAATATCAGGAATGGCTCCAGTTTAACACTGAGCTGGAGGACGCGTCACAATCTGTGGAAGTATCTGCTGTTTAAAGCTGCATTGTGTAACTTTTCCAGTGGGGCGTTCGTCAAACGCTTTTCTCCATGGGAATGTTATTGATTTGTCTTAAATGTTTCACAGTGTGGCTTTAAAGCTTTCTATCTTCATGGAGACCAAACCAGACCAAATTACAGACACAGTCAGATCTGTGAAGAGGTGACCCTGCTCACACTCACAATGTCTGGTTTTTTTTTTTTTTTTGAGTTATAAAACCACCTGTGACTGCAAAAATGTAAAGTAGAGCTGTTTAATGTCATACTGTGGAACATTCGAGGCAGAGAAATGGCATTTCCATAGAAACAAGCAGGTGACAGACCCACAACTGAAAAAGTACATGTCCCTTTAAAGACTAGATGTTTTTATGATTTTTACTTTGTGAATCATTACTTCGTTTGGTGGGATAGAACCAATGTTCAATATTTATCACAGATTTACCACAGTTGAGTTTGTGGCGAAAACATGTAGAAAGGTTAAAAACAAAAAAACTAAAAAAATCCTGCAGTAGCACTGAAGTAAGATATGTATTATTAGCTCATCAGGACCAAAAACTCCACTCAGTACGCAGAGACACTTCACAAACACATTCTTTCTGCTAATTTAAACCTTCATTTAAAAGTACACTATGTAACTTTTCAGTTGTGGGGCTGTCACCTGCTTGTTTCTATGGAGATGTCATTTCTCTGCCTCGAATGTTCCACAGTCTGAAATTAAAAAGCTCTTCTTTACATTTCTTCAATTACAGGTGGTTTATAACTCAAAAATATCTAGAAAAACAGGCATTCTGACTGTGAGCGGGGTCGCCTCTCCACAGATCTGACCTGTAACATGGTTTGTTTCAGTTTCCATGAAGATAGAAAAGTTGAGTACCATACTGTGGAACATTCCAGACAAAGCAATAACATTTCCACAGAGAAAAGGATTTGACGGGCCCTACACCAGAAAAGTTACACAATGCACTGTTAATAAAATAAAGGTAATGTTATTTATTTTTATGGTTGCCAGGGAACGGCTGGCTATGTAATTACCTCTACTTATGTCATAGGCCGGTCTGCTGCCCTTGCCCAACCAGGAGGCCAAACTATATCCTTCACCAAAATAACAAATGAAAATCTAGAATCCACTAAAGATACAAATAATGAATAATAATGTTTCAGGGTGAACATTTGTGGCTAGTAAAGTGAGGTGGGAGTACTCAGCTGTTCACTCTCTGTTACATTTACTTTTTACAGTAACTTCTTAAACTTTTCTAGCAGCATACTTTTACTCCTCCTTGAGTAACATTTGAAGTAAAAGTTCTGTTTTCTCCTCCCACTGTGAGTGTACAAGTGACAAAAGCTTCAAGTTTCATGTACAGTAGACAATATGAAGTGATTTTGGAACCACCACTCTGTCCTTTCAAAATACCAGATTTTGTCCATTATGTAATGTTTGGTCATTCCAATTACATGAACTTCAAATTATAAATCAGATGTTACGTCCCTTTAAATTACTCGAGTAGTACTGTGTACTTCTACTTGAGTAATATTATTTAGAAGTAACGTTACTCTTATTTGAGTAAAATGTTTGACTACTCAACCACCTCTGCTAATCTGATAAGGTTGAACATTTGTGGAGTTCAAGTTTAGATAGACTACTTCATTCCAAAAACAATGTGCATTTCACATGGTGAACTAGAACATGAATGTAACATCTTTATGGGTTTTATAAAGCTACAAATAAAATGGCTGCTGTATTAGAAGTGACCAGAACAACAGTGGATCAGAACAGTTTCCAGCTGTTAGTTTTATTCTTTGATATAATCTTTATTTTTTAAACAAATCTTCAGCATTTCAGAATTACAGCACAATTCACACAATGTAACTAACACCCAGCAGGGGGCAGAAATTCCTATTTACACTGAAAGGGATGGACAGTTCACAGCTGTAGCAAAAACGCAATAAAAACCAAAAATAAAAACATTAAAAACGTAGAAATAAAGCATCAAGTTCAGAGTCGGTCAAACGCGTTTCCCTTTGCTACACCAGGGCTCCGCTCGTCTTTGGTCTCCCGGTGACAGTCTCCATGGATACTCAGGTGGAGCATAGACTGGAGAAAGAATATATAAGAATATATATGTACAGTCTATGGTGTGGAGGGGCAGAGGAGGGGGCGCAGGTCAGGTCAGGGCTCTGCAACCAGAGGCTGAAGAGCAGCTCTTTAAAGCCTCTTTGCACTTTGAGAAAAAAAAACGTTTAAGAATAATAACAAAGCCTAATAAATGAAGTTTTAACCATGTTTGTAGCATAGCAAAGTGTAGGCTATTTCCTTTATTCAGCACAGAACCTCTGGGGTGTCAAATAAAATCGTGTGTTTAAAGTAATTCAAAAGTAAAGTGTTGGTGATGATGTTTGATGTTCTAGTCTTTTGCAGTTCCAAATGTTACATACAAAAATGCACCAGAATGCAAGAGAATCCCTGGGAGATAACCCCCACACCCCCCCGTACTCCCACAAAGATTATAAATACAAATTCTTACATTTTCATACTACTTTTAGACTATTTTATTGATTATTATTTATCAGTCTGACTCTGTTCTTACATTGATATCATACTGGTGTCTCTTCAGCTGTTAAAAGTTGCAGAGCCCTGGGCGAAGCTATTGCTCTGGAGAAGAACAGTCTGCTTTGCTTTACGACGTCAAGTGACTCATATCAAAAAACAAACACAACTGAGATGCTGGAATGTACGACTGGCTGTAAACACGATATTTTTAAAGCCTTGATTACTACTGAAATCACGTTTAAAAAAAAAAGAAGCTCTGAAATGTACAGTGCAATGGAGAGATGGAGGAAGAACGCTGCCAAATAAATAGTACAAAATAAATAGTTGTGAGTGACGAGAGGCAAGTCCTTCCCTTCTTCGTACTTTGAACTAAAAATACAAAAGTCTCATCACAGTCGTAACATAGGGTTTCCATGAGGTGAATCCAGTGACATTTACACACTAGTGATCACATATAGATATAGTTCATTATAAATACATCTTCTGTTAAATAAATAAGTTCTTTTTAATGCTTGAATATTAGTTGACGTACGGAAACCCGACTACAGTCATGCCTTACCCACACAAACAGTCTCACCCATGTCATATATACTTCTATTATGTATGCGCGCAAAAGTTTACATTAAAATGCTTATTCTCTGTTTAAGAGTCATAATTTTATATCTGTACTTATAAAAAAACAAAAAGGAAAAATAATGTGAAATGTTAAGCAGTGTTTTAACAGGTTTTCTGCATGTTTTTTGTCTAAGTGGGAACAAAGATCAAAAGTGACCTCTCCCTGGGTCCAGAAGTTAATTTCCCATAGACTTTTGGAAAAACATAATATTAAGAGGTGCACTGTGTAACTTTTTGGTTGGGGGTCTGTCACCTTCTTGTTTCTACGGAGAGGTCATTGCTCTGCTTAGAATGTTCCACAGTAAACAGATCCAGCTTACATTTATTCAATTACAGGTGGCTTCAGAGCTCAAAAATACCTCGAAAAACAGGCACTGTGACTGTGAGCGGGGTCGCCTCTCCACAGATCTGACATGTAACTTGGTCTCCATGATGAGAGCCACACTGAGAAACATTTCTGACAAAGCATGTCCATGGAGAAAATCATCAGACAGACCCTCCATCAAAGTTACACGATGCAACTTTAATATTTAAATATTTTGTTTATGAGAAAAATAAATGGAAAATGTACTTCCAGATCCTGCGCAAACTGAGTGGGCGGGACTGTTGATCTTCATTCCAATAATTTAAAATAGTTGGAGATGGACAGAGGTATTGTTGTGCACTCAGTGAGTTTCTAGAAATATAGAAATGTAGAAACATGTGTACTGTTGTCAGATACTGGGAGAACACGCTCCATTATCAATGATTTGACTTGATACAATAGAACATGCTCACATGTACATGCACGCTTCTGTGCTCCCTAAACACATGATTCCTCAGATGTCTCCTCTCCTGTCTCCTTTCCTCCTTCCTCAAGTGTCTCCTATCCTGTCTTCTTTCCTGTCTCCTTTCCTCCTTCCACAGATGTCTGATTTCCTTCCTCCTTAGCTACCTCCGTTCCTCCTTCCTCAGATGAGGTCTCCATTCCTTCATTTTTGAAAGTATCCTCTCCTGTCTCCTTTCCTTTTTCCTTGTTTATCTCCTTGCCTGTCTCCTTTCCTCCTTCCTCTTAGGTCTCCTCTCCTGTCTCCTTTCCTTTTTCCTTGTTCATCTCCTTGCCTGCCTCCTTTTCAGTTTCAGCTGTCTCCTCTCCCATCTCCTTTCCTCCCTCCTCGGATGTCTCCTTTCCTCCTTCCTCAGCTGTCTCCTCTCTGGGTAAATCTAAGCCACACAAAGCATATAAAACGTTTTTAGACTTTTGCCACTCTGTACTAGATTAGCACTAGGGTGGTCAGAAGTATTGAAACTAGATTCTCATTTTAGCAGGTATCAATACTAAAAAAAGTCACATTCACAGGACAGAAATGAACCTTTCCTGAATGTCTTTAGAATGATGTTGAGCAGAACAAGTGTAAAAGCACATAGACTAGTATAATATTCTAGTATATGGATACTAGTATATGGACCTCTGAGCATATAAGAGCACATTCTTTAGTATCAAAATTGAGTTTGACATTTTAGTATTGTGATACACTACACATCGCCCATAATACCTCCGTCCATCTTCACATTCTCTTTTCTTCTGCATATTTTTACCTGCTTTTTGTCTTTTGCTGTTGAAATCAAAATCTAACTTGGACGCAGACTTTGACACAACACTGGGAAAGACAGGTCACATGATCAAAAACCACAAACCAGCAAAACGATAAAGACGGCATAGCGATGAACACTTAAAGGTGCCCTGCGTAACTTTTCTGTTTGAGGTTACACCACTGCCTGGGTTAGGGTTGCCAAGAATGTTCCACAGTATGGCATTAACTTAACTATCAAATATTTAGCCAATTACATGTTTTTATCATCGCTAAAAAAAAAATAAAAAATGAAAAAATATGCATTCTACTTGCCTCTCCACAGATCTGACCTTGGTCTGGTGGCATTAACCTCTTGTCTCCATGGAGATACAGAAAAGTTGAATGCCAGACTGTGGAACATTCAGGCAGTGACTTCACACTAGGGGTGTTCTGCAGTCACCATGGTAACACAAAGCACACATTAAGAACACTGCCCAAAATAGATCATCTAAAAACTCACAAAATGGTCACGGTCCTGATTGGGAGTTTAATTTTCAACAAAAACAAAGGTGAGAGTGAAAGTGAATGTTGATGGAGACGAGCAGGAGGCACACCCTCAAGCAGAAAAGTTACACACTGCATCTTTAAAATTGGTGGATGCACTGACATGTTTTTGGTGTGCCCGCGGCTCTAGGCACAGGACAGCGTAGTGTTTGGGTCCAGGCAGATTCCTCGGACACAGTCGAGCCATGGGGAGGGGCTAGGGGGCAGTAGATGGAGCAGCTCGTGTCTCTGTCATGGCAGTGTTTCAGTATGTCTCGTTTCTGTGTGTGTGAGAGGGGACGGGGAGGTCTGCAGTGGACAGAGGACTAAAGTACTGGGTCCAGCATGTTGTTTAGAATGTTGTAGTCATAGGATTTGGAGTAACATCTTTTAAATTTTAATTGTGAAATACTATAGAACCATATTGTTAGAACCTGCCTCCTGCCACATTGTGAAGCCTTGATTAATTTAAATGGAATCTCAAAAAAATTATGGGCTTAAAACCTGCAGAGGGTTTCTGTCGATGACATCACAATCCTGGCAAAATAGTACTTGATGAGGCTCAATGGCAAAGGCTCTTACTTTTGAATCACTCTGTGAGCAGAGTAGTGGTTGAGTGTAGATAAGCGTGTCGTCCGTCCACTGCAGGCTTGGTACTGTGGAGTGTGTTGTGTTGTGAGAGTGGACTTGGTTTAACAAGCACAGTCCTGGTGGGACCTCTGCGGCTGCTCGGTGAGTTGGGGCCCCTGTTTGGCCCCCGTCACTGTGGGGTCATTGTTGTCCAGGCTCTCAGACATCCTCTCACAGATGATGTCCACCAAACGCTCAAACGTTTGCTTCACATTAATGTTGTCCTTCGCGCTGGCCTCGAAGAACTCAAAACCTGCAGGAAAGAAGAGTGGGGTGAGATGAGTGTACTTCCAGCTGATATGATGTATGTGCATTTGTGTGCACGCAGATGCCTTGGTGGGGCAGAGACTTGGCCTTTAATCAAATTTTGCAGATAAGTAAAAACTAGTGAAAGGACATGTGAGGAGACTGAGCAGTGGGCCTGTCAACTTTCACCTAAACAAGAAAGTGGAGCACCAATCTTACTGCCACACAACTGGCTGTAGACCTTAAATGCACATGCCTTATCATCAGTGTTCAGATCACGATCTATGGATCTTGAGGTTTTTGGCACACCTCTAACCTGTAGTGTAATTGTATTGTCTGGATCCTCACTCACCGAGCTGGTCTGAGAGCTGCCGGCCTCGGTCTGCTGCCACCACTCTCTCGTCCTCCATGTCACACTTGTTTCCCACCAACAAAACCTGAGCGTTATCCCAGGAGTACGTCTTTATCTGAGTCGACCTGGAGAGGAGCACCAAGATTACATGACATCAGGACATTTTCAGTTAACAGGTGCCTTTTGCATGTTGTTTAGGAAAGATAGGCAACTTCATTGTTGAAATGATCCAAATTATTCTACTGAAGGTTTATGGAGTTTGAAGCACTTCCTGTATTACCACATGACATCACAAGGTAGAACAGAGTGTATTCTGTTGGAGGCAGGGTTTTTGTGTTAAACATGTGTGAATGAAACAAAACACAACTCCAGTTCTGAGAAAACTATACTATAACATAGAACAGAAAATATGGTCCCTTTAAATGAAAATCGAATATTCACTTTATTCGTTAATATTCTCTATCTCAAAGTCAGTTTAGTCACCATATTTGGATCACTACTTCGTTAAAAATCTGTTTTGAAAATCAAAATATACCATAGAAATCATCGTTTGAATGGTCGACCATTAAAATAATAGTTGCAGCATTAATTGAAGCCTCACATTTTCACCTTAAATAGCCACTGTTATGTTTCCACTCCTCTTTCTCCGTTCATTAGTTCAATACCGAGCAGATAAACAGTCTCATGTGTGTAGTGCCTCACCAGTCCTGCACGGCGTTGAAGGAGTCATCGTTGGTGATGTCGTACATGAGGATGAAGCCCATGGCTCCTCTGTAGTACGCTGTGGTGATGGTCCTGTACCTCTCCTGTCCCGCCGTGTCCTGCAAACACACTACACGTCACACACTGCCCCCTGCTGGAACAACCGTGAACTGAATTCTACACTCATTTGAAGAGATCATCCAATGTGGATTTTGTTGACCTGATGCCAATCTCTGATATCTGTCTGGCTATTGTGGATCATAATCAATATTTGCAGATACTGATATTAAAGAGAGTATTTTACTTCTGCTAACTCATAACATATTTAGATCACCAAGTTACCTTTTATTGTTTTGAAAATGTCACTGAAAACAACGTATTACGATGTGTTATAAGTTTTACATCCCATTAATGAAACTAGTGCACATTGGATAAGTTTTGTGAAGTTGTTGTGCACAGTTTTGCATCTTGTTTTTGTATCTTTATGGAGAACTGTTCTGTGGAAGCATGGATGATGTAGGCTGAGTTCAGCACAGAATCTTACAGATAACTATAAGAAGAGTTCGTATGGGGCCCAGGAGAGATCACGAAACATGCATGGATGACATCTAAACCCTCTCAAGTTTCATGTTTCTAAAGAGGAAACCACATTATAAAACACTAGTAGAAAGCTCCAAAAAGATTCTGAAATCTATTGTAGGCTACAGACCAAGTTCTATTGAAGCTTACAAATTAACTTTTAAATATCAGATCTGGGGAAATCCTCTGATAACCGATATACCATCTCAACAAATGTGCTCAATGAGCTCTTGAAAGGAGAAGTTACATCCATCCACAGTACAACACCAAAACTGTGGTGACATGGGTCTTTATATGAAACCAAGACAAAAGCCTGAGCCCAACTGTCTCTTATTATGTGTGCTCCTGCAAAGCTCAGGCCCACAGAGGGTCAGGCCCACAGAAGAGGGGCCACAGCTGGAGACAATCACACACACTCATGAGCTCATCTCTACACACTCTGCCCCGGGGGAGAGCAGGAGAGGAGGAGAGCAGGAGAGGAGGAGAGGAGGAGAGCAGGAGAGGAGGAGAGCAGGAGAGGAGGAGAGGAGGAGAGGGGGAGAGCTGGAGAACAGGAGAGCAGGAGAGGAGGAGATTGAGGTGAAGAGGAGGAAGAGGCGGAGGAAGTGGAGAAGGTGAAGAGAGGAGGGCACGCACAGGCAAAATGAAAACTCTTGTAAAGTTGTGAGTCAGTACAGTCTGCAGAAAAACAAACTGAACAATAATATAATCGTTTCCTTATTTGGGAAAAATAAAAATGGTGTTGAGATATGAACAGTCATTTATCACAATCAGAGAGACAGAGAGAGAGAGAGCGAGAGAAGGGGCAGTGGAGAGACATTTTGAAATAAAGAAGTAGCTGCACACTTGTTAGTGCTAAAAGATGAATGGTTTTTGTAGAGCAGTGAGTTGTGTCCAAAATGACGCTGCTGCAGTTTTATTTTTAAACCACTGAGCTCATAGTGAAAACTTGTTTTCAAGTTTTAAATGTGCAGCATGAACAACAGTTAACAGGATTATGAGTGTCAAACTAATTATATATACACTATACTGTGTGTGTATTATATATCATTATATATATTTTTATATTTTGTAGTTTTCTAAAACTCTCTGCTTCCTATAATTTTATTACCCAAAACATGCACTTCTTCCACACTTTTCAAAGATGTGATTTTATTTGTAAATGATGTGGTAGGTTTAATGTATTGTACAAACTCATGACAAATTTAAAATGGGAATTTCCCTGGAAATATTGTTCCGATCAAGACAAAATCAAAACCGCAGTGATGGTCGTGGTAGTTTTGTATTTTATTTTGACTTGTACATTTATGTAATTTTGCCTTATTTGACACCAGTCTCTTGCTATTTTTGCTACTTATTTAGAATGTATTATTACCATTTGTATGTTTTACTCCTTATTATATTGTGATGTGGAATGTACTGTGTCCCAAATTATTTCCCTTGTGGTCCAATAAAGTCTAAATCTATGTGTAAGTGATCCTGACACCCTGCTCTACATGTCTCTGTTTATGTTTTTAATGAGGTGCAAGAAGATCAAAACAAAAATCAAGATCGATCAATATGGGGGGAGCTCAGCCCTAGCTCACCCAAATCTGGAGTTTGATCCTCTTGTCGTTGCGGTAGATAGTTTTGACCTTAAAGTCAATGCCAACGGTGGAGACGAAGGCTGGTGTGAAGGAGTCATCTGCGTATCGAAACAGGAAAGAGGTTTTCCCAACGCTGCTGTTTCCAATGATCAGGATCTTAAACATGTAATCGAAGTTTTGGTCCGAGGACTCCTTCTGTCCGTATGTGGCATTGGCTGACGCCATCTGAGGAACACCAAAGGAACTACCATCAGAAAGTGTGGTGCTACAATAGTGTTAAAGGGTCTGTTTTGTCATCTCTGTTCTAATGTTGTTTCCTCATCACAAACACACCTGGAGTTGTGTTTTGTTTCATTCACACATGTTTAACACACAAACTCTGCACATTTAGGCTGAGTTCTTCTCTCAAAGAAAAAAAATACCCTGTTCCACCTTGTGATGTCATGTGGTAATACAGGAAGTGCTCCAGTGTGGTTTTAAACTCCATAAACCTTCACTTGAATCATTTCGATAACTTAAGCCCTGAAATTGCCAATCTCTACTGAAATTAAGATAAAAGGACCTTTTAACTTGAAAACTACCATCATCATAAGGTGGAACAGAACATACTGAGCTTTGAAGATGTAGACAGACTAAAAACAAACATGTGTGAATGAAACAAAACACAACCCCAGGTATGTTTTTGATGAAGAAACAACAGTATAACATGACTGAAAGTGTCGATTTTGCTTAATATTGGACCTTTAGGTGTTGATGTCACTTCCTGGTCAAACCACAAACTTCACAGCTCATTTCTATCTTTGTTTTTGTTCCTTATTGTCTCATTAAACATGAGACAATTACCTTTTAAAAGCACATCCTTGATTCAGTTAGTGGTTAAACATGTAAATAATGTATTAACAATCTAACATAAAACTGAATTCCCAGTGTATATATCCTGTACAGTGTCCTTGGTGTTCTGAAAGGCACTGAATAAAATGCTAATATTTTCAGATGATCTTAAAACTTTTTGACAGTATTTGCAAATGTGTGCCTTGTATCACCATGGTAACTGTTGATCATTTCACCATAGAAATACATGCAGATCCCCAAGTACCCCAGCATCAATACATTTTTTGTCATGTGTTTATACAGTCACCATGGCAACGGGGTGATTCTGTCTTTCCTTACAGTGCGGTGCCTTCGGAGGGCTCTCCAGGGAACACTGTGAGAAAGTGCATTGTTCTGCTCCATCTGTGCTGCCACCGCACTCCAGTGTAATCTAATCATTTGGTTACATTATATTAAGGATGTCAACAGTGTCCAAAATCAGATATTAAAACATAGTATCAAAACTAGATATTCATTTGAGCAAGTATTGATACTAGAGTCACATTGACAGGACAGAGATGAGTCTTTCCTGAATGTTTTTAGAATGATGTTGAGTTGTATGAGAACAAGTGTCAAAGCACATAAACTAGTTCACACACATGGACCAACATGAACCTACCTGGATGACAAAAGTACTACTACTATTTAATGACAATCTACTGTTTAAATAAAGAATGTTTTTAATTATCATTATGAAAGTGGTATAGAGTATCAAACTATTCCTTACTATCAAAACTGAATTTAACTGAGTTTTTTCTGAGAAGTATTGTGGTTGCAATTAGATTGGAAATGTATGTTTTGACAACAGGATTTTGTCATCTCAAGTGTTCTGGAGAATTAAGAAAGACTGAAATCTGAACTGACAAATTACTACAAGACTCACATTTCAGAACATGTTTGTACAGATACAGGGTTAGCAGCTTTTATGCAGAATAAGACAGGAGATTCTGTTATTTGTGGAGGAAATTATAGTACTTCAAAAATGACAGTCTTTGCGTTTTGCTAAATGAATCCATGTTCCATTTAAAAATGTATTTGGTTAATTATGTTTAATATTTTTTATTGTATATTTCTGTCATTTTCCAATGAATAAAAAAAAGAAAAAAAAAAGAAAACTACAATTCTGATTTGATTGTGATTAATCTGGCAGTCCTAGTTCCAAGGCAGTTTGTCTGTACCAAGTTCATTCATGAAACCACTCACAACACTGTAAACCATGTGTAAACCACATGAGCGATATCTTTAATTTGCAAATAATCCTGAAGGAACAGACCATTTACTCACTGTATCCTGCTCGTCTAAAAACAGCTCAAAATAAACTCATTAACTCGAGGCTTACTGCATGTTCATAAAGCCTGATTAAGCTAGATGCTAATGACCGATGACTGTCACTGTGCAAACAGGCTGGACAGGTGCTCGGTCCATTGACCACTGGATCTATCCACCATTGATTTTGGATCAATGGGAGACCCCTTGTTGTCATTCATGAGCCTGGTGAAGGGGTCGTCACTGTAGCAACGGAAAACAACCCGCTCTAGTCCTCCCACAGCTCCTGAGCCCCTGGATGGAAACTCCTGTACTTCAGTCTAGTCTTGTCACAATACAAATTTCAAAATTGATTAAAAGAGACTGGATACTCAATTCTGATTCTGATACCACAATGATAATTAAAAATGCTCTTCCTTTATACAACAGAATGTGACTTTCAACATTATACATTAACATGTAACATATCACTGTAGACTGCGATTTTAAACTTAACAAGCAGGTACATTTTTATCACCTTTGTCTTTTATCCAAAGTGAAACATTTTACATCTTTAAAAAAAAAATTGAAGAGGTTGTGCACACTTTTAACTCTACTTGTCTGGACTACTGCAATGCACTCTACAGAGGAATCAACCAAAACACACTTCATCACTTGCTATTAGTCCAGAACTCTGCTGCATGTCTTTTAACAGGGAGCAAAAAGTGATCACATCACCCTAATTCTTGTGTCTTTGCACTGGCTTCCTGTTCATTTTAGAATTGTTTTTAAGATTTTATTATTTGTTTTTAAAGCTTTGAATGGACTGGCCCCCACAATACTGGCCCTCATCCAAATTTACACCCCCACGTACTCTGAGGTCTGAGGGCCAGTTCCAGCTCGGTGTCTAAGACGAGACTTGGACACTTTGGAAACAGACTTGATTATAAAATGTACTATACCAGGGGTGGGCAATTATTTTTTTCCATGGGACCACATGAGAAACAGAAAATATTGTGGAGGCCAAAATGCTTAACTCAATTCTTCATAATATTAATTGTCTTTCTTTATAAAAAGCAGTAAACAGCAATGTTTTGAGGAGCTGGTAAGAGTTTATGTTATGACTAAGCAATGAAAAAGTGAAGTTGTCTTACAAAAAATGTCATAAAAAAAAAAAACACCTCTAAAATAAAAGCAATGCAGCTTTAGTTCATGCATGAGGTAGAATGATAAAATATGTTTATTTTATAATTCCAAATGATCTTAAACGGGCCGTCAGAGTCAGCCAAAGAGCTGGACAATGCCCAGGTCTGTGCTATACAAATAAAGTTGGATTGGATCATGTGTCTTTTTTGTGTGTAATCCTTCAGTGGTCCAGTAGGTTCCATAGTGTCCATGTGTATATACTAGTCTATGTGCTCTGACACTTGTTCTGAAACAGCTCCACATCATTCTAAAGACTTCAGAGCTTCATTTCTGTCCTGTGAACATTTTTAGTATCAATACTTGCTCAAACGAGTATCTACTTTCGATTTAGTATCATTTAGAATCTGATTTTCTGTATTTCTGACAACCCTGCTCCAGTCTAGTTTAGTACTGAACTACCTGCAGGTAATTAGACCGTGTTTTAGTAGCGTAACCAGGTGATTTCAGTGCTTTTTCCTCACGTCTCCAGCGCCGTTTGGCCCGGAGCTTGTGTCAACACGAGCAGCCTGTGGTGCGTCCTGTAAGCGCCGAAGCCAGGCAGGGAGACCGGATCAGAGGACGGAAGTAGCGGGGCTTAGGCGCTTTAAGCATCAGGTAAAGGCAGCGAGAGCACCAGCCGGCTCACCATATGTCTGCCCCGCTCCTGCCCCGCTCCTGCCCCACAGGCCTCGGGGTAATCAGGGACAGTTCTGGTCAGAGTTTTGGTGCAGCATCTTCGAGAAACGAGCTGGAGACGTGCACAGACGCTTAACTCATCAGAAGGCAGAGATGTTTTGCAAGCTGTTTTAATATGGATTCGTTGACATGAAATATAAACCGTTATAAAAATGCAAAATGCCAAAAGAACAATGCAGAAATGATTATATATTTGACTGGAAACGGACAGAATGATGTATATTTCATGATGAGCGTTAGCGCAGCATATCTGTATGAAAGAGGCATCAGCAGCTCCTAGCTAAGCATCCCAGCTATGTCAAATGAAGGTTACTCTGCCTCATTTAACGTCTCCCACTTTGTTCTGAATAAAGATCTGAAAAAGGGAAAGTGCACGGCGGCTGTGTGACTGTCCGCAGTGCCCGGGATGAGGCGCTCTGACGGCTGTATTTACCGTGAGATGAGTTTGTCCTCCGCGTCGCTAGCCCCGAGCCTCGCACCTGCAGTAGCTCCTCTGCGTCTTGATTGACAGCTGCGACGTAAACCATAGGGTAGCGACGTGGTGACGCAGCGGAGGGTGACGGGCAGGAGAACGGGCCAATCAGAAACAAGGATCAGAACACAAGTCCCACCTCCTTTTTATATTTTTGATCTGAAGCGTAGACTGTATTTATGTATTTATGTATTTATGTACAGTCACCAACATATTTCCCCTGTTTTACTTCCCTTCACTGGCTCCTGTGTGTTTTAGAACTGATTTGAAGATTTTACTGATCACTTTTAAAGATTGTTTAGGTCTTGCACCAAGTTACATTTCAGAAGTTTTAACAGCGTACGAGCCTTAGATCTTCAGGCAGGTCCCTGTGTTTTTTCCTCTTCAGTCTTAGATCCTCAGGTCCCTGTAGTTGTTCCTCTTCAGTCTTAGATCTTCAGGTCTCTGTGGTTGTTCCAAAGTCCAGGCTCGGGACGAAGGTGATGGAGTCTTTTCAGTCCCTGTGCCTCGGTGTTGGAACGACCTGCCTGAGGAGATAAGGCCATCACTATCATCTTTTAAATCACTTCTTAAAACCAGTTTTTACCTGTTGGCCTTTCTTTAGCTGGTTTTAGCTTGATTTTATCCCTTATTTATTTTTATTCTATTTTTATGTATTTATTTGTTATAATTAATCAAATTGTTTTTCATCATTGTCTGTTTTTGTGCTTTCCGTTTGCTATTTTTTTGCTTTTTGTATTGTACCATGTTTTTAAAAGTGCTTTATTAAAAAAAGATTTGTATTATTATATATGAAGTGGATGTGCTATTTTTTTTTTTTATTACTCTGGTCTTATCTTAAACATATGAACAATTATTATTTTGTTTTTTAAGAAAAAAAAAAAAAAAAAAAAAAATACCACAGTATTCTTCATATAATAATGAAAATATAACATCAAAACATCCAAAATATGAATCATATATTTGTTATCATTTGTATTTTCTTTTTTATATAATTTCCAAATATAATAATCATTGGATGTATTACGTTTGTATTGCTGGTTTCAGATCATCACAGAATCTAGAGGCCAGTGTTATTCAGTACAGATGGGAGCAACTAAAGTTAATTTTGTTCATCTGCAGATTTTTGTTGCTCTACAGAAGTCTTGGGTCTGGTCAATAATAGAAATGATCAGGTTCCATATTTGGGAATTTACCTACATTTCCAATATTTCTTGGTAAAGCACAATCTCCAGTCCTTTGCCTCATCTGGAAATGTGACATCTTCACATTCTAGAATCTGAAAACCACCAATAGGCTGTTCACTTTAAAGCAAACTACTTTGTTTGAATGAATCATAAATTAATCCAATATTATCAGCTCATTTCTGTATGCTCTAGATATTAAAGACATTAGACATTAGCCACTATATATATAAACATCAATAACAGGAAAATAAACTGTATTTTTAAAAAAGTAACTTAAGCAAGCAGGTAAAAAGCCCAAGTTCTACATTATAAATACAAGTATCAAGTATTTTTAATGAATGAACGTTAAACTGTTATTTCCCATTCAGTTACTTTTGAAGCATATAAGCAAAGAATGAGCCCAGTGATTGAGGCGTGAAGAGTTTCACCTTTATTGGCAAAGGCATTACAGTCAGAGAGAGGACACACACTGCTGTTGAGATTGTCAAAGGTGCAAGAGTCAGACTGTACGAGCCGTGTCAGAAACCTCTGAGAAAACCACAGATACAACCAACATGGAGACTACAGAGCCAATGTGGCTACAGAGTCCCTGTCTCATTCTCTTTCTTTGCCTCCTTCTCCTTGATTCCTCTCCTCGATTCTGCAGGAAACAGGTGAAGAAGTCCCAGCCACAGAGGAGAAACAGAGAGGAGGAGAGGAAAGAGGAGCAGAGGAGGAGAGGAGAGGGGAGAGGAGCAGAGGAGGAGAGGAGCAGAGGAGAAGAGGAGCAGAGGAGGAGAGGAGAGAGGAGCAGAGGAGAAGAGGAGAGGAGGAGAGGAGCAGAGGAATGAGGAGGAGAGGAGCAGAGGAGGAGAGGAGAGAGGAGGAGAAAGGAGAGGACAGACTTTCCTAGAATGTTTTTACCTCTTCAAAAACAGACCTGGAGTTGTGTTTCATTCCATTCACACGTTTGATTAATCCTTCATTATGCTTCAAAATGCTCTGTTCCACTTTGTGATGTCATGAAGTGGTAGTTTTCATGTTACCTTTTACCTTTAGTTTAGTAGAGATTGGCAATTCCAGGTCTAATCCAAATGATTCTAGTGAAGGAGTTTTAAAAAAAAACACACAGTGGAGCACTTCCTGTATTACCACATGACAGCACAAGGTGGAACAGAGTGTTTTCAGTTTGAGAGAAGAGCTCAGCCTAAATCTGCAGGATGTGAGTGTGAAACATGTGAATGAAACAAAACACAACTCAGCACTGAAGTTTGTGATGAGGAAACATTATACCACAGATCAGAGAACAGTGTCATATGGGCCCTTTAACATGCCGCATTTGATTGACAGATTAAAAATGGTAGTACAAGGAGGAATTGAAGAGAAGGAAGTTAAGGAAATGAAAGTCTACCACAGCGAGGTAACTGGGCGAGGAAGGAACGAATGGAAGAACTCACAAAATCAACTCCCTCACAGACCAAACCACATGAAATAAATAATGTTCCATAAAAGCGGTCAACAACAGTGCTTTGTAATGGTGGCAGTTAGTCCTTTTTTAGTGTTAAAGGCATCCTGGAGTGAGGTGGACTGCTTTACAGAGGAATTCAGCATCTTAAAACCAGCTTGAAAAAAGTTAAATAAATAAAATAAGGCGGTAACGTCATTTCACACAATAAAATGCAATGTTCTGTCTCCAATATGAACACGTCCACATGTTGCATGAGCGCCAAGCAGCCATAGAAGAAGAATCTGAAAAAGGAAATGGAAGAAGAAGAACGAGTAGCGTATTGGAAGAAACTTTTACTTTTAGAATTGGAAGACGAGTTTTGGAAGCTTAAAGTTGGGGTTTGGGTCCGTCACCTGCTTGTTTCTATGGAGATGTCACTGCTCTGCTTCGTCTGAACACTAATGAAAGTGGAATTAACTTCAGCCATATCAATATAACCCCAACTCAAACCCCCATTTCACTTTCAAATCAAGTGTATCCTCAAGAAAAGTTACATAGTGTACATTTGATATCAGTATTGCAGTGGTGGTGCTAGAAAAAAAAAATTAAATTTAAAAATCAAGGTATTAATAAAGTCTCAGTACACACCCAGTTCTACTTTACTTCTATACTGTGTTTGTTTCTCGATCAGTTATGCAGTATTTTCTTCAAGTATATTTGACAGGTTAGATTACTCATTTCTAAACTTCCTTATATTTTAAATTTGACCTAAAATCTTGTCTAGTTTTCGCTAGTTTTAAAATTTTGATCAAGTTTGTAATTTTCCTTGCTGGTTGGACACGGGCAGCACATACGACAAACAGGATCTAGAGATCATGCCATAACTGTTACCTAGCAACCTTAATGTTAACAAAAAATTATTCTAACACCTGTGCTTAGTTAAATCAGTGTTCAAAATGTCAGAAAAATGTCTTCTTTGAGTGTAATTTGTATCTACATTTCTTTTCTTTTGGAATTGATAACATTGGTATTTTGGTACTTTTCTTACCACTGAACTGACCTCAAACTGTGCTAAGTATTTTCCACAGGTATATCATTATTATATTATAATAATTAGAAAAGTATAAGAACCTGTCATATGCAGTTTGAATAATATTTTAAAGAAAAAATCCCAAATGTTGAACTTAAACTGAATGAACACACCTACGTCACTTACATTAATTAATTCAGTTACATTTTCAAATGACACCACATTTTCTGCATAAAATTAGAATTAGCTTTTGAGCAGCTGTAGATCTTTCAAGTTTTATTTTGCATAGGTTTTCAAATTCAGATTAAAAGTGATGAAGCCGATTAGTCTTTCGTCTTTTATGCTTATTAACATATAAAGATCTCCCTGTTACCTTTTATTGATCTGAAAATGCTGTATTCCCCGAAAATGTATCTAGTTTACTTTTGTTTTTGACCTTCTGAATCCCTTATCCTTATGCTCCCTGCACTAAGCCACTCCCCCTTCAGAGCACTATCACATTACAACTTCACTACTGAAGGTTTATGAAGTTGGAGAGTTTTGTTTTGAATCATACTTTGGTATATTTGTGGAAAATAGTTGAGTGGGCTGAGTTTAGGACAAAACTGGACTGTTAACTGTAAGGAGGGTTTGAATAAGGCCCGGGAGAGATCATTAAATTACTCAAACATGCACAGATGATTTCTAAAACCTCTTAAGACAAGTTTTTGATGAGGGGACGACATTATAATGATGGTCCCAAACACTTTTCTTCATGGAGATGTTGTTTTGTCTGGAATATTTCACAGTGTGGTATTAAACATTTCTATCTTCAGGGAGGGTTTCTACATGTATCTCTATGGCGGAATCAGTTGATCAGTTACCATGGAGACACAATGCACACATTAGCAAACAGTCAAAAAAGTCTGAAAACTCCAGAAAAAATATGGTTTTAAATAACACAGCTTTCACAACCAGCTTTCATAGTTCTGTTTAGGTGGGTTCTACATGTATTTCTATGGCAAAATGTTGATCAGTTACCATGGAGACACAATGCACACATTATGAGAGGGTCAGATCTGTGGAGAGGTGACCCTGCTCAGTCACAGTGTCTGTTTTTCTAGATATTTTTGAATTATAAAAGCACCTGTAATCGAGTAAATGTAAAGTAAAACTGTTTAATGTCACACTGTGGAACATTCCAGGCAGAGCAGTGATATATCCACAGAAACAAGCAGGTGACGGACCCTTAACCAAAAAGTTAGATTAGATTAGACCCTGTTGACTTCATGGCTGATGGCGGAGCACGTCACACTGGACTCACAGGCAGTGTCATGCATTCGCCACATCACAGTAGGTTTGTACAGTCCGTAATACACATGAGCGGGCCTCTCATCCACTGCCTACAGGGGGCGCCGCTCACTCTCGCTGGAAGTGCAGGGAGGATACAATACAAAGTGCTTCGGATCTCTTTTTTCTGGTTTTCTAGTCTGTTTTTCGTAGCAAATCTTCAGAAAGAAAACAAAACAAAATCACTCACCACAGTTTTTTTTTTTTTAAGACAATGTAGTTCAGATAAGCACAGGGGCTACAATCAAAGCGACTCATGGAAATTAGCCAAGGGCAGAGTGGAAAATACAGTACGCTTCGTGTTATGGTTGGCACTTGTTCTGACATTGACCGCGAGTCCCCGGTGGAAATATTGAACCATCATCGCTCAAAATTTGGCACGGACATCTGCGGCCTGGTTTGGTTTTCGGTTTACAGTCGTTCCCATGGTAACGGTTTGATTGTGTATCATGGGGTAGAAAAAAAAAACACAGCGTGCAGTGCTCAGACTTTTGTACAGGAAGAGTAAAGCAATTGGAAGATTTAACCTGTAAAGTAGTGTTGATTTTTTTTTTTTTTTTTTTTTTTTTTTTGGTAGTAGTTATTCAGTTTCAGTCTATAGCCTCCTTTGTGTCATCTCAAGCCCTTCCCAATAAAAGGGCTGGCAAAAAATTTAACAAAAATATAACTAAAGTGCTAAGGCAAACTGATAAAAGGGTGTCGTAAAGTTGGAGTGAGTTAAATAACAATAACATTATCATGTATAAGCAAAACTGGTATCTCAATTTTGTCCTACAGAGTTCTGACGATACCGATGAACAACACCAGATGGCGCCACACAGCTTCCAATGGATTTTTATGGATCTGCTTTGTTGCTGTTTCACTTCAGCGGCTGTGGTGTATTAAAAGGTAATTTGTCAATAATGTGGGGTCAAAAATATGAAACTATAATCACTGTAAAAATAAAATTGTGTTTAAAGGTCCTATATTACACAAAAATGACTCATGTGAGGTTTAAGTCCTGTTATCATGCGGTTTCCTCCTCAAAAACACACCTGGAGTTGTGTTTTGTTTCATTCACACAAGTTTGAGTAATCCTGCATTATTACTGTCTGCATCCCCAAAGCTTAAGACGCTCTGTTCCACGTCATGATATCATTCAGTGATAGTTTTAAAGTTAACAGCTCCTTTTTTTAGCATCAATTGACCTGCTTTACTCCTCAAGTTGTTGCTTTTGTTTTGCATATTTTTAACTTCTGTACAGGTGAGATTTTCAGTAGAAAGTCTCTAATATCTGCTGGTGCACAGAGGAGTGAAGCAGTTTCAATGAGGCTAAAACGAGAGCTGTTTCAAAGGCAAAGGCAAATCCACGGCTGAAATGATCAAAATGATTCTAAAGAATGTGTTTGAAGTTTAAAAACACAGTGGAGCATTTCCTGTATTACCACTTAATGACATCACAAAGTGGAATAGGGTGTTTTCAGTTTGAGAGAAGAACCCAGCCTAAATTTTGTGTTTTGGTTTGTATGTTAAATGAAACGAAACACAACTCCAGGTGTGTTTGTGACGAGAAAAAAACATTCGAACACAGATGAAAATAGTGCAGTAAAGGCCTTTTAAAACAAACGGCAGAAATCAGTTAAAGTGGTAATAAATGTGGAATTGGAGCAAAAGCCATTCAGAAATTTTGATTTAAATATAAGCACAAATCCTCAGTAAAATAGTGTACCACCTTTCTATTCATGTGTTAAGTTAAAGGATATCAGTAATAATACAATTGCTACATAAACAACTCCTGCATAGCTCCACCTCCTCTTCAGTGGTCTTAAATAAACAAAATTTAAAAAGACTAAAATGTCCTGGAAGTTTCCAAGTGTCACTGACTTTCTGAACAACAGGAAGACGGCCATGTTGGATTTTAAAACTCCTTCACAAAAAAGTCTAAGAAAGGGCCACGTGTTTTGTTGGTGTGGAAGCTCCAGCTCAGTCTCTCTCCAGTGCAAACTCCACAATTCCTGCTTATCCAAAAAAAAGTTCCAAAAAACTGGAACTAAAATCAAACGACAAAAAAACGACGCTATGTTCCGATTTTGAACAAACCCGAAATCCCGCCGTCTTTCTCTGTCTGGTCAATGGAAAACGTCCTTCCATCTCCAGATCTTTTGAGGGTCCCAGTCCGTGACACGTCCCCACTCTCCTGCTCCTCCGCGGGGCTCTCGCTGTCCGACTCGCCCTCCTCCTCCAGGGTGAGTTCAAACTGGAATTTGTCGGCGGAGGTGTTGGGAGCGGAGGGGTCGGAGGTGGATATGGGAGTGGCGCCCCCCTCTGGACAGTCGGGGTGGGGCGAGGGGCTGTGGGGGATCATGCTCTGGTACCACTCCCTGTTGTCTTCTAATGTGTCCAGAATTTCTTGGGCGTCGGGGTGGACCAGGTCTGCCCACGTCTCCCACAGCGGGTGCACGATGTAGTCAATGAAGCCCACCTGAAGGGACGGACAAGGGGGAGACGGTTATGGACTATCGAAACTTTATCCTGGAGGGGTTCTACATGTATCTCTATGGCAGAATCATGGAGACATGACGCACACATTAGCAAACACTGTCAAAAAAGCCTGAAAACTCAAGAAAAAAGAAAAAATGGTTTTAATCAACACATTTTCAGGAGCCTGTGATCAATACAAGCATTCATATTCCTGTTTAGGTGGGTTCTGCATGTATCTCTATGGCAAAATGTTGATCAGTTACCATGGAGACACAATGCACACATCAAGAGAGGGACTTTAACAGCACAAATCATCTCACCTGTTAAAGTTCCAACTAAGTCAGCTCTTTCTGGACAGATTGTGTTAAGATAAAGCTCAGATTAAAGTCTAGCTTGACTAAGGCTGCGTTCAGACTGCAGCCTGAAGTGACCCAAATCAAATTTTTTGGCCCCTATGTTCCTGTATCTGATCTATTAATGACAGTCTGAACGATACAGATCTGTTTTTTTCAAATGCGACCCAGGCCACTTGGGCTATGTTCAGACTGCAGGGCTTAATGCTCAATTCTGATTTCTTGTGAAATCTGATGTTTTTGCGAGGTCGTTCACATTTCCAATTAAATGTGACTTGTATGTGATCTCCAGTGTGAACATTAAACGACCCAAATGTGTCCCGCATGTGCACTGGAGACACGATGACGTCAACCGCAGCGAGCGTGCTCTGTGTTTACAGAAGTTGTCCAAACATGGACGCAGCATTGAGCACCTGGAGATTTTAAAGTTCCTCTCGTACCAGAGCCAGAACATGAACAACTTGTTCAACTTCAACTTCAACTTGTTTTAAGGAGGAGATTGAGAAGGAGAAGGATGAGGTTTTTGGTCGTGGTGTTTTATGGGACAGCGGCAGCGACGTCCGTTGAAAGGAACGTGTGGATGTGGAGACGTAGCCAAGAGTGGTGAGTGGTGATGTGCTTCACTTCAGCGACACAGAGTTCATTAACAATTTTCGCCTACTTCAGCTCAGAATAGTGACGTTTGTGTCTTGTTGATAATGTGTAGGTGGATGAATGCCCTTTGACTGTTCAGACTGAAGTCACATGTCAAAAGATCCGATATGTATCGGTTTCAGGAGCACATATCCAAGTGTCCTGGATTGCATTTTAAAAAATAGGATCTGTGTCGTTCAGACTGTCATTAAAAGATCAGATACAGGTCACATAAAGGCCAAAAAATCGGATTTGGGTCACTTCAGGCTGCAATGTGAACGCAGCCTAAGTCAGCTCTTTCTGGACAGATTGTGTTAAGATAAAGCTCAGATTAAAGTTTAGCTTGACTAACAGAGCTTCAGACGCAGAAGTGCCTCTAGTTAACTCTTGAAGATACTCTTACTACTCTTAGTTTTCCCAAACAGTTTTACTTTTTTTTATTCTCTTGGACCACTACTTTGCACTTCTACTTGAGTTATATTATTTCAAAGTGACATTACTCTAACTTGAGTACATTTTTTGGCTACTCTGCCCACCTCGGATTGAAACATTTTAAATTTTTCACATTTTTGTTTGTCATAATTGCTATAAATATGACATAAGTATCTTTAAATAGTCCAGGCTCTCAGATGGTGCACCTCCTACACATATTTCTCTATTTATTTCTGGTGTGATTAGCTGATTCGAGTTTCAAAATACATAAATATTCTCACGAGTCAAAGATTCTGCACACATGAAAAAAATTGTCTTGCGAGAAGAGTTGTCCAAAGTATTGAAAATCTGATACTGGATACTCATTTGAGCAAGTATTGATACTAAAACATAATATTCACAGAACAAAATTAGTCTTTTCTGAATGTCTTTAGAATGATGTTGAGGTGTATCAGAACAAGTGTCAGAGCACATAGACTCGTCCTAGACTGCACCACTGAGGATTACACACATATAAGACACATGGGAATAGTACTATGAGTAGAAAGTACTATGATTTAATGTTAAAAATCACATTCTATAGTCTAAATAAAGTGTTTTTATTTAGTTTTTATTATCATCGTGGTATCAGAATCGATATTGCGTATCAAGTCTATTCCTTACTACTGAAATCAACTTTGAAAATTTAGTATCATAATAACACAAACGTCTCATCCAAAATTCTTAGTCAATTAAGAGTATGTTGTTGTTTTTTTTAAATTTTAGTTTCTGTACCTGGTTCTTCTCGATGGAGGCGTTGTGCTTGTCACACATGGGGCTGACCTCCATGCCTTTGTCCCTCTCGCGGTCGCCCTGAGTGAAGAACTCCACCATGATGCGGTCGGTCCACTGTCTGTACAGCTCCAGAGGTTTGGTGGGGTTACTGAGGTCTGCACAGTGCACCATGTTCTGCAGCACCTGGCACACGAACACACATGTACTCTTAAGTTTTTGTTATTCCTCATTAAAAATACTGAATTATATTTTGTTGGATATTGTGTTTAAAGCCCCAACATGTACTCCCAGTCAAATATTTATGTAATATATGGAATTATGTAGCAAAGAAAAAAAGTGACGGGTTAAGACTTTGAGGATTTGAATATAAAAAAAATATATTTGATGTCTAATTCTGTGTGCATCTCAAATGTAGACAGTAGTAAACATAAAGAAAAAAAAAAACTGAATGAGAGGGTCTGTCCAAACTTGTCTGTTTGTTTTTTCATTTTGAGTGTTTTTATTGCACTGAAACAGTAACTACATGCACTAGCACGCTTCCTGAGCGGGCTTGCTTTCCATGGAAATGTCTGGCTATAATATTTCACAGTATGGCATAACACTTATCTCCATGGAGGATGTTCCAAAGAATGTTTTTAACTTGTTTATTTCCATGGAACCATGCAGGTGATGTGCCACGTCGAGAAAGCTACACAGTGTTGCTTTAATTCCACCAGGTTTATAAAATGCTGTTTGGTGACACTCAACTAGAACTTAAAAATTCTTGGATTGTGTTCACTACAAAACATTTATCTTTTAGTGCTGTTTTGTGTCAGAATTGGCCTTTAACTGTCCAGAATGCTTCACTCCCGAATGTTGCATAAAAACTGTTCTATGTAGAAGTCGTACACATATCAAAACAAAAGTGGTCTTTTTAAACCCTCACGCACCTGTATGCGGTCGGAGTAGTTGTCCAGCAGGAGCACTCCCAGACTGGTCACTTTCTTGGTCTCTACCATAGTTTTGAGGTCAGCCAGAAGGTTCATGTGTTTGGACATGTCTGTGGCCAGCACCTGGACACAGTAAACAAAGAAATATTGTCTTTGTAGCAGTAGTGAGAATTAGTAATGAGTTATTCATAAATTCAGTTTAGAAATAGATGTTAAATATACAGTATGTTAAAGAGGGAACACATAACATTGCATAACTTCACATAACTGCTAACATATAACATTTTTAGATCACCATTTATCCTTTTGAAAAGTTATATTCACCGAAAATAATGGATTAACAAGTTTCACTTTTGTTTTTGTCATCCTGTCCTTTTGCTCTCCACACTAAGTTACTCCCTCTTCAGAGCACTATTACTGCAATCAGTGTGTATCCCACTAATCGATCTATGTGTGTCAGGTTTGTAAAGCTCTAGTGCATCATTTTGTATCATGCTTGTGTATATTTATGGAGGAGTGTCATGTGGGAGCATGGGTGACGTACCATGTCTATCACCATTTTACGCAGAGACTGCCTCTGCTTTTTGCTGAGGTTCTGGAAGATGTCACAGTTTTCCTCCTGAAGGAGTTTGAAGCCCACGGCCAAGTGATGGTTCTCCAGCACAGACGCATCATTGTACATCAGAGCCAGCTCCGAGTCTGAAACAAAATAAGTACATTGATCATTTGTGTACAAGAAGCAGGGCTAAAAGATTAAACATAAGAAATACATGATCGAATTCAAAGAACTACATAATGACATAGTTGTGCAGATAAATGAAATGATAAATGATAAATAAATAAGTATCCACATAGACAGTTAAATGTCCCTGTCTCTGTGGACACTTATTCCACAGGAAATCCACTAATGTAGTTCAAACCACTACAAACATGTACGGAAATGATCTCATGTTCAGTTCTCAAATGTGTAATGTGAGGAGAATCTTAAAAACAACAAATCTAATTGCAATTAAACAAACTAATTAATGAATTAATTAAATTAAATGAATTAATTTTTAATTGTGTTTCATTCTTGCCTTTTCCAGTGAAAAATTGGGCACCTGGCATTTGAGAGATGTAAAACTCAAGATAAATGTGACTTCACACTGAGCAAAAAAAAAGTGAAAAAAATAAGATTCGGGCTGCAGTGTGAATGTAGCCTTTGTGTGAGAGGTCATGAGAACTCACTGGTGTTGATGAGGAACTGGTTGGAGACTCCAGGATGGTCCACATCATGAATGGCACTCGCAAACAGAGCTGCCAGGATCTCCAGGTCTGTGAACACAGCCTGACGACAGAGATATGATAGAAGAAGGTCACATAAACACCTAAACTCTGCCCACAAATATATGATTTGTCTAAAAAGTATCCACACTTCACACTCTGCCCCTGCAGACAGTGCTTCTATCAGAAACATCTGTCTGTTATCAGGGCAGTCTTATGTAATGTCACCTACTATGGAAACTGCTAAATGAATGAAGAGTGGGAGTGAAGCTGTACCTCTAGTGCTGGTGTGGAAAGCAGCACGTGTGTGGACTGGACCACATCTGCTGCGTGGATGTTGTTGTGATAGGCCACGTCTGCGTGATAATGCTCCTCTAACGTCATCATGAAGGTGATGAAGGTGTCTGCAGGGATCTTAAAGGACTTCAGCAGGTCACGCTCCTACAGCAGCACGGGAACATAACATGAACACACACTAACACACACTGTTGTACAGTACGACTGCAGGACAGGCCTGGCACATACTGACAAAAAAGATTATACTTATCTCAATAATGATCCTCAGACACTATCATGTGTCTAACACAAATGTGTTCAAATGTGACATGATTACAATTACACACAAAAGTGCAGAAATATCACTTTATACTCTTCCAACATAAGTTTATATTAAAAGTTCGTTTCCATTTCCTTTTTGATATGTAGCATATTTTAGATCATCAGTGTTCTCCAATTCAATTCAAAATTCACAGTATTATCAGTGTTTCATTAATCTGTCCACATTTCAGTGATTAGTATCTAAAAGTGAAGTATTTTGGTGATGTTTTGTACCATATTACACTCAGTCTTTTTGTAACTGAGCAGTGCCTTCAGTTAGCATCACGCCCCACAGAATGTTGATCACATTGATGCACAGTATGAGTCTGGAGTGGTGGATGGTGCTGTTACCTGGAAGATGGTGTACATGGTGACCGTGAGTGGGCGGGATCCAGAGTACTCAGATATTTTAAAGATGTCTATGCCCCATCGGTTAATGTCCTCCAGTTCCTGTTTACACACAGCACACACAAAAGCATTGAGCTCCTCAGGCCCAGACAAACACACACACACACACACACAGTCCTGCTACTGTTCAGTTTACACATGCTAATGCCAGACCGTCACGGGCACTGACGCTACGAGAGCCAGTTACAGCTGATATTACACAAGCCCAGTGGTATGAACATACAAGTACACCCTTTTCTATGGGAAGTTCACATTTTCTTATCATATCTGAAGCAAAAAAATTAGGGATGCCCCGATCTGATACTGGAATCGATACTGAAAAACTTGCTAGATCAGATATCGTCTTTAAAAAATATCAAATGAAAAGACTTTTTGCTGGTCGTAGTCACCCAGAAAGTCTTATAACGTTTGAACTTTTATTAATACAAAGCTGTTTTGTGGTTACTTCAATAACAGACAAATAACAGCTACATAACACATTTGGATCAGTTTTGTCTTATTTTATTTGAGTTTTAAGGAAATAAATGCTGTTTTCATCTTCTGCACTGGATATCCACAGATATTTAAAGCCATAATATCAAAATCAATATTGGAACTGAAAAAGCTGGACTGGTGCATCTCTAAAAATAATATCCATTTACACTGCAAATTTCTCTGATCTGGCCAAGATTTTAAAACTTATATCAGGTTCTTCATCTTGTTTTCAGATTTATGATCTACTTACTAGTTCTGAGACGCTTCATTCTAGTCTAGAGGTCGTTTATTTTAAGAGAACTTGTCAAATAAAACTATCTTGCTGCATGGACAGATCATTTCACTACTTTTAAGTCATTTTCTGATAGATTTAAGTGCTTATATCTTAAATTTTGGCCAGTCTTTTTTGCAGTGTATAATCAAAAGTTCAAAGGTAAATATCTCTAGATATAATAAAAATTAGATTCATAAATGAATTACTTTTCAAACTTGTTATTTAATGAATATAAATGAGTACTAGATCATTTCCATGTCTCCATGTTATTAGGAAATGCACAGTACCTTGGCCAGCAGCCCCTCCTGACACGGCGCCACCCCGAAGCGTGGGATGGTGGAGGCGGCGATGCTCGGGCTCTGTGTGGCCTTCTTCACTCCACTGATCTGGGACATGGGCCTTTTCTTCTTGTCCTTTTCTTTGGCCGGAGGAGACATGATGTCCATGTCATGTTGCTTTTCTGTAGGTGAGGCGAGAACATGAAAGCAGATCATATAAATAAGAGTTTAGATTTAAAAATAAATAAAAAGACAAAAACATATTTAAGCAGTGATGGGTAAAGCGGTAGTGGTCATACCGAGGAATGTGCTGGAAATGAACTCGGACACCTGGTTTCCGGAGCGGCTGGTCTCTGACAGCTGAGTGAGCTCTCGATTCAGCATCCTCTTGAACTGCACACAAACGAGCACATGACACACTCCACTCACACTCTGGGCTTTAAAGGCCATACATTACACAAAATTACTTTTGTAAGACTTAAGTCATGTTAGAATGTTGTTACCTCCTCAAAACAGTCATGTCATGTTTTCTTTCATTCACACATGTTTGAGTAACTCTTTATTATTAGTATGTCTACATCTCTAAAGCTCAAAATGCTCTGTTCCACCTTGTGATGTCATGAAGTAGTAGTTTTCAAGTTAACAGCTCCTTTTATCTTTTGTTCTGTAGAGATTGATTGATTCAAGAGCTGAAATCATGCAAATGGTTCTAGTGAAGGTGTGTGGAGTTTAAAAACACAATAGAGCACTTCCTGTATCACCACATGACATCACAAGGGGGAACAGAGTGTTTTCAGTTTGAGAGAAGAACAGCCTAACTATGTCATCTTTGTGTTGTTAAACATGTGTGAATGAAACAAAACACAACTCCAGGTCTATTTGGGATGAGGAGACTACATTAAAACATAGATCAGAAATCGTGTAATACGGGCCCTTTAAGGAGCTCGCTTTCATTTTTCAGGTGGTGAACGTAACGTTGACACAATATTAAAATTTCAAACTTGATTTTGATACTAAGGAATTCTCGACACTGGATATTCATAACATAATGATAATTAAATACTCTTCCTTTCATTTTGATATTAATAGTGCACTGCGTTACTTCTCTGTTGGGGGTCTGTCACCTGCTTGTTTCTATGGAGATATCATTGCTCTGCTTTAAATGTTCCAGAGTCTGACTTTAAATATCTCTACCTTACATGTATTCAATTACAGGTGGTTTTATAGCTCAAAAATATCTATCGCCTCTCCACAGATCTGACCTGTAACTTCTGGTCTAGTTTGGTCTCAGTGAAGATAGAAAAGTCAATGCCATACTGTGAAACATTCCAGACAAAGCAATAACATCTCCATAAACAAAAGCATTTGATGAAACCTCCACCAGAAAAGTGACATTTAAATGGTAGAACTTTCTTTTCTGGTCCATGTGTGTTATATGTGTGTAATGGTCAGTGGTGCAGTAGGTTCATGTTGGTCCATCTAGTCTATGTGCTCTGACACTTGTTCTGATACAACTCAACATCATTCTAAAGACATTCAGGAAAGTTTCATTTGTGTCCTGACTGACACACAGTTACACACAGTTACACACAGTTACACACAGTTACACATTATAACATACTGACACATGCTGTGAGCTCAAACACAACACTGAGACATGCTCCTGGAAAATGAGCCATATTCAAAAACTCTACTAGCCCTTTTGCCTCTACATGCCACTAAACCACACAGTATGTCTTTTGCGGGAATCCCATTCATTACAATTAAGAATCTGATCAACGTTTTGTGGTTAAAATATAATATAAAGTAGACTGGTTTGTGTAAAATGTTTATGTGCAACAAGTCAACACTGCACTGATTCTGTGGGAGTCTTTAAAACAGCTTTGTTGTCCCTACAGAACTTATACTCTGTTAAGATTCATGCAAAATAATACAATACAATACAAATAATACAAAATAATAAGGTATATAGACAGATTACTTAGCTAGAAATGTTCCACTATGACATGATTTAACCCCTTGCAGACAAGCAGAACAAGTTACAGGTCAGGTCTGTGGAGAGGTGAACCTGCTCATAGTAAGAACGCATGTTTTTCAGAGTATTTTTGAGGAATAATAACACTTAAGATTGAACACAAATTTGACAGACACATTGACAGACTGTGGACCATTTCAGACAAACTAATAAAATCTCCATAGAGACAGAGCAGAAAAGGTCCACAGTGCATCTTTAAGTAAAGTAATAAAGCAAAATATTCTGTCTCCAATTAAATACAATCTTACTCTGCATAAAACCTGTTACCAATTTACAGAATATATAGAAATAGTTCAAAATCATATGACTTAACATTTAAAAACTTAAAGAGAATGTACAAAGCTAAGCACAAACTAATGAATGAAATCAATATTTAGCATTTGGGAGTTCATGTGTGAATGACTCCCATGTCTCTTAATACTCAAGTAGGAGTAAAAGTACTGTTTACTTGCTAGAAATGTTCTCTGAAAAGTACAATTTCTTTAAAAGGTTACTCAAGTAAATGTAAGTACTATCATTATTTCCTTGTGTTTTTTAGTCCAAATAGTCATATCAAAGATATTTTAAATTAAAGCAAGCACAGCTGAACCATTTCTGTGTAGACATCTCTTCTGGCTCTCTCTCTTCTCTCCTCTCTCAGCCCGTTGCCCCAGTAACCGCTAAGCTTGTGTGTGAATTCTCAATGACCAACCAAAAAATGCATGTCCAATTGCACTAACCAGCCATTCTGTCTGGACGTGATCACATTACCACTGTACAAATCAGATTTTCACATGTTTATCTTTGAGCAGACGCCGGCTCCTTCTCCTCCTCCTCCTCCTCCTTCTTCTTACCTGAATGACCATCCAAGACACGGAAATATAACGCCTCACTTCTGGCATCTCCGCGCACGCTCGGGCATTTGAATCAAAATTTAAAATAATTTCTGGATTTTAAAAAAGACACGATTTGGCTGTCTCCTGTTTGGTGGTTATCCGAAGCAAAACAGCAAATCTAAAATGCTGAAACTGAGAATAAAAATCCGCAGTGGAAGACCAAAGGGGAAGCATTGAGGAGCTGGGAGACAACAGACAGCCCCGGACTCTCCCTCCTCATTCACTCATATGTGTAAACACGGCAGAACGCGGTATACGCTCATCCCCGCCCCCCTGCCCAAAATGTCTAAGAATAGCAGCCAATGGGGGACCCCGCAGCGACACGAGCAGGGGGGACTCCGGGCTCTCCGATTGGACAGGAGCAGCGTGGAGTGGGAGGGGCCTCGTGGAGGTTGTGAGGAGGACCATGTGCACTGAGTTTTCAAGAGGAGATGAAGAGAGAGCGAGAGTTGAATGGGGAGGAAAGGGTGGAGGGAGAATAGAGGAGAAAGAGGGGTAAGAGGAGGAGGAGGAGAGAGGAGGGGTCATTGAAAGAGCCAAAAATAAAGGAGCACATGATGTACCACGACTATAAATATGTCTACAGTTACTATGAATATACCAAGGGGAGAATGACCCAAAATAATGCAGGCTGTCAGGGTGATGGGGATAGAGGAGGATGGGCCAGAAGAATGAATGGAGTCATGTTGTGATTATACACTTGTGATGCTTTTGTACGTCTTATTGATTATATTACACATTTTAAGGCAAAAATATTCAGCAAAAATGAACTCTTGTGAGCATTAGCCATATTATAATACTGTAATGTCCTCATAAACATACTCAGAGTTGTGTTTTGTTTCACACATGTTTGAGTGACTCTTTATGAATAGTTTGTCAAATTGCTCTGTTCCATCTCGTGATGTTGTGAAGTCGTAGTTTTCAAGTTCACAGCTCCTTTTACCTTTTGTTCAGTAGAGATTGGCAATTCCAGGGTTTAAATCATCCAAATGATTATAGTGAATTTGTATGGAGTTTAAAAACACAGATGAGCATATGTGAATGAAACAAAACACAATGCAACGGGGATATTTTAGGAGGAAACATTATAACGCAGATCTGAAATAGTGAAAAATAGACCCTTTAATACATATAAGATCCTTTGATTGTTTGTGGATGTATCTGTAATCTTTGCATTGCCTCTTGGTCAAATTGTCATTGTTAGTTATATGAACTTATACAGGTATTGTCATGATAAAACTTTTTCAAACATAATGACTTTTTAACAACAGGATATAGTATAGTAAGGTGTAGTGTAGAGTATCTTGGTGACAGATTATTCAGTTTAAAGCATTTTATACAAAATGTTCTAAATTCAGTTGCATTTAGAGTATGATGCAGTGTTAGAAAATAGCTGTAAGAAGTTGTACATTGTAATTGTAAAGTGCAGTGGTTCTCACACTGTGGTAGGGTTGTCAAAAGTTTAGAAAGTCAGACACTAATCGATACTAAAACTAATATTGAAAGTATATACATTGAAAGTATGTATATACTTATGTATATACATACATAAGTATATATATAGTATATACATTTGAGCAGGTATCGATATACAAAAAAGTCACAAAGTATAGTACACATGGCAATATAAAAGGAAATACTATGATTTAATGTTGAAAATCCCATTCTATTGTCTAAATAAAGAATGTTTTTTATGATTATTGTGTTATTGAAATCAGTATTGCATATCATGTCTATTCCTTATTACTGAAATATTTGCATCATGACAACACTATTCTGTGGTGTGAGAGAACCTTCTAGAAAGTACTTGTGGTTCTTTGCAGTTCTGGTTGATTTAGTTTGAGTCAAATGGATCCATATTTGAACTCTCATTTGGGTCAGTCAAACTTTTTGTTCTGTTAGGTCAATTCAAGTGAAATTAAAGGAACAGTCTGTCCCCTTTATGCTTTTGTGCTGTTCACCTGAATAGAGATCAATATGATTCTCCACATGACAAGGGAATTAGGGGTACAATGTGTTCCTGATGGTGTTTTCAGTAGTGTATTAGGCCCTGGTCTAGTCCTGGTTTGGTACAGATTTAGTCCTGGTTATTCCTGGTTTAGTTCTGGTTTAGTCTTGGTTTAGACCTAGTTTAGTTGTGGTTTAGTTCTGCTTTTAGTCCTGGTTTAGTGCTGGTTTAGTCTTATTTGGTACAGATTTAGTTCTGGTTTAGTCCTGGTTTGGTACTGATACAAAAATGTCATACTCATTTTCAGTATTAGACTCAATACCGATTCTTATACCACCATGATTACAAGTAAAACTGTTTTTTAGACAGTAGAATGTGATTTTCAACATTAAATCACAGTACCATATGTGTGTAATCCTCAGTGGTGTCCATGTGTGTGTACTAGTCTATGTGCTCTGACACTTGTTCTGATCCAGCTCAACATCATTCTAAACACATTCATAAAGCTTAATTTCTGTTCTGTCAATGTGACTTTTTTTTGTCTCGACATCTGCTCATACAAGTATCCAGTTTCAATACACATTTTAGCACCTAGTATCTGATCTTTGATACTTTTGACAACTCTACCTCCATCATCTCTCCACAAACCACTCCTCAGCACCATCTAAGTTTCCTTCATTGACTAAACTGCATCTGATGTGGTGGTGGGCGCTGGGCGGGGGTCTGGCTGGAGCACGTGCGCGTGTGTGTAGCATCCGGGCACAGTACTACAGCACCGCGATCAGGGCGGCATCTACAGGCACGTGTACTGTGAGTGGGCGGGCCGCTGGTACCGAGCAGAGGAGCCTGGAGATGTGAGGGGAGGTGGGGTGGTCGTGGGGGGTTTGGTTGGTAGACGTTTTATCTATACGTTCTCATTCACATTCCCCTGCACATGAGTGGGGGGGAGGGGCGGGCACATGACTGCTCATTCTTCCTATGTAGTGGTGGGCTTCTTGAATAGACATGGCTTAAATGCATGAATGGGCCCAGAGGCTTAAAGGGCCCGTATTATGCTGTCTTCTGATCTGTTCTAATGTCATTTCCTCATCACAAACAGACCTGGACTTGTGTTTTGTTTCATTCACACATGTTTAACACACAAACACTGCACATTTAAGATGTGTTCTTCTCTTAAACTGGAAACACTCTGTTCCACCTTGTGATGTCATTTGCTAATACAGGTAGTAATACATCTCCATATACTTCACTAGAATCATTTGGGTGATTTTAGCCCTGGAATTGCCAATCAAAGTTCAAAGTTATCTTTATTGTGAATTCACATGTTCTAGACATACAAAGAAACTGAAATAACATCTCTCTCGATCCCACATGTAGACAAGACAGGGCAAACATTTACGTGCACAGATACAACAGATAACATCATCTCTAAATAAATAAATCAAGTTAAAAACACTAGTGTACAGTACAGTGCAGTTCAAACAAGATCAAGTATTAACAGCAGTAATCAAATCTCCACTGACACAAGGTCAAAGGAGCTGTTCACTTGAAAACTACCACTTCATGACATCACAAGATGGAAGAGAGCATTCTGAGCTTTGAAGATGTAAACAGACTAATAATAAATGATTACTGAAACGTGTGTGAATGAAATAAAACATGACTTAAACACGGTTAAAGCTCACAAGAGTCAGTTAGTGTAATATACTGTAAGACCTGTAGACTTTTAGCAAAGATCTCTTCTAGTCTTTTCTAGTTTGGTCATTTTGGTGAAGGTTATAAGTTTAGTTCCTGGTTGGACATGGGCAGCAAATATGACATATACATAGAGATATGTTACCTAGCAACCATAATGTTCATAAGGGCCAAACTGGTCTAAATGACACAAAAACCTTGATTGTGTTAAATAAATGTTTGAACTATCAGAAAAAGTGCATAAACTGTCTTCATTTTTGATGGAATTGATGAGAGTTGATGACATTATTGAAGCTCTGTCTTTTAGCAGAGTCCAGGCCCAGAGGGGAGCCTGTCGTACATATGGAGCACGGGGAAAACCTACTCAGGCACAGGAAGAACATGCAAACTCCACACAGAATGAGCCCACACTGCCCGGGAGTCGAACCCAGGACCTGCTTGCTTTATTTTATTCAATTATTTTATTCAATATTTTGCCAGGTAAGTTAATTGAGAACACCTTCTATAGTGCTAACTGCTGCACCACAATTAATGCCAGACTGTGGAACATTTCAGGCAAAGCAATAGGTTACAAGCAGTAGACACATTATATATTTATTAAATTAACTGTATTTTTCAAAATGTAAACAATATATTTTGTCATAATTCAGAAATTAAGATTCACAGTGATACTAATGATGTACTAGTACTTTTGACTGGGACTTTGAGGGCTTTTTAAGTACAACACTAAGGTATATAATAATGATTTAAATATACAAACATAAGGTAGAGTACAATTAAAGCTGCACTATGTAACTTTTTTGGTGGGGAGTCTGCTATCTTCTTGTGTGACTGTAGTATGAAAGTGAATCTCTACATCCACATTTACTCATGCATGTCCATACTTTTTTCTCATTTGTTTGTGTGAAAGTTATTCACAGAAATAAGCCGTGGTGATGATTTGGTCCTTTGTTTTCGGCGCGGTGTGAGGAGCTAAAAGCGTCCGTGTGCGTGGGAGCAGGTGTGGGGACGGTTTCTTTTGGACGTACCTTTGTGGAAGCCATTTCACTGACAGAGTGTCGCGTCTTTAGTGTCTCCAGCTGCTCCAGACACCAGTCCAGCTCGTCCAGGGTCTCTATGGCCAACTGCTGGTGAGGCTCCTCTGGACACACAACAGCAACGATACACCAGTCACACTCAAAATTATAACAAGTCTAATAGGATTGTCAAAAATATGGAAAATCAGATGCTAACTGCTATCAAAACTAGTATCGAAACATATATCAGTTGGTCGATCTATCTGGCTGATATTTGCACTTTTTAATTAACTGGCTGTTGATCTTAAATCTCAAGCACAGGCCTATATTTTGATTAGACTGAAATGCTTGCAAAGAGTTACACACAAACTTTATATTATCACTTCAGCGTGAAAAGATAACTGCTGAAAACATCACTGCACCACTCTCCTTTAGTTTTGTGATTTAAAAAAGTGCTGTGGGTGAGTGTGTAGTAAATTTAAAATAGAATTTTGGAAAACAATCCAAAACAGCAAGATATATTCACCCAAAAATATCAGCACATCTTATCAGCCACTGCTTTCTAAGTTTCTATAAGTATCAACATGAGCCAAGAAAAACACATTTCACTCGATCTCTAGTATTAATACTAAAAAAAGTCACATTCATGGGACAGAAATGAAGCTTTCCTAAACAGCTTTAGAATGATCTTGAGCTGTATCACTACAAGTATAACAGATAATGTGAAAATATAAAAGAAAGTGCTACAATTTTAGCACACTATTGTCTAAATAAATAACTTTTAATCATTGGAATCAGTATTCAGTCAGTTCAGTTTTTTAGTATCAAAATCGAGTTTAAAATGTTTGTATCATGACTAGGCATGGGACAATATTGACATTTGGTGTCACAATGATCATGGCCAAATTGCTATTAACATTTATGTCACAATAATGATCAACATTGCTGACAATTTTATTGATATGAATAATTATGATTTTAATATTACAAATAGGTTTTATATTTAAAGTGTTACAATATTGTACTTTGTTATAAGAAAAAACAACAGTGATCTAGAAGGCTTCATCATGGTTAAGCAGTTTTTTTCTGCACATTCTGCTGATATAAAGTCAATCTTCTTTGTTGGCGAGTCTCATGATTATATAAAATGTCCCACAAATGATTATTGTCTACCCTTTAACAACAATATTTATTTATTTATTTATTCATTCATTCATTTATTTATTTAATGAGACAGGGACAGTGCACAATCTACATGAACCTTAACAGGAGAGATGTTTGTAGCAGGTTGTAGCTCCAGAGCTCATTTCCACCTGTCGTCTCTGGGCAGGTTCATTGATTGATTCTATTTAACTGACTTTAGCTATAAACTATCAACTATTAGCCATTCTTCCTGGAGACCTGTGTAGCATGTTTTGGGTACAATAAACAACATTATTATTTATTGACCCGTCCCAAATCGTGACAACACTGCTCTTGTCTTGAGGTCATTTCCATGCAGAGTTCTGACCTGCGAGGCTGGTCTTGCACATGGACGGTGGGTTGCTTCCTGAGGATCTTGTTCTGTCCAGACAAAAACACAGTCGTAGTTTATGTATTCTTTTGTTAGTGGCCGTTTGGTGGTTCATATATGAATTATTCTGTCAGTGATGCTTTGTACGAGCCTTACTTGCTGGCTGTGCGGTCCTGCTGTCCGGTGATGACGGCGAAGTTACTCCGGACTGTCCGCAGACTGGCCAAGACCTGCAAAGAAAGGAGACGTTTTAACACTATGATTTTTAACTCTTTTGAAATAATCAAAATACTGTTGTCTTTTTGATGTGTTCTGCTGATAGTTTGATCTAGAATTCATTAATAGTGTGTCTTCAAAACAGAGTAATTTACTTTCAGTTTGATTCACCCCACAGAGAAATATTTTTTGTTACAGACATAAGAAAAATAGAGTTAACATAAATATAATACTTTACCACAGTGATAATGTATTTATAATCATCTATAGTAATACATTTGCTATTTTCAGTAGCAGATATACCAGGAATCATCTTAAACAGAACTGAGGTGTGAACAATAGTTTATTTATCGGATAATTGTTGATGGTGAGACAACAGCAAATATTAAAGGGCCCATATTACACTGTTTTCTGATTCTTATGTTTCCACAAACCTTGCATACATAGGCTGAGTTCTTCTCTCAAACTGAAAATAACACTGTGTTCTACCTTGTGATGTCATGTGGGAATATAGTGGGAATAAAGTGCTCCACTGTGTTTTTAAGTTCCATACACCTTCACTAGAATCATTCAAATATGTTCAGCCCTGGAATTATCAGTCTCTACTGAACTAAATGTAAAAAGCAGCTGTCAACTTGAAAACTACTACTTCATGACATTTGGAGATGTATAGACTAATAATAAAGGGTTACTCAAACATGTGTAAATGAAACAAAACTCTTCAAGTGAGTTTTTAAAGAGGAAGCAACATTATAACATGGCTTAAAGCTCACAAGAGTCCATTTTCATAATATGGGACGTTTAAAGAAAAAGTAGTGGTGAAAAGTGAGTATGAAGTAGAAATGTGGAGAAGCTGGAGAGGCTGAGGATCTAATGAAACCATGGGGCTTGAGATGCAAAGGTAGAAGGCTGTGATTGGCTGATGATGACGACAAAAGACAAGAGGGAGGAAGGAGGAAAAAATATCATCTTCCTCAGGCTCGATCCTCTTTGGTCTCATGTTTGGGTGACTCCAGGAGGTTTGTGTGTGCTGTCTGTCAGGCCATCTGGAGCTAGGCCTGAGTCAGCCCACAGAGTCCACACACACACACACAGTCCACAGAGTCCACACACACACACACACACACACACACACAGAGTCACACACACACACACACACACACAGTCCACAGAGTCACACACACACACACACACACAGTCCACAGAGTCACACACACACACACACACACACACACAGTCCACAGAGTCCACAGAGTCCACACACACACACACACACACACACACAGTCCACAGAGTCCACACACACACACACACACACACACACACACACACACACACACACACACACACACACACACACACAGTCCACAGAGTCACACACACACACACACACACACACACACAGACACACACACACACACACACACACACACAGACACACACACACACACACACACACACACACACACACAGACACACACACACACACACACACACACACAGACACACACAGACACACACACACACACACACACACACACACACACACACCACAGTCCACACACAGAGTCACACACACACACACACACACACACACACAGACACACACACACACACACACACACACACACACACACACACACACACACACACACACACACACACACACACACACACACACACACACACACACACACACACACACACACACACACACACACAGACACACACAGCCCACAGAGTCTACACACACACACACACACACACACACACAGCCCACAGTCCACACAGTCCACACACACACACACACACACACACACAGACACACACAGCCCACAGAGTCACACACACACACACACACACACACACACAGACACACACACACACACACAGACACACACACACACACACACACAGACACAGACAGTCCACAGAGTCACACACACACACACACACACAGACAGTCCACAGAGTCCACACACACACAGCCCACAGAGTCCACACACACACACACACACACACACACAGACACACACAGCCCACAGAGTCCACACACACACACACACACACACAGACACACACAGCCCACAGAGTCCACACAGACACACACACAGACACACACAGCCCACAGAGTCCCAACACACACACACACACACAGTCCACAGAGTCCACACACACACACACACACAGCCCAGAGTCCACACACACACACACACACAGCCCACAGAGTCCACACACACACACACACACCACAGACACACACAGCCCACAGAGTCCACACACACACACACACACACACACACACACACAGCCCACAGAGTCCACACACACATACACATACACACACACACACACACAGACACACACAGCCCACAGAGTCCACACACACACACACACACACACGCACACACGCACACGCACACACACACACACACACACAGTCCACACACACACGCACACACGCACACACACACAGTCACACACACACACACAGTCCACACACACACACACAGTCCACACACACACACACACACACACACACAGTCCACAGAGTCCACACACACACACGCGCACACACACGCATGCTCACATACACACACACAGTCCACACACACACACACACAGTCCACAGAGTCCACACACACGCGCGCGCACGCATGCACACATACATGCATACACGCACACATACGCACACACACACACACACACACAGCGCTCACAGAGTCCACACACACACACAGTCCACACACACACACACACACACACACACACACACACACACACACACACACACAGCGCTCACAGAGTCCACACACACACAGCCCACATACTCCACACCCCCCCACACATATACACATACACATACACATACACAGCTCACAGAGTCCACACACACACACACACAGGGCTCAGTTTGAGATGGAACTTTCGGCTCTTTGGTGGGATCCGATTCTTTTCTATCAGTTCATTTGAAAGAGTTCATAACTTTTACCATTTATTTACTGATGCTTTGCAGTGACATCACTCTGGGGGTGTTGTACATGTAGGCTTATGTGTATTGTTGGAATGTTCACCAGTTACTATGGAGACATAATGCACACATTATCAATAACTACCAAAAAGATTTTTAAGATAGATCTATACAAGCATTCATGGTTCTGTTTTGGAGTTTGATTTTCAATAAAAAAATGAGAAACTAAAAAACTGTTGGCCAATGCCAGTGTGTGACTGTAATGTAATATGATCTACAAACTAATCAGAGAAAAACGACCACAGCATAGTCTAAATAAAATATTACATTACAATAATAATAATTCAAAATAAAATACTAGAGATGTTTTTTGCGAAAAGCTCTCACTTATTGCCTGCTCTGCATCTGTGCAGTTTCTTTTGTTAGTCCAGTGTAAAAATGCATAAAAATTAGAAGAGAAAAGACTTGGCTCGTTTCAAAAATGACACCGGGTTCCAACAGTTCACATTAAGGAACCGTTCAAAAGACTCAATTCTTTCACAAACGTCACCCTGGAGCCTGACGTCAGCTGCTCCAGCAGAGAGGACAGGAGGAGAGGGAGGAAGTAGCCCACAGCTCGGAGGAGTCGACAGATGGGGGATACCCAGGCTCTTACCACGTCTGCTCATGTGTTGGCTTCTTGCTCAATTTGATTATAGAAAATGTTTATGCATGACAGAGTTTTAAAAGTCTCACAAAACTATGAACTTTCCACAACAATATATAGATTCAGTGTTGGCACTGGTAAAGCTGTTTTTCAGTTTTCTGCACCGACAACCTGGAATGAAGTGGAAATGAAAAGAACTCCCAGACACACATACACGTCCCAACAGGTCAGTTTAACTTCAAGATAAAAGTTTTAGAATTGAGATATATGGTTTGTAACAGTTTCTAACTATCACATTCTTATTATTGTCTTGTTCTTGTCTAAATGTTTGCTGATGTGCTGATGGGTTTGGAAAACAGATGAGTCATTTCAAAGGGCCTTTACTGGTTATATTCTATAAGATAAACTGCACATAGACTCTGGTCCTTTGTTCATTCATCGTGGGGACCAAAAATGAAAGTGGAACTTATTAAAATGGTAAATGGTCACATTTTTATATAGTGCTTTTCCACCTTCAAGGCACTTAAAACACTTTAAACAAAAGAACACGCACACAAGTGTACACACACACATAGTGTTTGCAAAACAATACAAGGTAACACTGTGATCTTAATGTGTTATGTGTTAGCAGAGAATACCCCACAGAAGTCACATACCTCCTCTTAAAAAGAAAATATATATGATGAGATTTCTCAATACCAATACCTTCAATACCAACTGAGTAGGTGAGGTTAGTTGACTTGTCATTTGTAATAAAAAAAACACAAACAGAGACATTTCCAGTGAACTACAGTACTACAACAATCTTCAAATAAAAAGACTCACCTGTGCAAATGGTGTCACAATCATGTCCTCTGTATGTCTGCAAAACACAACACATTCAAAAGAGTGGGATTAAAATCCTACTTTGATTGGAAATAACAATTAGTTATAATGAAAGTTTATTATTATTTAGACTTGAGTGACATGCATTTACATATTAAAGTTGTTTCAGCATCATTTTGGTTTCCTGATATTGATTTATGCAATCTTATCTATAATGTTCTGTCAGTGATGATGTTTTAAAGAAGTTCTATGTAACTTTTCAGGTTGAGGCTCGGCCATGTGCTTGTCTCTATAGAGCTGTCACTTCAGGGTTCAGCAGCTGATCCAAGACAATGTTTACAATTTCCTCTTTTTTTAGCAACTACACATAGATAAGAAACAGGCTGGATAAGAAACAAAAACAAAGCTTGACATCACTGTGAAGTTTCTGATTGGACAGACCTCACTTCCTATTGAAAACTGGACTCACTTTGTATTGGTAAAAAAAAGTCATCTGTCTCTCTGTAACTGCTGCTGCAGTGAGCCTCATCAATTTAAGGGTAAAGGGCATAATAACTTTAAACTTCAGCCTACACCTTTTCGGTCTGTGTATGTTAAATATGACTGTCTGTGAATTAATGTCAAAATATACCTGTGACCGAAAAAAATAATCACTCAATCAATTTGGTCTTAAAATGTTTGTATTAACCTGCTCTACATGATCCTGGTGACTTTATTTCACTATTTTGTCCATAAATCAGTTTCTATTCCTAATATGGAAGTCAGCTCCAAATTCACTCTTATAAGTGCAAGCCTCGATGAGCTTCATTTGACTGGAGCTGAACACTATGGGTGACGTCACACTCCTTTAGTCCTCTTCTTTATACAGTCTGTGGTTGAACCCAGAAGTGACATCTTCACTCTGCAGCTCTCTACACATGTTATTGCTTTGCCTGTTTGTGACATGATCTTATCATTATATATCTTACCTTTGGTAATTACAGGTGTTTTTATGACTAAAAATGCCTCTCCACAGATCTGATCTCTAGACAAAGCAATACCATGCCCATAGAAACAAGCAGTTGGTGCAAACTTCACCACCAAGTTACATAATGTCCCTTTAATTTATATAAATGTAAATGTAAATTCATCAATGTGAATAAACAGTCAATCATTTATTTCTAATGTAAAAACACCACAATGTCCCTTCTGCTGGACACGATTTAGGACAGGGCTCATGCAGAGTGCCCAGCTGTTCTAGAGTAGAGCAGGAGGGGCTGACAGGAGCTGACAGGTGACTGGGTTGTACTGACAGGAGCAGACAGGAGGGTTTTCTTAGGTCAGTTGAGCTCAGGGATCATTCACACTGTGAGGGCTCAGGGTGCAGTCTGCTGGACACACTACAACTCACTGCACTGGTGAATTCTTCTGATCTAACTTGAGGAGACTTCATCCAGACAACACTTAATCCTGCCAGCAAGATGAATTCTCCCAATTTGTGTGACTTCATAAACCTCATGAGAATCCAGTACACTGGACCAATCACAGAGCAGCGCTGTGGTCTGGACATAAACCAGCTCCAAACAAACCAAACCCAGAATTCAGAGGTACATCAATCTGATGAGAGCCAATTTACACTTTACTGTGATGTGATGATGAGATCTTTTGTCACAATCAGAAAATTGTTTTGGTTTTTTTAATTGTATTTGTAGCATTTTTTGTAGTTGTTTTTTTTTTTTATTCGATCCAAGGAAATGTCACACAGCAGGAACACAAAGTCAACTCTAGTCAAACGCTGTATGATGATTTTTACACCAGATGCCCTTCCTTTCACAGACAGACACTTGAATATAACTGGACTAAAGTGGATGAAGAAACATGTGCTCCAGTTTCACTCTCAGGTCAGTTCATGGGTTTCAGTTTCCTTTCCATAGGCCCCATTGTGAGGACTTTTCCTCATTCAAAAGATGGAATATTTTGAATTAAATTGTTAATTACTATGGCAATGTTGATACATTTTCATCATCCTGAAACCCATGAACAGGGTGCACTCGTACAAACTCTGCCTCTCTTCCCATATGACTCAAAGCACTCCAATGTTTTAACACTACTTTTCTGACAAAGTGTTATCAAAACATCACCGGGAAGGAAGGGCAGTGACCCGCGCTGACAGTGGACACAGCAGACAGAGGTCAGAGGTCAGGTCTGAGGGGAGGGGAGGGGGTGGGTCAGGGGGAGGGGGATACTTATCATTATCAGTGGGTTCTAGATCTACTTCTCACCGAGATGACAACCAGTTGACCTCCCAGTGCTTCAAGCTTTCCTCCCTTCAAAAACACATAATAACTAACTTTACATTTGGTTCTATAGTTCACACACGGGGCTCTTACACTTGTGTTTCTCCATCCTTTTCCACTAATATCTTTAACAAATATGACTTAAACTGGCTTAAAGCTCCTAGATTACACAAAACTGACTCCAGTGAGCTTTTAGCCATGTTAGAATGTTGTTTCCTCATCAGAAACATACATGGAGTGATCTCATTCACACATGTTTGAGTGCAAATTTATTATTAATCTGTCTACACCTCTAAGAACAAAATACTCTGTTCCACCTTGTGATGTCATGAAGTTTTCAGGTTAACCAGTACCTCTTACCTTCAGATCAGTAAAGACTGAAAGTTCCAGAGCAGAAATTACCCAAACAATTCACATCAAACAAAAATCACATGTAAAAAAGAACTTCCTGTTTTAACACATGACATCACAAGGTGGAACTGTGTTTTCAACAAAACAAAACTACAGGTATATTTTTGATGAGGAAATAACATTATAATCAGTGTTGGGAAGGTGACTTTTAAAATGTAATCCCCTACAAATTACAGATTACACACCCCAAAATGTAGTTTGTAACGTAATCCATTAAATTACTTAAAGTGAGTAACGTAATCTGATTACTTTGGATTACTTGATATTGTCATGTTTTTTTTAAACCACATGAATGTAGCAACCACATCCAGAAAATTCTCGTTTGTTGTCTTCAAATTGTCTGAGCCCAAGTCTCCATGAATAAGAAACTGTTTGCTGTAGAGAAACAAAGACCACGATATCTTAACATAAGAGGTTTTTTCTGTTAAAAGACAAGATCAGTCTTTCCTTCACCATATTAAAAAATATTATTGATAGAGAAATTATTTTTTATATGAGATCACCTTAAATTATGTCAACCTACTGTTAGGTGTCATGTTGTTTAGACCTGGTTTAGTCGTGGTTTAGTCCTGATTTTTAGACCTGTTGTACTCCTGATTTTAGACCTGGTTTAGACCAGGTCTAGACCAGGTCTAGATCAGGTCTTTAGTTCTGGTTTAGTCGTGGTTTAGTCCTAGTTTAAACCTGGTTCAGTCCTGCTTTAGTCCTGGTTTAGTCCTGGATTAGTTCTGGTTTAGTCCTGGTGTTAGTTCTGGTTTAGAGGTGCACAGGAGGAAGCTCGGTTTACGCGAGAAAACACGGTCCACACGCGGCACATGAGACGGCGGTGTCCGCGCTGTAACTACGGAAGGAGACGTGGTCCGCGGGTTCTCAGGTTGATGACGATGATGAAGGTGTGTGTTTGTGTGTGTTTGTGTATATGACAGTAGTGCAGATATTATGAGTCTATGCAGGTTGTTTTCACCAGTGCCAGTAGCTCCTGTTTCACATTTAAATTGTAGGCGATTTTATATTTGTTTTTTTTATATATATATCTCACATCGGGAGAAGAATTTCCAAGACACAAATGCGTTTTTACCAATGCACTGCTGCTTCCATTGACTGACACCGCCAACTTTAACATGACGTTTACATCGCTCTTATTGCGCGTGTTCTGTTTGGGTTTCCAGCAATGAGTGGAATTAAAGAAATAAAAAAATAAATAAATGGGATGTAGCACAAAATGTGAAAACAGGAAAATACCGCCTTGTAATCCACTTATTTCAGCAAAGTAACTGTAATCCAATTACCACTCATTGAAACAGTAACTGTAACGGAATACAGTTACTCATAATTTGTACTCTGATTACGTAACGGCGGTACATGTAATCCGTTACTCCCCAAAACTGATTATAATATAGATCAAACATTAGTGTAATATAGACCCTTTAACTATTTGGTCTTCTCAGATTATAAACATACAACTGGACTGTCACATAGAATGATCCTGTTGTAAAAATAATTCATTTTATTCATACCATAGAGAATCACACCTTTGTGCGAATAGTATTTTCTGTATGTGTGTTTGTGTGTGTGTTTTTTTTTTTTTTTTTCAGTTTTCATACTTATTTTAGTTTTATTTTACTGCTATGTAACCAACAACCTGCCAACCAGGACTGTACAACATGAAAGGAAACCAGACATTTTAATAAGCCAAAGACAATGAGCTCTTCTAGTGGACCAACAAAATCTCTGTGAATCACTAATAGTCCTGGTTTGAACCTAGTTCCAATTTAATCCTGCTTTAGGCTTGGTTTAGGCCTGACTCAGTCCTGGTTTAGGCCTGACTCAGTCCTGGTTTAGGCCTGACTCAGTCCTGGTTTAGACCTGGCTCAGTCCTGGTCTAGGCCTGGTTCAGTCCTGGTCTAGGCCTGGTTCAGTCCTGGTCTAGGCCTGGTTCAGTCCTGGTCTAGGCCTGGTTCAGTCCTGGTTTAGGCCTGGTTCAGTCCTGGTCTAGGCCTGGTTCAGTCCTGGTTTGTTGTCTATAAATAATTTCTGGAAAACTACTGAAGTTGGTCTCCACCTACACAAAGTTACCATCATGATTTCTAATATTAACGCACTTCCCATGCTGTGTGTGTGTGTGTGTGTGTGTGTGTGTGTGTGTATGTGTGCATGTGTGTGTATATCTGAGTATGTGTGTGTGTATGTGTGAGTATGTGTGTGTGTATGTGTGCATGTGTGTGTATATCTGAGTATGTGTGTGTGTGTGCATGTGTGTGTGTCGTACTCACAGGTCGCTGGCTCCAGATGAGTTCCTGGATGGGACCTTTGGGGACAGGTCGAAGTCTGAGTCGGAGCGGTACAGGAAGGACTCTCGGCGCTGGCTGTGGGGGAAGTTGGCCTGGAGGACCAGACCGGAGCCGGGGGAGGCCTGAGCGTCCAGAGGGCTGCGTCCCACCGAGAGCCCATTCTCCACATCGAAACTGCACCAACACAACACGGGAAATACACATGTGAGCTTAGCGGTTCAGCAGCAGATGGAGGATGAAGTTAGAGATTTAGTCTTTGGTGATGTTATGATTTCAGACGGAGGACATCGGCTTATTGATAAGTTTGCAGGGACATCATGCTGAGGGTGTTCTTCATGTATGTCTATGGAGGAATGTTCAGTAGTTGCCAGAGTGACACAGTGCCAGGGTGACCAGATTTTCAGAATTAAAAAGTGGGACACACCTGGGATGGGAAGGTTGGTATAAATAAAACTGTGAAAAGATCAGGTAACATTGTCCATTCTCATCTGAAGGACTGTTGTTGCATTTTATTTATTTATTTATTTATTGTCTTGTGGTCATTTTTAAGCATGGTTTCTATATTTTAGATAAACAAATGACAATAATTATAACTCTCTTTACTGTTGGTGAGCTTCAAAATGGTCAGAAATGGGGACAACTGGGACATTTCTTGTATAAAACTGGGACAAATCAGTGGTTTTGTATAAATCTGTCAGGACAGGGGACACAGGCTCATAACTGGGACTGTCCTGGGTAAATAGGGACGTCTGGTCGCACTACACAATGCACACATTAGTACACACAGCCAAAAAAGTGCTAAAAAGTCTGAAAAGTCAAGAAAAAAACACAAAAATTATTTAGACAACACATTTTGGGGAACCTGCGATCAATCTAAGAGTTTGTGATCACATTTAAGAGTTTGATTTTCAACAAATAAAAGGTGAGAGTGAAAACCTGTTGGCTTCTTCTACCTAGAATGCACACGAACTACAATGAATATTTGAAGCAAGATATGTGGAATTATATAGCAAAAAAATGTGAAATAACTGAACAGAACAACATTTATTTAATGTCCAAATTCCACTAAGTGACCCTTTGCTTTGTTGACAGCACCGCAAACCCTTGGCCTTCTCTCAATGAGCTTCTTGATGAAATCTCCTGAAATGGTTTTCACTTCACAGATGTGCTTTGTCAAGGTCAAGGAAGAGTGATCAGTGCAAAAGGCTGCTATTTAAAATTTAAAAAAATCTAGAGCTGGTTTTGAGTTCTTTTTTGTTTACTACATTTGACATGTGTCCATTCACATGACGCCATCAGGGAGAATCTAGACTATAAATAATCACGGTCACTTAAAAAACAAAACCTAAATGAAAGTGTGTCCAGACTTTTGTTGGTAGTGTATTTTAAACATCATATCTGATTTCACTGTGAAGGTTTGAATTATTATATTTCTAACATCTTTTTTCTAAAGCATTAAAATTCCCCTCTCTGCATCTTGAGAATTGTGTCTCAGCTCCATTAGGGGAAGAATCTCTGCCGCTGGATTCCCCACAGTGCAGCAGGCTGCCAGTGAACGTGACAGTATTGAAATGAGCTCGCTGTCTTGACTGAAGGTTTAATTTTAGCCCCGAGTATTGATGCTAGCTGCTGCTGAGGCTCTAAGAATAGCTCAGGTGAGGAGGGGGTGCTCACGAGGAAAACCCTTCATTATCCTGCACAGACACGCTATTGCTGCTCAAGGATCAATGAAGGAATATCACAGAAGTACACGGATAAACACTAACAGAAGTGTGTACTGGAAATCATCTTTAAAAGTCCTGTATTACACATAATGAACTCTTGCGAGCTTTATGACATGTTAGAATATTGTTCCCTCCTCAAAACCAGACCTGGACTGGTGTTTTGTTTCATTCACATGTTTGTGTAACACTTTATTATTAGTCTGTTTACATCTCTAAAGCTCAAAATGTTCCATTCCACACTGTGATGTCATAAAGTGGTAGTTTTCAAGTGAACAGCTCTTTTTACCTTTTGTTCAGTATAGTTTGGCAATTCAACGGAGGAAATCCTCCAAATGATTCTAGTGAAGGTGTATGGAGTTTTAAAGCATAGTGGAGCACTTCCTGTATCACCACATGACATCAGAAGTGTTTCAGTGTTTCAGTCTGACAGCTCAGCCAGTTTGTGTCAAACATGTGTGAATGAAAAAACACAATTCCAGGTCATTTTTTGATGAGGAAACAATATAAGACATCAGCTCTTTAAAGTGCACATATGAACATTTTTCTAATTATGACTTGATTTGGAGGAATAGTCCCTGTGGAAAATATTTATTATCAGTTTTATATCAGTTTGGTGGCAGCAGCACTTTGTGGGGAAAAGTACAAAATATAAGAACTAGTGGTGAGTTCTAAAACTGAATCTATCTGCTTATGTCATCACCATGGAAACTCCATCCAAAAAGCATGGACAATTTCAGCATGTTTTTCTGACAGTTGTCCTTTAGTGTAATCATGACTATTGTGCAATTTAGAAATTATGAACTTAAAAACAAGAAGTTTATCATTTTACAGGCAAATGATGATATAATATCACAAGGGACAGAAAAGCATTGCAGATTTCTGCAGAATCACTGACCAAAGCCCTAAACACTTTTGATGTGAGGGGAGAGAAATATGATTTTGTTTGTAAATGATGAGTGACCAATGAGCTCCTTCGTTTCTCATGCGTCACTGTGATTGGACGATAACATTTGGTCGAACTCAAACTGATGCATCTGTATAAAAAATACAGAGAGAGATTTCCTAGGAAAAGCAGTGGAGTGAACAAAATGTAAACATCCCATTCATCCCCCTCTCCTCTCTCTCCTCCCCTCTCTTCATCTCTCCTCCCCTTCTTTTCTTCCTCCTCTCTGAGATGCCTGACTGCTATTACATAACAGGGAGCGCTTCATTCATGTGACACTTGAGAGTGCATCTGGAGGGGCGGGAGGAGAGGGGAGGGGTGGGGGGTGGGGGTGGTGGGGGGGTGAGTGCTGACGAGGTAAAACACATTGGAGAAGTGAAGGAGCACAACACAACATCTGTACTCTGAGGCTGGTGCAGGAACAACATAAGTACAGAGTATTTATGGATATTAGAATGAAAGCAGCAGACATGATGTGAGAGAAAAGTCCAGACACTCATTTAAAGGCAATCTTTGGTTATTTATTGTTTGCCTAAACAAAAACATGGCTGAAGAGGTTTTAAATGTCATAGCAGAATGCATGCTGATTGTGTTATTATAGTGCTCTGAAGGGGGAGTGACTTTGCACGAAGAGCAAAGAGAAAGGAGACTCACAGCATCAAAAATGAAAGTGAAATGTATAAAACCTGTTAATACTTTGATTTTGGAGAATATAACAGGTTGAATAAAGCAGTAAAAGGTAACATGGCGATCCAAATAAGTTCAGTGTTAGCAGTTAACACCTCATAAAAGTAAATACTCCGTCTTTAAAGTGTGGACATGGCGGAGCATTTCTGTGTCCTCAAATTAGACCAGGATGTTTGAATAAAGCAGGAAGAGCACAGGATTCATGACCTTCATGACCCACCAAAAAAAAATACTTGGTCTTCTGAGTACCACCAAATCTACTTCAGGTCTAAATCAGGTCTAAAACAGGACTACAAATACTACAAACAAAGTACTACGATTGAAAGTTGAAAATAAAGAAGAGTTTTTATTATCATCGTTGTATCGGAATTGAGTATAGAGTCTATTCCTTAATATCAAAATCAATGTTTATTGTTGTGTCCTTTTGCAAAACACTTTCATGTCAGTGCATAACCTCTGGTCTATTCAAGCATTTTGGTTTCCAGTTACTTGCAACATTATGAGGATTTTTTTCCCATTAAAAAGATATAATATTCTGTTTTAAATCGCTCATCGCTACGGCAACAGTCCTTCTTTTTGTGTCATCCTGAAGCACATGGATACAGAGCGATGTGCCCTCTGAGCCGCTGCACACTCAGACATTCCCCATTGATTTTTTGGGGTCTCGAGCTGTAGACTCTTTACTGCTCCCTCCATCAGTTTTATATCTGTGCGTGGCGTGCTCTGGCGCTGTCGATACTGTGCTAAAAATAGTCCCCTCCCACAGGCTCTGCAGGCGCAGTGATGCTAAATATAGAACATCAGGTAGAAACAGGCCTCTGTGTGCACACTCTCCGTCCTCTCATTCATGAATATGGAGGAGGAGAGGAGTTATTTTAAGCACGGCGCTGCTATTTTTAGAGCAGTGATGGTAAAAATACAGCCCCCGCTTTTCACACAGTTCTCTGCGGAGCTGGGTTCAGAGAAGGGGACGGACACGATGTAAAGACGTAATACTGCAGTGAGACATGTTACCGCATTTACGGTAATCAGCGATGGAAATTTACAGTTTAGTTTATACTCGGAGGTGCATTATGTCATTTCTTTTTTTTTTTTTGGTTGGACGTTCGTCACCTGCTTGTTTCTATGGAAATGTCATTGCTCTGCCTGGAATGTTTCACAGTATGACATTAAACATCCTTACATTTATTCACTTACATGTGGTTTTATAGCTCAAAATTATCTTGAAAAACTAAAGTTGACATTTTAAGATCTGTGTTCTAATGTAGTTTCCTCATCACAAACAGACCTGGAGTTGTGTTTTGTTTCATTCACATGTTTAACACACAAACAAATCTTCTCTCCAACAGAAAACTCACTCACTCACTGTTCAATCTTGTGATATCATGTGGTAATACAGAAAGTTCCACTGTGTTTTTAAACTCCATACACCTTCGATAGAATCATTTGGATGATTTCAGCCCTGGAATCTATAAACAATCTATAGTAAACAAAAGGTAAAAGATAGCTGTTAACTTCACTTCATGACATCATGAGGAGGAACAGAGCATTTTAAGCTCTGGAGATGTAGACAGACTAATAATAAATCACTGAAACATGTGTGAATGAAACAAAACATAACTCCAGGTTTGTTTTTGAGGAGGTAACAACATTATAACATGGCTTAAAGCTCACAGTCAATTTTGTGTAATATGGGACCTTTAAAGACACCACCGATACCACTATATCTGTCTATTCCATTATTTACTGACTATTCTCCCATTCTCATTCCCATTCAGGTTACCGGTGGTTTTCAGATTCTAGAATGTGATGGTGTCATA